ATAAAGTTATTTATTTTTTTTTTTTTTTTTTTTTTTTGGTTGTAAAACACTTTTCTCTAAAAGGCTTAAGAATTAAGAGACGATAGGCCAGAAATCTTAAAAAAGAGATTGTAGATGACAAATCTATGACCCGATTACTTCAAAAATAATTGGCCTCTTTTGATATATTGGAACACAGCACCCAAAACCATATTTAGAAATGTCAAATGTTTCTTATGCGTGGTAGCATTTCAGCAACATAAGTTTCAAAACGTTGGAAAAAAAGAAAAAAAAAATTGGGTGATGCATGGATTCACAAGTATCGTTGGAACATTTCTCTTACGTCTGAACCCCGGCTTCGCTCAACTAGTAAAATAAGTATCTACCGTTGTGCTAATTACAAAAGAAAAGTCTCCTACCATTTCACTGTTATGATACCCTTCATGAAAACTTGTGTCAAAAGAAAGAAAGAAAAAAAAAAAAAAAAAAAGAAACAAGACTCAAATTTTTTTACAGTCCTGCATATCACTGTATATGATTTATCTGATTAAATCTAATCTGATATGAACCCAAAGAGCAGATCTCTAACATTAAAAGAAATTTTTGTCGTATAAGATGAAAGGCATCAATTTTTGTTTGGCCTCCTTTTTAATACAAGGTGGTGTACAAAGTATACTATAAGTATGCCCAACCATACAGGGTAAGGCTACATTTATAGTACACAACGTTCAGCCAAGATGTCTCCACAAAATATATCAGGATGTTTTTAATAAGAGTTAGCTTTCAATGACACAATAGAAATCAAAAAAACAAGACCTGTCAAAAAAAAAAAAATAATATGGATCTCTCTCAACGGGTCTTGGCATTCATCGAGTCTTTCATAGGTACATGAAAGTTTTCCATTTGTGCTTCTTAGAGTGGAGGAAAGAAGAAGTGTTTAATCTCATGACCTTTTTTTTTTTCCAGTTTAATGCCTCTGCTATCCATCCATCTTTTCTCTTCTGAAGACTTTAATTTCAATGCAACTAGAGAAAACAATAAGATGGTTAGTATATATTCTCAATTGCCGACTTGTTTCCCAGCGATGCTTATCTGATTGGTTCAAATGATCTCTGTTTCAAAAAAAAAAGTGAAAAGGACTTTTTATTTTTTTAATTTTTTTTTTAATTGCCTATTAAATTTAAAGCCACTTTATTAATTACTTTTTATATGTTGTGGATCATAACCAATGCCAGAAACAATAGTTGATTAAGTAAGAATAAGTTTTCATTTATGAATGCATGTTCTAGTGCACTACTGGATAATAACTTACACGGGCTGCAACAATCAGGAGTTGGTGTAGAAAGAGAAATAACTCGCATCACATTTGGAGAAAGAGCAAAACGAAAAATTGAGGCGGGAAAGGGAGAGAGAGAGAGAAAGGGATTGGCCAGAGGATTCTACTATTTACCATCTTGATTGTTGATATATATTTAAAGAGATAACCAGGTATGCTTTCCTTTCCATTTTTTTTCCTTCCCCCCCCCCCCCCCCCCCCCATTCTTTACCAAGACCTTTCCTCCTTTCCTGCTGAAACATACCAACCATTTGTAATAAAGAGTTGAGTACAGATCCAAGGCCAAAAGAGAGATCCTTAGTTTTACACTTTTGTTGGTGGTTTCTTTTTATTTAGTGGGTTCAAATGGTTAATGTATTCAACGTTCAAATCTTTTTCATTGTCTTTAGAGAATGTTTGGAAGCCGTTGTCGTTGTTTCTGTGCTATTAGCATTTTTGAAACAAGGAATTGGTAAAACAACAAGTGACCCCAAGGTTTATAAAAAGCTACGAAAACAAGTTTGGGTAGGGGCGATACTAGGGGTGGCTATATGTCTTGTTATCGGTGTTATATTCATTGCTTTGTTTTATACTTTAAAGAGCGATATTTGGGCCAAATCTGAAGATTTATGGGAAGGTATATTTTGTATTATTGCCACGGTATTGATTTCGATGATGGGTATTGCCATGTTGAGAATTAACAAGATGAAGGAGAAATGGAGAATCAAATTAGCTCAAGCCTTAACGAAAAAGCCAGACAACAAGAAGGATCGATTCAAAATTGGATACTTGACTAAGAAATACTGTATGTTTATTTTACCATTGATTACTTGTTTAAGAGAAGGTTTGGAAGCAATTGTTTTTGTTGGTGGTGTTGGGTTAAACTCGCCAGCTACTTCTTTCCCGATTCCCGTTATCTGTGGATTAATTGCCGGAATTGCCGTTGGAACTATATTGTACTTTTCAGGTTCGTCAGTTTCATTACAAGTTTTTCTTATTATTTCAACAGGAATATTGTATCTTATTTCAGCAGGGTTGTTTTCCAGAGGGATATGGTATTTTGAGTCACACACATTTAATATGCAAACAGGTGGTGACGCTTCAGAGAATGGTAGTGGACCTGGTACTTACGATATAGCCAAATCCATTTGGCATGTCAATTGTTGTAATCCTGAAACTGATAATGGTTGGGATGTTTTTAATGCTTTATTGGGATGGCAGAATTCGGCAACTTATGGATCTGTTTTATCCTACAATATCTATTGGCTTGCCGTTATAGTTACTTTGATGTTGATGCTTTACGAAGAGAAAACAGGTCACTTACCATTAATGAAGGGAGTCACTTTGAGATCGTTGAATCCAATGTATCATATAAAGAATAAGAAACAACATGAGTTGACTGAGGAAGAAAAACATAAATTGTTCATGGACTTGCAAAATACTAGATTTGATGTTAATGAAGGGGAGGAGGAGCAGCAGGAGGAGGAGCAGCAGCAAGAGGAGGGGTACGAAGTAAACGAGTTTGATGACGTTGATGAAGACAAGAAGGAGGTAATTGGTTTTGGCCCTGAAAAGTCAAGTTACCAATAGATCTGGGAGTTAGAGATTATCAAAAGCCTGGTTGGTAGTGATTCACTATAAACGTATACACACACACACACACACACACACACACACACATTCGTTTTACAGTGGTTATTTCAATCCAAGGTTATTCCCATTTACGTACTAACTACTATTAGTTAGATTCTAAAACCTTTCTTTTTCATGATTTGGGGTAGAAGGAGGGAGCAGAACCGGTCATTTTTTTTTTATATATTGTCCAATCTGTATCTTTTATACATATTTAGTCTATCAATTAATATTCTTTTGTCGGGAAATTAATGGTGTGAATTATATGAGAGAAAGCAGGAAGAAAGCAGGGAGAAAGCAGGGAGAAGCAGGGAGAAAACAGGACGAGAGCAGTGTTTGGACAAAACAGCATTGCCTAGCAACAAAATGTTAATTGACATTGCAACAACGGATACAGAAGCATCTGGAATCAATGAGATGTCAACTTTCTCATTCTCATTCTCATTCTCATTCTCTTTGTATTGTTATAGTGTCATACACACACACGATAGTGTCGGTGGTAACTAGTGTGCACCACTATCTCGCTCTGCTCGATAGTGTCCTTCTTCATCTGTCTATATGTATGTGTATATATATATAAATGTATGTATGTATGTATGTAATTTTTTTTCAAACTACTTCATTCCTACAAAAAGACCCTTTTCAAGATTCATGGTTAAATGAATATACTTTCTAGGAGGGTATTCATCATCTCTAGAGCTCAAAGTAGGAAACATCTGGGCCAACCTGGTAATAATATAACTGGCTTCAGTAAGGGCAAATTGTTGACCCAAGCAAATTCTGGGCCCACCATTGAATGGCAAGTAAGCCCATCCTAAACGTTTCATATTATTCCATCTTTCAGGCTTGAACTCGTATGAATCCTTACCGTAAAATTCTTCTAATCGATGAGTTTTGTAAACGGTATAAGCAATAGTAGAACCTTTAGGAACAAATATTGGCGAATTACCATCTTTACCACCACCACGAGGTAATGTTGTATCTCTCAAGGCAGTTCTAAAGTTTATTGGCACTGATGGGTATAATCTCAAAACCTCATTCAAGATAAATTTCAAATATTCACATTTTTTCAAACTTTCAAAAGTAATCAAACCAATTTCTTCTGGAGTAGAGCCGGTACCGAAATGTTCCAAAATTTCTTCTCGTAATTTCTTCCAAACATGAGGGTTTCTAGCCAATTCAAATATGGTAAAGGATAACAATCCAGCAGTGGTATCTCTACCAGCAACCATAATATTCAACAATTGATCTTGTAAAATTTGTGGATTTCTAGTTTGTTTAACCAATTCATAAAGGAAAACATAGCCATCTTTTGATTTTTCTTCAAGTTCCTCGGGAGTAAAATTCAATGCTCGATTAACAAAATATTTAGCTACACGGTGAACCTTTTTGTTGCAATCTTTAAACTCCTTGTTATTAAACATCCAATAGAAAACTTGTGAATAAGTTCTTGTTGCAAGGTAGTGCTGTGATGTATTAAAAGCCACTGCAAACTCTTCGCGACCTGGAATATCATTTGGTGGAGGAAAACCCAATTTCTCATCATATAAAGAATTAATCGATTCACCAAAGAGAAACTCAGTAGCTGTATCCACGGTGAATCTGAAAAATAACTCTTGCAAGTCAAAAGTTTTAAAATCGTGTTGACGAATGTGTTTAGCCAACATTTGAATATGTGGTTCTAATGCCTTAACGTGGGCAACCTGTTCTCTAGCAAATTGAGGCCTCAACATAGCTCTTGAATCCTTCCATCCTGCGCCATCCAAGGTAAAGATACCGTCACCTAACAAAGGCTTGAAATGAGCGTGTCTAATACCTAAACCAAAATCGTTAAACTGAGTTGCCAAAACTGCTTTAATATTTTCGGGATCAACGGTAAACATAATTTTCATAACACCAGCAACTCTCAAGTAAAAAGTACGAGTTGGGTAATCATCGAATACACTATCGCCAAAATCAGCCAACCTACCCTCATTTTTCTCCTTAACAACACGGTATAAAGGGTAGACACCTGTCCATCCAGCCATTGCCAAATAAGGCGGGTTTTTGCATCCCAATTTCCACGAGCAATAAAACTCCTTGATATTGAGTAGAGCCACATATAACAAGATGGGGAGTATTAACAACGAATACCATTTGGTGAAATATGGCAAGATTTCCTCACCTAGCTGAAGAGCCCGTTCTGTGAGTTGTGACATCAACCTAATCTAGCTTCCTGGTATATGAATAAATAAAATTGGCCAATGGGCTCGATAAAATTGGCCTATGAGTTAAATCAAATTGGCCTATGGGCTTAATAAAATGATATAATGGAAATAAAATATACTAGAAAAGTTACTAGTAAAAGAGAAGAATAGGAAAACCAACGAAAATTGCGATAAATAAAATGATGATCAAATTGGCACGATATTTATACTTCTCCTTCCCCACCCCATCACCCCCCCCGATTCCATTTCATAACCCATTTCCCCCTTAGTCTTGTTCATACATCTCCATAGTTAAAGTCCTTAATTGATCCCTTTGTTCTTTTCAAGGTTAAAAATATCATAGTCATTTTTTAACTCCTACACAAATGAGGAGTCTATCTATGCGTGGAAAATTACTATACGTTTATCCCCGCTAGGTTTTGTGTAAAATAATAAACCTAAAACAGAAATATTATATAATCTTAAAGCCTAAAATAGGAAACATTGGTAATCAATGTGGGGAAGTTTTGTATAGAGTACACTATTTTCAAATACACGACACAAGCTCCACTAGGAAGCGAAGCGTCCTAGTGGAGCAGTATGTAGAGAGTAGCACCACTAGCGAGCGAAGCGAGCTAGTGGAGTAGTATGTAGAGAGTAGAGAGTAGCACCACAAGGGAGCAAAGCGAGCCAGTGGTGCAGTATGTAGAGAGTAGAGAGTAGAGGGTAGCTAGGGCTGGGTAGGGCTAGTTAAATGAGTAGAATACTTGTCAGTCTTCGGAGTTGTTCTTTAGTAGTAAATTTTGTGGTGGGTGCGGTTATAATGCATCTATTTCACCACAGTCGTTTTATTTCCTTAACGATTAAACAGATTAATGTTGGTAGCAGAATCCAACTATGCAAAATGTTTAAAATGTTGTTAGAGCCCCAACAAAATATTTCACAATTATAACCATTTGATTATCTAACCAATTTATCTGTTTCTATCCAATTTCTATCCAACTTATCGATTTCTATACAATTTTATCCAATTTATCTATTTTTATCCAATTTTTATCCAATTTTTATTTCTCTCTGTTAATTCCTTTATTCCTCTAAAAAATAAGCTTCTACTAAAGATAAACTACTGTGATTTTTACGAGACCTGTCGTGTACTTTACCAATAAAACGCAAATTTAGTTTAATATAATCGATCGGTTAAAATTAACTCCGAAACTTACATGTGAAAAAACAAACCAAAAAAAAAATTATTGGCTTATTATTGGCGTTGATGACACATTGTCTAGTTATTTCATGACATAGTTGAAAAAAGACACTGCTGAAATGACACTGCTGAAAAGTGACTACTGAAAAGTGACTACTGAAAAGTGACTACTGACTTTGTGACTACTGACTCGTGAAAAGAAATTTTTGATTAGAGAGACCCCTTTATTATCAAAATTTAGACTAGTTTATTTTCATGTGATATCAAACCCGTGCGATTACAACCACATGGCTTTGGTTGCTATCGACACTATCGACACTATCGAGCCCAGCGAGATAGTGGAGCAGCACTTAGTAGCAGCACTATCGACACTATCGACACTATCGAGCGTAATTGGTTGTAATCACATGAAGTTTGATTTCAATAAAAAATGTAAAGTAGACGAGTTAATGGCTCCTCCTCTAAATGTAAATGAGCCAAAGGGGCAAATGTAGAGAATGTCAAAGGCGCAAAAGTAAGAAAGAAGTAATCAAATTCATGTCGACACTATCGAGCGCAGCGAGATAGTGGAGCAGCACTTAGTAGCAGCACTATCGACACTATCGACACTATCTAGCGTAATTGGTTGTAATCACATGAAGTCTGATTTCAATAAAAAATGTAAAGTAGACGAGTTAATGGCTTTTCCTCTAAATGTAAATGAGCCAAAAGCGCATGTACAAGAAGCAATCAAACTCATGTGTCAGGGTATTCTTACACAAAGTTTGATTTCAACAAAAAATGTAGAGTAGCACCAGACGAGCCAATGGCTTCTCCTTTGGTTTAAGAAAAAATGTAGAGTAGCACTCCTGCTCTGGTTTAAGAAAAAATGTACGGGATATAGATGAGCCAATGGCAGAAAATACAAGAGATTGGTGTAGATTGGTGAAGATGTGTAGATTGGTGTAGATGTGTAGATTGGTGTAGATGTGTAGATTGGTGTAGATCACCATCTGTACCAAAGTGTTTGGCTCCATAATAACCTAACAACGATGGTTTTCGTCTTGCGTTCTTTTGGTGCTCTCTACAAAATTTCACCATCACTAGTTTCATGTCTTCACCAAATCTGGCTTTGCCAGAGCGAGATAGTGGAGCAGCATTTTGTAGCTCTACTCGATAGTGTATCTCGCTCTACTCGATAGTGTATTTACATACTGCTCTACTCGATAGTGTATTTACATACTGCTCTACTCGATAGTGTATTTACATACTGCTCTACTCGATAGTGTATTTACATACTGCTCTACTCGATAGTGTATTTACATACTGCTCTACTCGATAGTGTATTTACATACTGCTCCACTAGCTCGCTTCGCTCCCTAGTGGTGCTACTAGCTTCGCTCCCTAGTGTCGCCAGCAAAGCCAGCAGATCTCTTTTTCTCAATACCTCTACTATCTCCACTAGTGGCAGAGATGCCAAGGTAATGTAGAGATTCACCATCTTTATATACTCTTTCTACTCCAAACCCCTACTAGTGTCACCTTTGGCTCAGTTAGCGGAAGAGATGCTCTTATTGTATTCAATTTTTCAAACAATCTAAATCACATCTTAAACAATATAGTCCACGTGACAGTTGAGTTGAGTTGAGTTGAGTGCCAGTTGAGTTGAGTGCCAGTTGAGTTGAGTGCCAGTTGAGTTGAGTGCCAGTTGAGTTGAGTGCCAGTTGAGTTGAGTGCCAGTTAAGTTGAGTGCCAGTTGAGTTCAGTGCCAGTTGAGTTCAGTGCCAGTTGAGTTCAGTGCCAGTTGAGTCGAGTTGAGTTGAGTTGAGTTGAGTTGAGTGCCACTATGATTACAATCACAACTGACGAAATATTGCAATTTGCACCATCACAGTACAAAAGCTTCATAGCTACACCATGTATTCATCAAAAAATATACAATTCACTAATAACAACTTCTACATCGAATCTACAAGAGGAAAAGACATCAACAGAAATAAACGTCGATGAGCTTATCATTGATACTGAAAATTTGCCTCAGGTAGATAAAGAAAGAGAAGATGTATACCAACTGGATGAAGTGAAGCGGTACCTTGAATCGCAAATGGTTCATCGATTGAAATTTCTAAAGGAAGTTAAGGAGAGAGGGTTGGCTTTTAAAGGTTTTCGTAGCAATGAGAAAGGAGGCAACCTGTCGGGGAATCTGCTGGAGTTGAATAAATTTATGAATTATTGAATGGTGTTGAGCACATCATCACACAACTAAAGCCGTGTGTCTATACATTATTTGGAGCATAATTATCCATCGGTGGGAAATAAGTGGCTGGTCATCCCTCAAATGCATCGTGGGAGTGGACAGTGAGCAGTGAGCAGAGAGCAGAGAGCAGAGAGCAGTAGATTAAGAGCCAAGCGTAAAGTCTAATGCAATGCCTAGATCTATCTAAAATAGAGTTGTTCAGGCACACGGATTTCGGATACGGCTTCTTCTTCTACGTGTCTATATCCTCTAAATATAATTATAATCAGCAGATAATGCAAACTCATCCCTATTTTCATCACAGTAATTCGAATATAATCTAAAATCTTTCATGGGGATCAAATTCGTATCAAGATAATTCCCATTATGAGCATTGGATATTCTTATCAAGACATCCCTAGTGAAAAATTTATAAAGGTCCAAATCTTTCAAACTGGGCTTTAATCGAGCAGTGGTATATTGCGGTGTGGATAACGAATTATACACAAATATCGCCTTTTGTTGCTCGAGAATCTTTTTATAATTAAATTGTGAATAGTATAACTTCATATCATCTTCATTAACAAGAGGTGCTCTGCATGTATATTCCTCTTTGCCGTCTTTTCCCATTAGATCATTCCTGGTATTCTGTTTTGCCTTTCTTTCCTCTTTTTCTTCTTCTTCCTCTTCCCCCTCCTCTTCAAGTTTCTTCAATCGCTTATGTTTATGCTTCAGGATAATCTTTAATGCAAGAAATGTTTTAATCTTATTGGAATTGAGTTTAGTAAATGATTCATCTGCTTCTTCTTCATCTGCTTCTTCTTCATCTGCTCCTTCATCTTCTTCTCCCCCTCCCCCTTCTCTTTTTCCTCTTTTTCCTCCTCCTCCTCCTCCTCCTCCTCCTCCTCCATCTTCATGATCAAGGTACGTCAATTCATCCTCTCCAATTTTCCTATTATTAGACTTAAATTTCCTACTTTCAAAGGGACTATAATCAAATCGTACAGGACTATCTCCGCCGTTTGGCTGTTGAACTCCCAGTGGAAAATACCTTGAATTAGAGTTCATATTGAACTGAAATAAATCTGAAAATGACTGGTATTTACGAGGAATATAGCATTCGTTAAACCATTTATCATTCATATCTGGAATGTCAACAATAGATGCATGGTGCTTGAAATTGTTTTCTTCTGCATCCTCTTCTGCCTCTGCGTCTTCTTCATCCGCATCACCCTCCTCCTCATCCTCTTCTTCCTCCTCTTCTTCCTCCTCCTCCTCCTCCTCCTCCTCCTTCTCATCTTCCTTCTTCTTCTTCTTCTCTATTTGAAACCTATTAGGATCCAAGTTTTTCTCATTGAACCAAAGAACATAACTCTTTTTATCTCTCAAGTTATAATCAATCGATAAATCATTATGCAATGCAAAATCATTAGCCAACTCCCATAGTTTAGGCTTATCCTTAGAGTAAACATAGTTGCCCAAAAACAAATTAATCGCTTCTTGACGAATCGTGTCCATAAATGAATTGGAATAAATCCGTTTGATACTATTCAACATGTCTCTTGTATGAGAAGACCATTGATTGATACGTCGATACGAATCCATCGTATTCACAAGATTAGAACCACCATACTGTATGGCAATAGTATCACCATGATCATGGAATATCTCAGTTAAAATATTTATCAAATCGGAATCATAATCTAGGGTCTTGTCGCTAGATATTATATGCAAACTTTGCAATTGTTTTGTTAACGCTTCTTTGCAAATGATGAATTGTGCAGCATTAGTCCGGTCCAAACAATCGATACAATTAGTTCGAATCACGCCATGTTGCAACTCAGTGTTGGATAGTTTAGTACCATTATGGAAAATACCAATTTGGTCAATTGCAGAATGTGCGATATTCTGCAAGGGAGTAATCACATCAAGGTTCTTTTTCGAATGTTTAGACATGTCAAATGCATAATACTGAAGTTTATCATTTTCTGGTAGAAACTGGTCAAGATACTTTATGCAATTGATATATTGAAAATGGAGCTTCAGCTCTCGTGGTTGTTTTTCCTTTTGCTTTATCAAGTTCAAAATGATTATTGGCGAACCATATCTATAAAATAGATTATCAAAATGTAGTGCTGAACTTTGATAATATGGATCAGGCAAATTAATTTTAATTGGCGGTTTTGGTAATTTGTTCATATCCTGGGTCCAAAATAATGGAATTGACCCTCGATGCTGGACAAAACTAGTGTATCTTGGATTATTGTACATTCCAAAATTGGGGTCATGAAAACTAGAAATGAGCATATCACTTACAATTTGCTCAGTTTCAATCTCATTAGCCACATTACCCATATTATTGATTCCTCTTTTCAAGAACCTGGCCCCAGCGAAATGATGTGACCTTCGCGCAATTATGGTTATGTAAAACTTCTTTCCATATAAACTGATATTCGCTTGGTCTATAAATCCGTGAATTATTGGCTGAAACCATTCGTATGTGGCAACATCGTCATTTTCCAAGATTGGCTTTAGTAAAAGATTATTCCAAACAAACCGGTGATTATGGTCAAAACTCTCATACAACTCATTATGAAACAATTTGTTCTTTTCAGCTTGATTCTTTAATTTGTGTCTCATAAAGTTGGTCTGCAATGAATTGGTGATATCATAGTTGTAACTGAAATAAAAAGTCTTTCCCAAGTCCATGTACTTGAAAATTGATAATAGTTTCTCTTCATCGCTATACTTTTCCGGTCTTTTGTAATTATTGCCCAAGGGGATCAATTTTGTTTCATCGATATGGTAGATGAAATGACCACCCAATACAGCAACTTGGGAACATTTCGTAATCAAGCTCAAATAGTACCCTTTGGTAAACCGAATCAACCCCAAGAGCCCATATCCGTGCGTCAACTTGTGGATTCCTCCGTCAATGGAATCGTTCAACCCATTCAACAACTCAATCATATCCTTTCGCGTGTAAAAATAGTTCTTATCCTCAACAATTGACAAGATAGTTTCATCGTGGGAGTCTTTCCCAATCTCCATTATCCTATACAACGACTCCTTGGCATTGCTACCAACAATATACATCGTTGTCATGGAATTGTAAACAGTAAACCGTTGAAGTAAAACTCGTTTATAAACTCGCATATCGTCAAAGTTCCCGTTCCTACCACCACCTATTAGCTCTTCGTCTTCACCAGGCCGTATACGACCAGGACGCGCCTTGCCTCTACCATTGGACCGACTCAAAAGGGGGAATCCTCCCTCATTCACTTCCATATGGGAATCAACAATTGATAAAGAACCAATCCCATATGGTTACCTCGGGCCGGCTTTATTCCCAATCAAGAAGAAAAAAAAACAAAACCTTTAAAAGAGGAATTCAAGAGACGGTAGGAGGGAAGAGAAGGAATGAAGAGAAGGAATGAAGAGAAGGAATGAAGAGTGGCGAGTGGAACAGAGCGAGACAAAGTGCTGCTCCACTATCTCGCTCCGCTCGATAGTGTTGATAGTGTCGATAGTGTCGCTAGTGTCGCTAGTGTCGATAGTGTTACTACAAAGTGCTGCTCCACTATCTCGCTCCGCTCGATAGTGTCGTCGATAGTGTCGCATTCTATAAAGAATCACCTATAGATGCGATTGTTCATAGTAAAATTTTGATAATGAAGCCACCGGTTGAGGCTTTCCGCCTAATCTTCTTCCATTTCTAAACTCATCTATTGATTGAATCAAATTACCAGTTGGGTACTTGTTTGGTGTAGGATTTTCAATTCTGGCTTTCAAATCTTGCTTAAAGTTGGTTAAATCAGTATCACCATCACCATCAGCGACTAATTGAGCAAAATTGTCAAGTATTGCATCTATCGAAATCTCTTGAGATACAAGTTTTTCAATAACTTCATGACTCATCTTGTGTCCGTATCCATTATCGTAGCTATAATTGATCAAAGCGCTTTGAATACCTCGTTTCTCGCTTGGCTCATGAAGAACTTGCGATTTCAAATGCACCACCAACTTCCCGGTCCCAGTCCCGGTTCCACCAAAGTCCTCCATTACATATGCCTTATAGAATTTAATAAACTCTTCCTTGGTGATATTCTCCAAAATGGAAACTTGTTTCAGTCTTGCATCGAAATCATAATACCCGTCAATTATTGAACTCCATAACCGATTAGTTTCCTCAGAAAGGTGCTTTAATTTTTGTAGTTTCAAATCTTTTAATGCTTGTTTGAACTTGATGAAATCATCGTCGCTTAATTCATTCATCACAAAATCGCCAAATCTCTTCAAAAACTCCTCAATTCGATATTCCAAATATTCACTAGCACGTTCTGACTGAACAAGAATCCTGAACCCTAGTGAAGTTCTCCCCTTCTTTATTCCCGAAAATACAACATAGCCTAATTGTTCTTTAGTTCTTAGTTGATCAAAACATGGTTCACGAATAATCGTTGCAAGGAGGTCAATCAATACTCCTAACCTGGCATCATCATTAGTGGGACTCATTTGCAAATAATAGTCAATACACGAATTGATGTTGTTTTCATCCTTGAGTAATTTTTCAAACCGAATATTTTCACCTGGCTCTAATACATAATTCTGCAAGTGAAACTTCCCTTCATCATACTCGCTCATCATTGGCTCAATCTTATCAATATGGTCAGCAATCAAAGCCTTAATTTCATTGGCGTCTCTAATGTCAAAATTACCGTGCACCAAAACCTCAGCAAATATTCCATCACTCCATATACTCTTGTCAGCAAATTGCTCAATATCTTCAAATTCAATATCTTCCAATACTGGAATCCTTTCTTCATATCCATATACTTTTTCATTAACCAACTGGAAAAAAAGTGACCCAATTTGTTGAAATGGCACTTGATACCCAAAATTTTTATATTCTTTAGATAATTTAAACTTTATCGATTCAAACCTACTTCTTTCCGGTTTGAAATTGAAAAATTCGTCAAGCACTTGGTTAAGAAGAACAGGCAATTTATCGTTATATCCACGTATAACAATAGCAAACCCATCGCGCCAACTATTAATTCCAACTTTCAATCCAACAAGGGACGCAAAATAAGTGATTTGGTTTAAATGGTCATTCAACATTTCAACAAATAATGCGGATTTTGTAGACGTGACTATATCAGTATTTGCACCAGGCAAATGGAAAACAACTTCTATTGTACCTCTTGGTACTTCAAACTGATCATCTTGTTTAAACCAAGTGTTCATTTTGTTATCGTGAGTAATCAAATATGGCGAGATCTGTGGCTTGGATACTTTTTTCTTGAGGATATCGAATTTCGTGGGAATAAAAGGATTTGGTTTTGGGTAGTGCAATTGCTTATTGACCTGGGGGGATTTTGCTGCCTTGTACAAACTCTCTGGTATATTTTCAAATTCATATTCTGTTCCATACCATTTCTCGCGTTTGGTCAAGTTGTTCAAATCCTGCGAAACCAACGAAATACGGAAATTATCCACATTCAAAAAACTTGCAAACTTCTTTATTGCTATAGGGTCAAACCTACGAACAACTGATGAGTTCAAGATGTTTTCCGGTGGGATAAACTGATCAAACTTGTACAAGGTATTACTCAAATGTGAAACTGTTGAAGAAGCTTCCGATTTTTGCTTAAATTTGAAATTAACCTCGGCAATGTTTCTGATTTCATCCCAAATCCATTTTTTTGGTTCGTCCTTAACGACAAATTGAAGGTACTCAAAAACTGTAACTACAATTTTCTCCCAATTTTGTAAACCAGTAGGTGTCAATTGGAATTCCAACATATAAACCGAGTTTCCTTGACACACATTCATGTTTCCCGATGATAACTCCGTTACCCAGCCTTTGGTTTTCAAATAGCATAAAATAGATCCTTCACTTTCATGGCCAAGCAAATGAGAGAAATAATTTTGTGGCTTGCAATCCCACTTGTCCTCCAAATCATCTGGAATCATAAAGCTTAGCTCCAACTGATTCAATTCTTTTACTGGTTTCGCTTTGAGTAATTTACCCAAGAGTTCAGGTGTGTAAATCAACTCACCGTTATACTTTGGTCTTGGCAATTGTTTATTTGCAACAAAAGAGAATTTTTCAATCGCCCAAGCTGATAAAGTGTCCAAATCCTCCTTTCCCAAAATCACCAAGCTCATTAAATTTGAAGAATAATTATCCTGATGAAACTTTATCAAGGCATCACGAACATTGATATTTTTCAGCTCCGGTTCCACATGCAAGGTTTGGTAATTACCTGTAGAAAACCCATTGTATGGATGATTTGGATTACTATTCAGTTTGTCCAACTGGTACAACCTCCAATTATCACTTTGCAAGTTTTTCTTGTTTTCGGAATCAACCGCATTAATCTCTCGATCTTTACAACTCTTACTGAACAACGGAGCAATGAAAAACTGAGCAAATCGGTCCAAGGCGCCTTCCAAGTGGTTTGACCCCACTTGGAAATAATAATTAGTGTGTTCAGAAGATGTATATGCATTTGAATGTCCTGAATGTTTTGATAAATAATTTGAGTACTCATTTTCCTTGGGGTACTTTGAAGTGCCCATAAAGAGCAAGTGTTCACAAAAATGAGCCAAACCAAAGATTTCGTACTGCTTATCTGCAAACGAACCAACATTGACATCTAACGCTGCTGCAGACTTGTCTGCCTGAGGATCATGAATCAACAATACTCTCAAATCATTAGCCTTTAATTTCAAAAATCTATAATGTCTATCATCTATTACTGGTTTGCTTATTTGAGCGTCATCGGCAAGTATAGTATACTGACTAGCTAGCTCCGTCATTCTATCAACACTTCCAAAACTACCAAAACTATAGGTCGATGTCGATAAGGACGATGATGTAGAAACCTTGAATGTCACTGGGGATGGCCTAATACAATAATAAATGAAATATTTTTTCAATACCCAAAATAACATCAAGGGTGCAAAGTATTTTCCCAATTAAAAACACTTGTAACCACTACTACTTTTTCACAGTAACTGGGGAGGGGGAAGGGGGGCAACTCTCGTCCTCCTTGGCGTACTGTGAATAGAAACCTTGAAGGTTATGACAAAGTATCAAAAAGTATCAAAAGGGGAAATAAAAGTTTCACCGATAAGAAAATGAAATTTTCGGCGCTAAACGAAAATGGAAAGCGGAACCGGCGACTAGCGACATTAGGGAGAGAAGCGAGCTAGTGGGGCAGTATGTAGAAAGTAGAGAGTAGCGACACTAGGGAGCAGAGCGGGCAGCAACACTAGTGAGCGAAGCGAGCTAGTGGAGCAGTACTGACTACACCGACATTAGGGAGAGAAGCGAGCTAGTGGGGCAGTACTGGCTATACCAACACTGGTGAGCGAAGAGAGTAGAAACACTAGTGAGCGAAGCGAGCTAGTGGAGCAGTACTGGCTATACCGACACTAGTGAGCCTAGAGAGCTAGAGGAGCAGTATAGAAAGCTCGCTTCGCTCCCTAGTGGAGCAGTATAGAAAGCTCGCTTCACTCCCTAGTGGAGCAGTATAGAAAGCTCGCTTCGCTCCCTAGTGGAGCAGTATGTAGAGAGTAGAGAGGTGGAGCCAGGGGGCAGCTTGTGGCGAGCCAGGGAGGTATCAAGGAGGAGCCAAGGATGTGTCAGGGGAGGAGAGTTGGGCTGATGGCGAACCAGAGGAGAGATGAGCTTGTGGTGAGAGTCGACGGCAATATTGTAATAATCTTTTTACTAGTCTCTATTCTCTACATACTGCTCCACTAGGAAGTAAAGCGAGCTCTCTTCTCTCTGCTGCTCCACTAGGGAGCAAAGCGAGCTACTCTACTCTCCGCTGCACCACTAGGGAGCCAAGCGAGCTCTCTTTTCTCTATACTGCTCCACTAGCTCGCTTCGCTCACTAGTGTAACAAATTCTTCAAACTTTTCAAAAAATTCCTTATAATACATTCGATAGTGTCCAATTTCGTAAAACAGCTAACCAAAACCGGATCCTCTGATGATACTTCGAGTTTTGTATTAATCATAACCACCATGTTATTATAGGTTATGCATCTTGTAATGTAATCCATCGAATCATGTTTTGGTTTGAGTTGTATGTGGCTCATCATGCTACTCAAAAAGTTGTTATTTTCTACTCTTGGTAAAGCTGGCGATTTCTCCAATGATGCTTGAGTGAGCGAGGATACCAGACTATTAGCACTCGGTAACTTCATATCGTCACGTACATTATCAACATACGATTTGCCTGTTTTAGAATCAACTTCACACCACGGTTTCTCAGTAATTCTATGCAAACTCTTCAAGTCAATACAAATTTCGGCTTGACTAATGTAATAGTCAATTGTTATCGTTGGCGGTAATTCCGGGTGGAAAAAATCCGGCAATGTGACTTTAAGTGGAAAAACAAGCTGAGGATCCGTTGGTAATTGTAGATTAGTCTTTGCTGTTTGGATATTGGATAATAAGCTTTGAAAGGAGTCGATTAAATTCTTGTGATAAGTTTCATGGTCCTCTTCAAAAACTTTTTGATGCTGATGCTGCTGCTGCTGCTGCTGCTGCTGCTGCTTGTCTAGATTAGGTAGAGATTCCATCAAGCTTATCGAGTCATCTATGGCCACTTTGGTATTGATTATCTGGTTTAATAGCACCGGTTTAACCAAGTTCAATTTATTGAAATATTTGTTAAAGTAGTGGTCTTTTATAGTAACGTGGAATTCAGTGATGTATGCGCCATCTCTAACAACAATGCCTTTTAGTCGCTCCAGCTTACTTGAAGATACAGCAAGTTTAATGGGAGGTCCTCTTTCAATCCTATTTTGAGGATCTGGATGTTGTGGAGAATTGTATAATAACAAATTTGAACAAACAGTCAAGGTTTCAATTATCTGGGGGAATTCGGGTATCACGACTTTTTTCTCAAACCAATGTAGCTCCTTCTCGTCAGTTGCATCTTGGATTTGGGAAACAAGTCTGGTAAATAGCAGCTGATCTTGAACAACTGTCATTGGCAAAACTAGTTTAGTTGGGGGAAACTCATCAAAAATTGGAAACTAAACTTGTAATTGATATAAGGCGAGTCACGTGAAAGAGGCTAGATGAGTGAAAGAGACTAGACTATCGAGCAGAGCGAGATAGTCTATCGATAGAGAGTAGATAGAGACTAGACTATCGATAGAGAGTAGATAGAGACTAGACTATCGATAGAGAGAAGATAGAGACTAGACTATCGATAGAGAGAAAGAGACTAGTAGATAGAGTGTATATAGTGAGAGAGTGTATTATATAGAGAGTAGAGTATATATAGAGAGTGTATTATATAGAGAGTAGAGTAGTATTGTTTTCTCGCTTTGCTCGATAGTATATCTCTACTCTCTCTTTTCTCTACATCGAGCAAAGCGAGATAGTCGTTAGAAAGAGTAGATAAAGAAAGACGATACTAGGGAGCAAAGCGAGTTAGTGGAGTAGCACTTAGTAGATACTAGGGAGACAAAGAGGCACTAGATGAGTGAAACGAGTCTAGTCCAGAGACTAGACCAGAGACTAGACCAGAGACTAGACCAGAGACTAGACTCGTTTCACTCGTCTAGTCCAGAGAGTGTAGATCGAAAACAATAAAAAGATAGTGTTGCCGATCACGTGATACGGACACCATTTCGCATCGAGAAGGCGGGCTGGTTAAAAATAAAAAAAAAAAAAAAAAATACAGCAGCAACATTGTAAATTGTAAATAGCGGCTAGTGCTAGCCACGTAACTAGTACAACTGTAATTTGCGGCTAATGCTAGTGGTAACGACTTGAGCAGTAACTTTGTAATTCACCGTTTCCGCTAATGTTAACGACTTGACTGGTAACACTGTAATTTGTGGCTAGTGGTAACCACTTGACCAGTAACATTGTAATTTTCGGTTTCTACTAGTGTTAATCACGTGATCAGTACAATTGTAATTTGTGGCTAGTGTTGACCAGAGCAACACTGTAAATTACGACTAGTGTTAATCACGTGATCATTACACTATAATTTACGGGGTTTGTGCTAGTGGTAACTACTTGAGCTGCTGGTGTCGATGTATTCAGTTCTGCTAGTGTCGATGTATTCAGTGCTGCTAGTGTTGGTATATTCAGTGCTGCTAGTGTTGGTATATTCAGTGCTGCTAGTGTTGGTATAATCAGTGCTGTTCCACCATCTCGCTTCGCTCGATGGGGTCGCGATAGTGTCGATATAATCAGTACTGCTCCACCATCTCGCTTCGCTCGATGGGGTTGCGATGGGGTCGCGATGGGCTGGCGATGGTGTCGCTGTTTATTTTTGTCGTGTCTTTTTCCCTTGTCCATCTATACAGGATACTCCTGCAGATTAATAATTATCCCCCATAATATACACAACTTATTTTCACACCCAAAGTAGATCAAGTTATCTATAACGAATAGCTGCAAAAAAAAAAGAGAGGATTGGTATTAACAAGGGACAAGGTTTTATTGAGAAGGTGGTATTTGGCCAAGGTGGTAATTGACTGGGTGATATAAATTTTTTTTTGATTTTTTTCCTTTTTTTAAAAAAAACAAACAAACAAACAAAACAAGTGGGTGGAAAGGTTGAATGTCTTCTGATTCAAGACGTACTAGCGGCGGTGGTGGTGGCAGTGGTAGCAGTAATAACAAAAAACTCACCCAAAATGATGTCAAGGATGTCTATGATCCTCATGTTACTTATCTTTCGGGTGGAGTAGGTGTTGCTGGAGAAGACGCTACTTTGACGTATAATACTCATCAGAGTCAACATGCCCATAATCCTTATACCTATTCTGCAGAGTTGCAGCACCGTGCTGCATTGCAAAGGAGACAACAACAGTTACAACAGCAGGAATTACAACATCAGCAGTTGCAGCAGTTCCAGCAGCAACAGAGAGAGTTGGCTCAGGCTCAGGCTCAGGTTCAGGCTCAAGTACAACAAGCTCAGGCTCAGGCTCAGACCCAAGTACAACAATCTCAGGCTCAGGTACATGTACAACAATCTCAGGCTCAGATACAGGCTCAAGTCCAGGCTCAAGTCCAGGCTCAGATACAGGCTCAAGCAGAAGCTCAAATGCAAGCAGCACAAGCATATCCAATACAACAAACACATGGTTACCCCACCAACCAACTCCAGCACAATCTTTCACAACAACAACAACAGCAACAGCAACAGCAGCAGCAGCGATTATCAGAGTATACAGATGATTTCAACCCCACTGAAAATCTTCGATCACAATATTCAGAAAATGAAATTATCAAGACATTTAGTAATAAACCTGATCTTGTAAAGTACGTGAAATATATCCTAGGACCAGAGGAGAATAGCCGAATCGTAATAAATTCATCTAAACCTAAAGCTGTTTATTTTCAATGTGAAAGATCAGGATCATTTAGAACCACGGTAAAGGACCCTCAAGTAAGGCAAAGAATTGCTTATACAAAGAGGAACAAATGTGCTTTTAGGCTAGTTGCTAATCTATACCCATCCGAAAAGGAACAGAAGAAGAGACAAACAAAAGCTGATGGAGGCAATGGTGGGTTCAACAATAATCCGCAAGAACATGACGGAGACAGAGGATCGTCGAATGAAATGTGGATATTACGAATGATTAACCCACTGCATAATCACCCGCCAGATCCATCTAATAAGAAAAAGAGACAAAAGACATCGAGGACATTGGTTGAGAGACCGATTAATAAGTCACATCATAGGCAAGCACAAGCAAATGCATTGTCATCGCTGCATGACCAGCAAGTTATGCACCACCACCACAATCACAATCACAGCCACAACCTCAACCACAACCTCAATCACAACCTTCACCTCCATCAACAACAACACATACCATTTCATTCTCACCAATATCAATCGCAATCTCAGCACATTGATACTTCATTATCAAATATTCCTGCGACGCCGAATTATAGCGATTTAATAGGACACTTGAGTAACAATTTGTCTCATAACCCACAATCGCAACATAGACAAGTATCGTCTCAACAACAGCATCTGTTGATACAATCTCAACAATCCCAACATGGCGTGGGGGCAAGCGTTCGTGGCAGTAGTAGTGGAGGAGGAGGAGGAGGTGGTGGTGGTGGTGTAGGAGAAGGAGAAGGAGATAGCGGCGGAAACGGTGACACACTGTTGGATCAACCAGATGCTTCAGTTTATGCGGCATTGGAGGCTTCTACTAGAGGCACAAATGCTTCAGGTGCTTCGGCTTCAAATAATATTGCTGCTGCTGCTGCTGCTGCTGCTGCTGCTACTGCTGCATTAAGTTCTCAGACTGTTGGTAATGGAGGAGGAGGAGGCGGTGGTGGTGGTGCGGGATTAGACCCGGTTATTGATCCTACTGTGGATCCTAATGTTCAAGCTCACGATCATGCTCATAGAATGGGAAAAGGTGGATTCATATAGAGAGAGGGGGAGACGGAGAGAGGGAGAGAGAGAGGGGGAGAGAGAGAGAGAGAATTAGTAGATGCCACTTGTAGAAGAAATGTATTATTATTATTATTATTGTTATTATTATTATTATTAATATTGTTATTGGTATTGTTGTTGTGTACTCATTGCGTTGTAGAGAGCTTAGTATTCAAGTACTCTTATTGCAGTGATGATATTTTATAAATATCTATATTACATTGTATAAAATCTAATCTTTATATATATATATAAATAAACAGAGTATTTAAGGTCAATCGATCTTAAACATCAAGAGGTCTAGTTGAAGAAACAACAGGAGTAGCAGCAGTTTCAACTTCATCTTCGTTACTCCTTGGAGGTTTCCCAAAGACACCATGATTCTGGTTACTTGAATCATCACTAATGTCCTCCTTGGTTTCGAAATCTTCCTTTTCGAAATCATCATCATATAATCCCAAGTTCTTAGCTTCATCTTCAATATCTTGAAGTGACAATTTGGGCATAGTTGCAGCGACTCTCCATGCTTGACGATTTTCCATATGTGCTTTAGCGAAAATGATATCAATTTCTTCTAATGATCTACCCGCGGTTTCTGGGTAAAAGAAGAAAATCACTGGGATGAATGCATAATTGATACATGCAAAGAATAAATAAGTTCCCCATCCTGTTTTTTCAATAAATGGAGGTGTAAACATAACAACGGCGAAATTCATCAACCAATTGGTACATGTAGACACAGCAGACGCAGTTGTTCTTGTTCTCATTGGGTTGATTTCAGGTGGATAGATCCATGGCAATGGCAAGATTGTAAATGCAAAAAACACAATAAATAAGAAAATTCCCACAGCAGCACCCTTGGCATTTTGGGTGGTATTGTCAATTAAACATGCAAATGAAATTGTAAAAGACACAGCTTGACCTGTGGCACCAATGAGAAACAACTTCCTTCTTCCGATGGTATCAATAAGGAAAAAGGATGGAATGGTAGCAATGGCGTATATTGTAGCGAAAACACCACCCAAGATCAAAGATAAACGATATTTCGAATAATTGAAGATAGTTTGGTAAAACAATAATGTGGAATAGTAAATAGCGGCATTACAACCAGTCAATTGTTGGAAAAATTGCGTTGATGAACCAATAAGCATTCTTTTGAAATGCTGGGTTTTACCGCCAGTGAATAAATCTCGGAACCCGGTTTGAAGATGGATAAATCTATTGACTGTATCTATTATTGCTGATGCTTCTGCAACCACTTGGTCATCATCTGGAGAGCAGTCATTCAAATAACCCAAGATTTCGTATGCTTCCAGTTTTCGATTATGGGCAATTAACCAACGTGGAGACTCTGGCAAGTTGATGATCCCAAAAAACAAAATCAAGGCGAAAACAATTTGGAAAGCCACAGGGAATCTCCATTGCACCGAACTGTTTATGTATGAGAAACCAAAATCTATCCAGTATGCGACACATGTTCCAATAGCAACTACTGCACCTTCCAAATTCACCAATAAACCTCTATTTTCAGCGCGAGACATTTCGGATTGCCAAACGGGAATCGTTGCTGTGTTCATACCATTCCCTATTCCCGTAATCACCCTACCAACCACAAATTGACCAGTTTGCCAATGTGGTTTAATCGCTGATGCCGAGATCACGGTACCAATAATAATAATCAATGACCCAGCAACAACCAATGGCTTTCTACCAATTTTGTCACCTCTTAACAATGCAAATATAGCACCAAAAAAACAACCCAACTCATAACAAGCAGTAACTGCACCTTGAATAGTCGAGTTCCCCTTTGTTGGAGGAAACTCGTAATTGAACTGATCACCTGAAATCAACCCAGACATAAGTCCTTGATCGTAACCAAATAAAGAAAACCCAGTTGTTGCAGTTATTGTAATTGCCAATCTTAAACTACGGCCCCTTAAGCCCGCAGTAGATGTTCTCGCAGCCATCCAATCGAACTTGCTACCAATATTCCGCAACCCCATTCTTCTTCTTCTTCTTCTTCTTCTTCTTCTTCTAATTATTATTATTATAGAAACCTCCTAAAAAAAGTTGGTGCAAAAGAAAATTTGAACAAGGGGGAAATTTGAGCCCTTTTCGATGTAATGAGCTTGTAGAAATTGCTGTGAAATTGCTGTGAAATGGTTTCGTGGTACAAAACCGTGAAAATTATCAAGAACACCCAATTCCTTAAAAACCACAAACGATAAAGGGCAATATGAACCAAGAAAAAAAAACAAGGAAAGAGGAAAGGACGAAAAAATAAAATAAAAAGAGGGGTACTTCTCTAGGATATTTATATAGTTATATATGTTTGGGATATTAACGAGAGTTATTGACATATTGGCCTTTCAAATCTCTGCTTCTCATAATACTCTGCTTGTTTCTTTTTCTTTTTTTTTTTTTATTTTTTTTTTTTCAAGTATCTGTGCTATTGTTTAATTTTGAACTAGTCGATCTCCGATTTGCCTGGTAGATGTTTTTGTTTTATTTCTTTTGTGACTGTATTGGATGAAATTGTTTCTAGAGAGATTTCCCCATAAAAAATAGCAGAGAGAGAGAGAAAGAAGAGGCTCAAGAGTATGCAAGTTGAACCAATTTATGCAGTTTGTTTATTTCTGGTTTCTGATTAAAAAAAAAAATTTGATTGAATGGTGGAGGTAAACATTGCCGCATAATAATGAGAATAAACCAATAGAGCTAAAAAAAAAGATGAAAGTAAATGATAAAGGGAACAGAGTAATCTATAGGTTGGATAAAGCAAGGTGCCATCCTGTAAGTGGAAGTGGTACTAGCAGTAATGGGTAGTAGTAGCAGTAATGGGTAGTAGTAGCAGTGATGGTTGTTATGGTAAGTAGTAATACACCAGCGCTAATACAGCAATGGAAACAATTGCGCTTGATGTATTATGACGTATAACTGTACATAGTACACTACCCAAATATTAAAAAATATAAAAATAAAAAGGAATACTGCATATAATACAAAGGGCTTAAAAAAATTTTTAATATCAACACAAAGAGGCAAAAAAATTTTATCCGAAAATCGTTCCTTGGGAAACGACAAAAAAGTTGATACCAAGAGAGGACAATAGAGAATACAATAAAGAGAAAAAATAGAGAGAAAGAGAGAGAGAGAGGAGAAGAGAGGGAAAGAGGGAAAGAGACAAAGAAGAGAGATATACACTAAAAGAGAGGCTGAACAAGTATCTGTTTGTGCTGCATGTTTTTAAAGAGTGTATTGACAGGGGCAGGCAAACTATTATTGACAGGGGCAGGCAAACCATTATACAGATTGTTCCTTCCACTTGTAAGAGGTTCTTGCAAAAATCTCTTCACTTGGCACAATTCAGCTGTATTGACGCTAATTCTAAATAAACAACACTCATATTCTCTTCCTTTAATTTAAATCTTGCCCTCTCTTCATCTTACCTCTTGAGTAAAGAAAAACAAATAAAAAAAAAAATAGATTGGTAGCTGAAAACGCTACCGTACATATACAAAGTTGCATATAGTTGAGATGACTTTGGTAGCCAAGTAAAAAGTAAAGGAAGATTCGTTGCAAGATTGACGTTAATTAGACACTGTTGCTGCTGAATTATAGTCACAAACTGATGCCGTTGCTACTGCAATTAACGGAATTATTGGTGTAGTATCAGTGAGTAATGTAATCGTTGGTAAAACTAAATTTGCACCGGGAATATTAAATTGTTATTGTTATTGCTATTGTTTCAAAAAAAAAAATCAAGTTTTTTAACTCGTATCGAGATGTTTGTTCTTGTAATATGTTGTCATATAGTGAATAGAATTAGACTTGTTCAAAAGGTTCTTTTTATATAGTACCGCGTCACTACGTTTATCGAATGGTGAGAGGTTTTGTGTGCCTTATTTTGGTGGCTTCGGGGTAACAGGAACAGTGTAGATCAAGGCGAGAAGATGACAAGGCCATAGGGGGGCAGGACAATAAGGAAACAAAATGACAATAACCACATTTTAATAAGCCATATTGGTCAATCTTGATTATTGTTATTAGCGATAGCGAGAATATGCATATATTTTCGGACCCCTTATTCAAGGCCGTTATCAAATGTGTTTCTCTCAAGAAATGTGGATATAATCCTCAAGCAGGTTTTTAACTTTCCTTTATGATCTGTTTTACCTTTTTCATTTTAACTTTCCTTTATGACCTGTTTCACCTTTTTCATTTTAACTTCCCATCATGATCTATATGTATCATTTTCATTTTTACTTCCTCTTGTGATCTATATGTATCATTTCAATTTCAACTATAATTGACATTTTCATTTTTACCTTTTTTTGGGTGCAAAATGAAAAGAAAAAATTCAATTTAAAAAATCTCCCTCACAGTTTTCGTGTCCTGAGATTTAGCTATACATCTCTCACCAGGAACACCATATATAGATGTATGTATTTCATGTTGGTTCCTCTGTGAAATACAAACCGAGGTCCAAATGCATCTTCTCTGTTGCAACTTATTTTTCACGTTTATCTTACAAGATTCAAAGTTCAACGTTTTACCCAACACTTGTTTAAAACAACTTCTTTTCTACATTTAGATATCACATATATCATTCAGAGGCGTAATGCATCACCACGCACTATAATTCTTTATCAGGTTTTTTTTTTTCTTTTTCCTCTTTCATATGGTGGAAGAAAAAAAATACACATGAAAAAAAGGGTAGGAACAATAACAACACCACTAATCCAATATCTGTCATCATCTATTAACTATAACTGGGGACATTGTATGTGGCAGCTAGTGTGCCCCACTATCTCGCTCTACTCGATAGTGTTCCCTTATGTCAATACGACGTAATCGAATGTTTAACTAACAGTGTTGCGGGCATTCCCTTATGTAAATACAATCTAATCGAATAGTTTGACTAACTATGCAACCCCACATTATAGAACCCTTTAGTGGATGTAACAAGCTAGTAAATGTTGCTCCACTATCTTGTTCTGCTCGATACTCTTTACACGTTATTTTATTTTATTGGCACTTTTTTTATTAACATATGGTAGCATACAATTTAATTACCAAATAAAGTATATTATGTTTTTATTGAATCGTATGGGAATAAATTAGATTATTGTTTAAAAAGGTCCGTCTCCCCCCCCTTCCTCCTCCTCCTCCTCTCCTCTTGATTGATCTTATTCCTGTAGCGCACTTGATTTTTGATTTTTGGTTTTTGTTGAGAATTACTTATAAGTATCATTCTCTTTTCATTTTTTTTCTTTTTTCAATTTCCACTTGTGACGAGTTTAGTTAGTATCAATTTTCTTTTATTTTTTGAAGAATATCTGAAAAGTTATGGTAAAATATGCATTGATTACCGGTGCCTCCTCCGGGATAGGCTATAGTCTTGCCGAGGAGTTGTCTAGACGTGGATACCAAGTGATTGGGTGTTCACCATCACAAGCAATCTTTGGACAGAAACCATTAGAGGAGAAATACGGAGTGATTTCTATTCCCTTAGATATCACCAATGTAGAGAATATTAAGCAAGTACACGATAAAGTTAAGGAGATCACTGATGGAAAATTGAGCATTCTTTATAATAATGCAGGGATATCCATTGCTGCACCAGCAATTGAAAATGACGAAGAGCAGTTGGATCGACTCTTCCAGATCAATGTGCTTGGACACATTAATATGACTAAATGGTTTGCACCTTTTGTTATTGCATCGAAAGGAACAATTATATTCACTTGTTCTGTTGCTTCAAGAGTCCCTTTGAGTTGGGTCAGTGCATATAATGCAACTAAAGCAGCTATTGATGCTTATGCCCAGACATTACACGGAGAAATGAAACCTTTTGGTGTTAGAGTTCACAGTGTGATTACTGGTGGAGTAGATACGGCGATATGTGATGCCAATGTGAGAACATCATTGGGAGATTCATATTATGAAGTTCCCGGAGTATACGATTCGATAAGGGCATCAGCTATGATGAGTAGGGATTTGAATATTTCTCCAGAAAAATACGCCAAGGAAGTTGTTAAGGATTTAATGAAATGGAGAGATCCTGGATTTAATTTATACCACGGTGCTAGAAGTTATTTTTTGCATTGGGTGAGTAGATATTTGCCATTGTGGTTGGTTGAAATGGGTGTCCAGTGGCATTTCAAACAATTGAGGGTGTTGAGAACCTTGGCTAAACTAACAAAGCAAAAAAGATATACAAAAAGGAACATCTGATTGAAGTTTGAAAAAGTAGAGTAAAATTCAAACAAGGATTCTCAGTATGTAGAATGTAGTTTCCCCTTTATATTATTATATACTATTTTCCATTCTATCTGCACCCAAATTTGCTAATCTGTCAGCGTTTTCATTTCCCTCATCGCCACTATGACCTCTAACATAATGCAACTCCAAGGGTCCCCAGTTGTGTTGCCTATATAATTGATCAACTTCATTCTTTAACTCTACTGCTTCTTTGATAATGTCTGCATTTGCCACAGGTGTGTTCTTTGATGTTCTCCAACCATTAGCCTTCCAGTTTTTAGCCCATGTACTGATGCAGTTGATTGTGTATTGTGAATCTGAATGGATCGAAAATGGTTCAGGCGAGTCTGAGGTGATAAGATGGTGTTTGATGTCACGTAAAGCGTGTCTCATGGCGTGAAGCTCTGCGCGTTGGTTCGTTGGGGGGTTTTTATGAACGTCGTCAACTTCGTCTAAGGCGACTGCTCTGTTACGTGGGTCATTAGTGCCATAGTATACTCCGTAGCCTGAAGCCGGAATGGACACACGGCCATTGCCTCGAGAGGCACCATCAATGTAGATTGGTTTCGGCTTTCTCGATAGAGAATTATAATGAGCGAAAGCGTAGTCATGCTCATCGTGCTCCTTTGACTCGGAAACAGAGCCATATCCACCATCAACAAACCGTTGTGCTTCATTCATAGTACTGAATTTCTTGTACGAAGCATTACCATATCCGCTAACCTGGGCCTTACATTCGTCCCATGTCAAGTAAACTCCACATCTATAGCCTCTTGCTACGGCATAATAGGGCATGATGATGGTTAATTTATGATGTATTATTGATAATGAGCGAACAATTTTGAAAAGTGGTGGTACTAGGCTAAATCGTGGTATTTTGACAAAGTCAAAGCGATAGCAAGTAAGAGATGATAGAGTCTTCTACTGGCTCAGTTTAGGAAAGTTTGAAAAAAGCGGCACTAGGCTAAATCGTGGTATTTTATATAAGTCAAAGCGATAGCAAGTAAGAGATGATAGAGTCTTCTACTGGCTCAGTTTAGGAAAGTTTGAAAAAAGCGGCACTAGGCTAAATCGTGGTATTTTATATAAGTCAAAGCGATAGCAAGTAAGAGATGATAGAGTCTTCTACTGGCTCAGTTTAGGAAAGTTTGAAAAAAGCGGCACTAGGCTAAATCGTGGTATTTTATATAAGTCAAAGCGATAGCAAGTAAGAGATGATAGAGTCTTCTACTGGCTCAGTTTAGGAAAGTTTGAAAAAAGCGGCACTAGGCTAAATCGTGGTATTTTATATAAGTCAAAGCGATAGCAAGTAAGAGATGATAGAGTCTTCTACTGGCTCAGTTTAGGAAAGTCTTGTATTGTACTTTCCTCCTTATCAATACCCCTCCATTTTTTTTTCTTTTGGGACTCGCGAGTCCTCCCATCCTCCCATCCTCGCACTTCCGCCCCCCTGGTCTGGCTAAAGTTCTCTTTTGGAGAAGATGGGTATTAGGTCACTGGTCATCTTTTTGACTTTGTTGGCTTTGTTGGAGAAGCTTATCGCTGGTTTAGACAAAGTTCCGTGGGGTTGTATACCACTGCTTAATTCCATTAGAAGCGAGAAAGGTAATGGCGATGTGAGCGATGAGATGACCATCTCAAACAGAACAACCTCGCGGGCTGGCCCTACCGTCGCATTTGCTCGCCCGCTGGCCTGCTGGCCCGCTTATCGCGGCCCATCTAGAACGAGTTGGCGCCCCATTTGGTCCCCAATGCTGGGTCGTGTTTTTTCTTCTGAAAAATTATCTTCTTTCTTTACATTCTACTACTATAACCTTTTTTATAGAAACTAAGTAGAGATCAACCATTGTACTTGTGGTGAAGAGGGGGGTAAAACCTGTAGAAAAATGAGTAATAATTCTACCGATGGTATTTTGTCGGAGTTTCCAGTAGTGGATGCTCTTTTGGGCAATATAACAGCAACTACTGGCAACTCCTCCTCAGTACATCTTTTGAGCAATGTCTCAATACCTTTGAGCGCGAGTTCATCCATTATCCTGAGTCAAGACCAATTGGTTCAAGATATAACGACATTGATACTCATGTTGCTTGTTACGCTTGTTCCTATAACTTTAGGTGCATTCACAACCATAGCCAAGCCGAAGAATGCCCAAGATCCACGCGTTGATCAATTAACCAATGCCAAGTTTGATCCTCTGGATATGGACGGGTCGCAATATTTCATAATGAATAAAATGGGGCTACAGAGGGTATACTCGGGGGAACTGAGTACAATTACTATGTTGGAGGTATTATTGATGCCAGTTATGGCTGGTGGTGTTCTTGGTGGATTGTATTATTGTATTAAAAAAGGAATAAGCATTGAAAAGTTGTTGAATTTGTATATCTTAATAATGCTTCCTGTGTGTTGTTTTATTAGCTTGGAGAAGTTGATAAGTATGGGAATCAGGCGCGTGAGCCATTTTTGGAGTGGTTGCGACTCAAGATGGTTGTTTAGTCGGTACCGTTGTGTTTTTGTTGAGGATGTGGATTGCTTCCCGCTTGGGCAATTGGAAGATACCAATGAAGAAGAAGAAGAAGAAGAAGAAGAAGAAAAGGAAATGGATAAAGATGAAAATGAAAAGTTCATCAAATACTTGGACTCAGAAAACATTGCTATTCTCAAGCCAACAGAGGTCAAAACAAATAAATACACAATTGATTGGATATTGGATACAAAGTTTCTAGTTATTATCCCGCTAACGATATTGATCTCCTTTGGTTATTATTACAACAATCAGAATAGGCAATGGAGTAATATAGCAGCATTCATGTTTATTATAACCTCATTTCAACAATCCAAGCTTTCGAACTTCAAGACAGGCCATATTATGCTCATTGGTTTATTCATTTATGATATTTATTTTGTTTTCGGCACCAAGATTATGATCACTGTTGCTACTCAAATTGATGCACCAATAAAATTGTATATTCCCAAGATTTATCAATTGGGTGATCATAGCATATTAGGTTTGGGAGATATTGTTATACCTGGTGCATTTATTGGTTTATGCTTGAGATATGATATGAACAGGTATTATGATAGAACTAGGGAACCTTTCCATCATTTGACACTGTATAGTAAGCCGTATTTTATTACCAGTTTGATTAGTTACTCGTTTGGGTTGATCCTGACTATGACTGCTTTGGTTGTTTATAACCATGGACAGCCAGCATTGCTTTACATTGTTCCTTTTTTACTTGGTGGTGTGAATATTTTGGCATTGATAAGAGGAGAATGGAAAGAATTGTGGGGATTTGAGGATAGCTTAGTGCCATTTGATAAAGGGAAAGACATGAAGAAAAAGGAAAAGAAGAAAGATGAGGAAAAGGAGGAAGAGGAAGAGGAAGAGGAGGACGATGATTATATACCAGAAGAGATTGACGAAGAGTTGGATTCTTTTATTGCTATGGTGGAGAAAAAAAGAGGAGAAGAAGGTTGGATTGAAACTGATATTGATGGCGATGATTTGTATGATGAGGATGAGGATGATACTTTTGTAATTACTGTAACAGGACGAGAAGAGTATGAAGAGGACGAAGAAGAAGAAGAAGAAGAAGAAGAAGAAGAAGAAGAAGAAGAGGAGGAGGAGGAGGAGGAGGAGGAGGAGGAAAATTCAAAACCCGGATATTTCATATTTGGTAAACAAAAGGAGGATTTTTCAACAGTACGGAAACTCATATACCTACCTATCAAAAATAAGGGTCAGGAAAACCAAAAGCAAGACTTAGTCTTGGAATGCCAGTTGGTAACATATATAAGCAACGGCATACTGATATCATTAATCTACGATTCTTGTGAAGTTGAAAAATTGGACTCCTTAGAGTTTTATGAGCTGCTAGAGTCGTCTATATTACAGCCACTAGTTGAAGAAGTGGGCAATTCCGTAATGAGTGATAGCACTATCAGCACAAATAACCTTTCACTTAGTTATGGCTCTATTAGAACATCGAGTCTTCGACATCCCGGTTCAGCCACAGCAAATATAGATCGCGATTTCTTCTATATCATCTACGATTTGCATCAGAATAGCTATCAAACCTCATTCCCATACTTGCCATCAACAAAAACAGAAAATGAAGCGATATATCTCATACATGACCAATTGATCAAAATATTCATGCCTTTGTTAGAGAACAACAGTGACTGCAAGGTCAATGTCAATGAGTTTTTCCACAAGTTCACTACTAGCTATAGAAACGACTGGATGGTGTACTTTGTGAAATGTGGGCACAAGCTAATTTTGGTAATTAAAAATAAGAACAAGAACAAGAACAAGATTGGTAAATTTACTAGTGGAGGAACGACCAGTGTCCCACACGTTGGTGTTGAAAGGTCAGTATTAGACCAATTGACTGGAGTTGTTTCAGAGTATGCTGGTGGTCTCGGATTCTTGGAGAATTTGGGAGACGATGTAAAGTATTGGCTTGGATTAGTTGTAGAAGCTGAACAAGAGTAAGTAAAAATAAAAATGGAACCAAAATCTTATACTCTTTACAAAAAGAGAAATTTGCGTTTGCAATTTTTCAACGCTACATTCTTTTTTGTACGACGCATTCTTTTTCGTTCGACGCATTGGGTCGAATTGTTTTTTTTTCTTTTGTACCTCAGATTGCTAGTTTGATTGCTAATTTGATTGCTAGCTTGATTGATGTTTGATTGCTTTAATTAAAGTATGACAGTTGCTACTCGGGGTAAAGGTACCTTCAACAAACTCAGTAAATGTTTGATTTGTTTGTTTGAGTTGTATAGTTGATAAACAATTCGAGTGATTTCCATCTCTTTCCTCTCTGTTATTGTGGTTCTTAAACCCTTCCGTATATACTAACGATTACTGTGATTAATTGTACGCGGGGTATCTTTGGTTTACCAAAGGTTCTAGGATACCAGCATATCTTCCAGAGAAGTATTCTGAGAATGAGAAGTTTAAAAGATTACAAGGTGGGGATGACGGTGGAGGTCAATGATCGTATGCAAAAAAACTATTCGTATAAATTGACTAAAGAAATGGGTGCAAAAGCTTCAGATTTCAATGACGGAGGATTTGCGCCTGATTTGACACCAGAGGAAGTGCTAGCAGAAGGAGTGTTTGAAGGCAAATATCTCAATGATTGTACCGAGGAGTTTCCCAAGGAGTGGTTTGAGAAATCCAAAAAACACCGTGTTGGTGTAGGAAAGCCTCCTGATTATAAGTTGAACCGGTTCAAAATTAAAAGTCGGCAATCCTTGGTGATTTGGCAAGATAACGGTTGGTTAATAGGAGATGATCCACGAGGATGGTTTCAATGGTACTGCAGATACTGGCTTGGTCGGCGTTCATCTTGCGACGATTTTCAAAAGAGAAGATGGAGAGCTTTTAAACGTCACAAGGGTCAAGTTCAGAAGAATTGCGAGCCGGGAGATTTAAAGTGCCGTCCAAAACAACGTCAAGCATTATTGGAATGGGCGTATGATCCTTTTATTTAGACACTATCAAGCAGAGCGAGATAGTGTAGAGGAGAGTAGTGTAGAGTAGTGTAGAGGAGAGTAGTGTAGAGTAGTGTAGTATAGAGTAATAAGATAGTAGTGAGTAGTGAGTAGAGTGGAGAGTAGAGTAGATAGTGTATAGATTAGAGTAAAGGCTATCTCGCTTTTCTCTATTGAATATAGTAGTATAAACTATGTTAGCCCATAGAGGTAGGTGAAACCACTGAAAAATGTCTGGGGCAACTAAAAAATGTCTGGGGCAACTAAAAAATATCTGGGGCAACTAAAAATGTCTGGGGCAACTAAAAATGTCTGGGGCAACTGTCGAAAAATCTGAAACATTGTCGCAAAATCTGAAACATTGTCGCAAAATCTGAAACATTGTCGCAAAATCTGAAACACTGTCGCAAAATCTGAAACATTGTCCCAAAAATCTGAAACGTTGTCAAAAATCTGAAACACTGTCGGAATATTCGAAATACTGTCAGGATATCTGAAATAACTGAAAAAATTGTCTGAAGTAACATAGAATTATCTATACTGTAGAGCAATATACACTGTAGAGCTAAACACTCTACTAATACCAGTTCCAACACTATTACTGATTCCATTCAGCTACTTTACAGTGACTGCAAAACATTCATTCGTAATTCCAAGACTCATGTCGCAGTATCGGTGGCAGTCGATGCTCCACTATCGAGCGACACTATCGAGCAGAGTAGTGTAGTGTAGAGCAGAGCAGTGTAGTGTAGAGTAATGAGATAGTAGTGAGTAGTGATTAGAGTAGAGAGTAGTGAGTAGTGATTAGAGTACAGAGTACAGAGTAGAGTAGAGAGTAGAGTAGAGTAAAGTAGAGTAGAGTAGAGTAAAGTAGAGTAGAGTAGAGTAGTATAAACTATGTTAGACTATAGAAGGTATGCTAGCCCATAGAGGTAGGTAAAACAACTGAAAATTGTCTGGTACAACTGAGGAATGTCTGAGATAATTATAGAAATGTCTGAAATACTGTCGAAAAATCTGAAACGTTGTCGAAAAATCTGAAACGTTGTCGAAAAATCTGAAACAAATTCCGAAACATTGTCAAAAATCTGAAACAAATTCTGAAACATTGTCGAAAATTCTGAAACACTGTCAAAAATCTGAAACACTGTCGGAATATTCGAAAAACTGTCGGGATATTTGAAATACTGTCAGGATATCTGAAGGAGTTGAAAAATGTCTGAAGCAACTCAAAAAATGTCTGATACAAATGAAGAAATGTCTGTGGAACTATTCAATACAATCGTAGGGCTATCTATACTGTAAAGCTATTGTTGCTATCTAATACTGTAGAGCTAGTATTGGCGATTCATGCCGCAAAACTCTGCTAATACTAGTTCCAACATTACTACTAATTCCATTCAGCTACTTTACAGTAACTGCAAATTCGTAATTCCAAGACTCATGTCGTAGTATCGGTGGCAGTCAATGCTCCACTATCGAGCGACACTATCGAGCGACACTATCGAGCAGAGCGAGATAGTGTAGAGCAGAGTAGTGTAGCGTAGAGCAGAGTAGTGTAGCGTAGAGCAGAGTAGTGTAGTGTAGAGCAGAGTAGTGTAGTGTAGAGCAGAGTAAGCTTAATGTTTCTATGTAGTTTAAAGTAATAGAATGTAATGAGGATAGACAAATCACAGAGTTTAAATAACAGAGTTTAAATCACAGAGTTGCGTTTAATCATAGAGTTCCGTTTAATCATGGAGTACCCTTCATTGAGTCAAATCATAGAGTACCCTTCATTGAGTCAAATCATAGAGTTCCCTTTCTCTTCTACTGTCCCACAGAGTCCTCTTTTCCCGTCAAGCAATCAGTGTCGATAAGAGCTAGTGTCGGTCAGTATGCTCCACTATCTCGCTCTACTCGATAGAAACACTTACTACCTGTAACAACACTCTCTCGCTCTGCTCGATAGAAACACCAACTAGCCTGTAACAACACTCTCTCGCTCTGCTCGATAGTATTTCTAGCCTGTTACAACACTATCTTGCTCTGCTCGATAGTGTCGACGGTGTTGGTAGGCTGATCAGAAAAGTACTAGAGAACAGAACAAAGTAGGAGTATGAGTATAACATCTATGAGAGTATTTATCACTATTCTTCTTTTGTTGTTACTGCCATTTAGTATCTGTTGTACTAATCGCTGCTACTAGTTGCTGCTACTAATTGCTGCTACTAATTGCTGCTACTAATTGCTGCTACTAATTGCTGCTACTAATTGCTGCTACTAATTGCTGCTACTAATTGCTGCTACTAATTGCTGCTACTAGTTGCTGCTTCACTATCTCGCTCCGCTCGATAGTGTAGCGAGAGTGTCGCTCGATGGTGTCGATAATCGGTAGCGTTGATTTATAGAAACTTCGAGAAGGGCAAACAAATATAAAAGTAATGGTAGAAATTATTTCAGCCTTGGTAAACAATTGGAGAAAGCTTTTCCAAGGATAGAGGTTTATACTAGATACTGATTTGACCAATTGAGCTGTTTTTGAGAAATGTCTACCGATTCAGTTACTCCAACCGTGTTATGGGCACAACGTTCCAACGGTTCAGATGCAAGCAAGAATGTTGTTTTGCTAACTGTTCAAATCACCGATTATACTGATCTTAAGATTGACTTGCAGCCAACTTATCTCTCGTTGAAGGCCAAGTCTTCAGCAGCAACCTCGGTTTCTTACGAATTGAAGATTGATTTTTACGAGGAGATAGACCCAAAGGAGTCGAAAATCAATACAGAAAGCGGAAACCACATTTATATGGTTTTGAGAAAGAAGAAATTGCAAGAAGAGTATTGGCCAAGGTTGACCAAAGAAAAATTAAAGTACCACTATATCAAGACCGATTTTGATAAATGGGTAGATGAAGACGAACAGGATGAAGTCAAGGACGACGCAGACTTGATGGGTGGAATGGGTGGAATGCCAGGTATGCCTGGTATGGGTGGAATGGGTGGTATGCCAGGTATGGATGGCATGGGCATGGGCGGTGCCGGTGGAATGGACTTTTCCCAGTTATTGAGCGGAATGGGCGGCGCAGGTGGCGGTGCAGGTGGAACTCCAGATTTGAATGCTTTGGCCAGCCAGTTGGGTGCCGCAGGTGGTAACGCAGGTGATTTAGATTTCAGCTCTTTGGGTGGCGACTCGAAAGATGGTGGTGATGACGACGACAATGAAGAGATTGAAGAAATCGGAAATACAAGCAAGAAAGATGATAAAGAGGAGGTTATCGAAGAGATCAAGTAAAGTTAAGGCAGACATTTTTATTTTTGCAATACTTGTAATTAGTCAGTGAAACCCGATTGGTTCATGTAGATCTTGAAGAAAATTTACACGTTGTTGGAGCTGCTTTCTAGAATTTCACACCATTTGTAAAGTATTAATACTAGGCTTATTTTCGTCTCTTGTTGATCTTCTTCTTGTTGATCTTCTTCTTCTTCTTCTTCTTTGAGTCGTCTGTTGAGAAACAACTCGCTTTTGACCAATACTTGGTCTCTCACACGAGGAATACTAATCTCGTCCAAGACTTGTCGCTGCATAGAATCAGTCATGAGTACTTGAACCTTATGATTAAGATGGAGCACGAATAATTCATGCAAAAATTTATTTACTTGGTAACCACAAAACTCCTCCATTTTCAAAAAACAAGTGCTTACATTTTCAGAACCGGTTTCAAGAAACCGTTTAAATATACCATAAAACGCAATGACACATGGCTCCTGAATACCACCAATAAATTCGTACAATTCATGCCACGACTCAATTAATACTATAGATACCCCATAAAGATCGCGAATAACGCTCGGACTCGGTTGGGGCAATACTATATCCTCATTATACAATACAGGGTCAGCAACAACTATATACCCATGACCAAAGCCCTGCTTACTGGCAAAAACAACAAAGTTCTCAATACTGAGGGCTTGCTCGGCAATATACTGTAGCATCCATCCATCGAATAAAGCAGAGATTTGTCGTGCCTTTCAAATGGAAAAAAAAAATATTAAAAAAAAAAAAAAAAACGGTGAAGATTTTGAAAAATTTGAAATTTTTCAACCAACTTCATTAGGATACTTGTGAAGTAAAGGTGTATTTTTGTCCCTGCAAGTAAGTGATGAAGATTGTTGGGAAGAGGTTACTTCGAAGACTGCTTCTGAGAAGCAGTACTTTGTCGAATGCCATGCCTGAACCTCTAGTAGACCATAATTTGTTGAACAAGGAGTTGAGGGAACAAGCTATAGCAGAAGCCTTAGCGCGAGAAGAAGCAGCTATACAAAAAGCCAAGGAGATCCGTGAATTGGTGGACAAATCTAAGGAGCTCATTACCACTTTGAACAAGACTCCTACGCTGTTGATAAATGAGCGTATTTTGCGGTTAAACAAAGATTTGGCCAAGTTGCCTCAGACTAAAGTGAAACAACTCGATGAGGAATTACGAGAGTTTATTGTTACCCATATGAAGTTGAGCGAGGATCTTGCTGCAAATAGACCATGGACCCAGCAAAGGTCAATACTAGGGGAAGCCAGAGCATCGAACAAGGGTAAAAAGACAAGCCAGGATGAGTCAGAAGCCATGGCTGCACCACCAGTATCAAGTCAGTATATTTCACAATACCCCAACTTAAAGCCTACTCCAGATTATAAGGGTTACTCCGACCAGGAACTTTACTTGAGACAACTAAACTATTTAAGATCCTCCGGGAAATTGGGATCGAAAGTTGAAAATGTTTACAAACCACAGAGAGACACACATAAACCAATGAGCGTGTCGAATGCTACAGTTGCCACTTTACTTGCTGCAGGATGTCATATGGGGCATGCTACTGCATCTTTTAGAGCAAGTTTTCAGCCTTTCTTATATGGGGTCTACAACGGTATTCATTTAATCGACTTGAACCAAACTATCGAACAATTACGCCTTGCATGTAAGGTTATTGAGGGTGTCAGTGAGAAAGGTGGAGTGATTCTTTATGTTGGAACGCACAAAAATTGGTCTATTCAAGAGTCCTTAGTTGCTGCATCAAATAGATCAAAAGGATATTACGTATCAAAGAGATGGATTCCCGGTACCATTACAAACTACATCGAGGTTACTAAGCAGATTAAGGATCCTAAAATGAAGCAACATGTCGATATGGAAAACACGCCCGTGGAGTCAGGAAGAAACTTTTTCAATTCTATCATCAAGCCCGATTTGGTAGTCCTATTGAATCCTGTTGATAATAGAAACTGTATCAAAGAGTGTATTTCTGCTTGTATACCGACAATTGCCCTTTGCGACACTGATATGGAAGCAAGCTTGATAACATATCCTATTCCTTGTAATGATGATAATGTCCGATCTGTAAACTTGATGCTTGGAATCTTGTCCAAGGCCGCAGAGACCGGATTGAATAAAAGACTTGATGCCATCCAAAGATTAAAGGAAGAAGATAAAAGAAATCAAGAGGCCCAACTTCAAATCAATGGCCCTAGCGAAAATCTTGATTCTGCTATGGTATAAAATTTGTAAATAGACTTGTAATCATATAACTAGTCAGTTCTTCCTCCTGTATCCATAGGGAGATCATTAATGTAAAGAGAGCTTTTTTTTAAAAAAGGTATGGCTATATATATATATATATACAATACTATGTAATGAGTTTTGTATTAGTGACTTAGTTATAACTTTTGTCTAAAAATTTCGGTAATTTCGTCTATAGCGTCCATAATTTCGTTTGACTTATCTCCCATTCCTTGCACTATATTTCCTTTACCCCCGGCTTTACCACCAACTTTCTTAGTGACCAATTTAGCCAACTCTAAACCATCCACTCCCTTGGCAATGGCTTCGTCACTAATATAACATCCATGAGCAACTTTTCCATTCTCATTACCAGTAAATAAATAAATCGACTTTGTTTTATCTTGCTTCTTCACGAAATTGAATGCTTCTGTTATTGCCTTAGCATTAGCCCCAATAGGAATGCGGGCAACCAAATACTCACATTTGTTTTGGTTATCGTCAAGCCAATTTTTCACAATTTCCAAAGTCTTTTTGCTTTCTTCCTTTTGTATCAATTTTAGATTATCTCTGATTGACTTGTCAATCTTGTTGAATTTCTCAGTCAATTTCTGCTTATCCAAAACGGAAATGGTCAAATTTTTCAAAGCAACACCCAATTCTTTTACTTTGTTCTCTCTATTGGAACCAACTGGCATCGAGTTGGCTGCATCTAATTCTCCCTCAAATTCCTTTGCAATCTGTTGTACAGCATGAGCATCGTGACCAGTAACAGCAACAATTCTCCTAATACCTTTAGCAATACCGGATTCCTCAATAATTACCAAATCCTTAATCTCGCTTGTCTTGGCAACGTGTGTCCCACCGCAAAATTCAATTGAAGTGGATCTCCACTCTTCATTTTCGGGATCTTTCAACAAGTTCTCAACGGGAACACCAATAGATACTACTCGAACTGGATCAGGATAGGTCTCTCCAAATACTGCTCTCAATCCGTTTACTTTTTTGGCTTCAGCTAAGGATACATCCTTGTAATAAACTTGCTTATTATCCTTGATGTACTGATTGGAAATCTCTTCTATTTTGGCCAACTCTTTTGAACTCAAAGCTTGTTTGTGGCTGAAATCAAATCTCAACTTCTCTTTAGCCACCAAAGAACCTTTTTGATCTACTCCATCTCCAAGAGTTTCTCTCAATGCGTAATTCAAAATATGAGTTCCAGTATGGTTGTTTCTAATTGGCCACCTACGCAATTCATCATAAGCAGCAACAACTTCATCTCCCAAACTTAATTTACCCTCAATAAGGTACCCTGTATGTAGAACGTATCCTCCATAAACTTGAACGTTTTCAACGTTGAATTCCGTTTTTCCATCAATAACTAATTTACCAGTATCATACTCTTGACCACCTTGTTCCGCATAAAATGGAGTTTTATCTAACAAAATACCATATTGTACGTTTCCCTCTTCTTGATCATTAGTTGTTGTTGTAGTAGTAGTAGTAGCAGTAATATTTGTAGTATTTGTTGTATTTGTAGTATTTGTAGTAGCAGTGTCTACAAATTCACTACCGTTATATATAGCAACGATTTTAGCTTTTATGTTTTCGGTACTATATTTAGCCTCGTCATTAGTTTTGGGGACTTTTTTCTCGTCCAATTCGGATAATGCATGAACGTCCAATTTGACCAAAACACCCTTGTTTTTTGTGCCGGCACCTTTAGAAGCTTCCCTTGAAGCTTCCCTAGCCACCTCAAAACCCTCCTCATCAATCTTCAACCCTGCTTCTTCAGCCATTAATCTGGTCAAATCGACGGGGAAACCATAAGTGTCATATAATCTCCAAACATCTTTACCAGATAATGTTTGTTCGGGTGTTTTGGAAGCAATGATTGCATATTGCTCAAACAATCTTTCTCCACGGTCCAATGTCTTTGCAAACGACAACTCCTCTTCGTTTAGAATCTCCTTCAAGTCAGAAGCTCCATGGCTGATTTCCGGGAATATTTCTTTATTTTGATCAATAACGACATCTACCAATTGTTGGAAAAATGAACCAATAGGGTAGTTCATATACTTGCGCACATAACGAGAGCCTCTTCTTAAGATTCTTCTCAAGACATAGCCTCTTCCTTCGTTATTAGGCACACCTCCATCACAGATTGCAAACGTCAAAGTTCTTACGTGATCAGCAATGACTCTATAAGCCGTGTCAATTCCGTCTTTATCTTCGGAGCCAAATTTCCCAGTATATGGTCTCACACCAGTAACTTCTCTAATCTTTTCAAAGATGGGCAAGAATACATCTGTATCGTAATTGGACGACTTGTTTTGCAAAATGGAGACCAATCTTTCGAACCCCATTCCTGTATCAATGTGTTTACTTGGCAACGGTTTTAAGGAACCGTCTGTTTCACGATTGTACTGCATGAAAACAATATTCCAAATCTCCAAGACATTTGGATCATCCATGTTCACCAACGAAGCGGCATTTCTGCCTCCTCCAATTCTATCGTAGTGCACCTCTGAACATGGCCCACAGGGGCCTTGATCGCCCATCTCCCAAAAATTATCTTTGGCATTACCAGGTAAGATGTGGTCTTCTTCAACGCCAACTTCCAACCAATAGTTTTTTGCTTCTAAATCAGGCTCAAGACCTTGTTTCGGATCTCCTTCAAAGTACGTGACATATAATCTTTCCTTTTCTAAACCGTATACTTGGGTCAACAATTCCCAAGACCAAGAAATAGCCTCTTTCTTGAAATAGTCGCCAAAAGACCAGTTTCCAAGCATCTCAAAGAATGTGTGGTGGTACGAATCCCTTCCCACATCTTCTAAATCGTTATGTTTACCACCAGCACGAATACACTTTTGTGAATTAACAGCTCTTTTCAAATTGGCAAAACCACTAGAAGGGTCAACTGTACCTAAAAATATGGGCTTATATTGATTCATACCGGCATTTGCAAACAACAACGTTGGATCGCTGTGTGGAATAACCGATGACGATGGAACAAATGTATGCTGCCTCTTATCTTTGAAATAGTCCAAAAACGTACATCTGACACTCGAGGCTGTCCATTTTTGACTTGTTTGCGTAGCTGTGGATGACGACATGATTCTTATACCTGTCCTCTTTAGCATGCAACTAAGTAAAACTCACCACCGTGTATATGTGTTACTGAGTGTAAAAGCAATCTGTTTAACTAATTGAAAAAGACATTGAAGATAAATTTTTTTTTTCTTCAGCAGAAGGAAGCCGTTGAGAGAAAGAGTTGAGAAGGAGATGAATAGTGACTAGAAGAATGAGACTAGACGTGTGAGACTAGACGAGTGAAACGAGTCTAGTCGATGGAGTGTAGAAATAAGAGAGAGACTAGTCGATGGAGTGTAGATAGAAGATTAAACAAGGATGGGTATGTAACAAATTGTAGTTTATGACATGTGTAGATGAGCAAAATGGGTTTAGCTTTTGACTCGATTCGATCAGAGTGTCGGTGATAGCGTCGATAGTGTCGGTGACAGTCAGTGTCGATAGTGTCGGTGGAAGTCAGTGTCGACAGAGTCGGTGACAGTCAGTGTCAATAGTGTCGGTGACAGTCAGTGTCAATAGTGTCGGTGACAGTCAGTGTCAATAGTGTCGGTGACAGCCAGTATTGCTCCACTATCTCGCTTCGCTCGATAGTGTCGATAGTGTCGACAGTGTCGGTGACAGTCAGTGCTGCTCCACTACTCGCTTCGCTCGATAGTGTCGATAGTGTCGATAGTGTCGATAGTGTCGATAGTGTCAAAGTATTCTTCTTTATCTAACAACTCAATCACATTGGGAACGTCCTTAGCTAAAGCTCCAGCTAAGCTCCACTTTGTGGCCCAGTCTGGAATATTACCACCAGCAGTTGAAGTTGTAGCTACGAGCCAGTTGGCTTTATTGTCGCTCCATTTCAACTCCTCAACAGAAACGTACTTTCCCAATACTGTTTTGGGATCTAATTTGTCCTTAATTGGAACGCTAACAACTAGAGCCCATTGCTTATTTGGGTCGACGTAAATATGAATGAGCTCATTAAATGTCCTAATACTCAAGGGGAACCCAAAACTGTATTCGGCATGTATAGTGTAGCTCCATCCGTCTGCATAGTTTTTGAAGTTGGCTACTTCCATTTTACTGATTTCATGGACATACCGTGGCTCATAATCAGAGTGCGTAAACCCAGTTTCCGTCGTTCCAATAATACATTTACGCAATCGGTCCAAATGAATGTTTTCCAATTCTGTTTGTCTTGAGCACCAAAAGTCTCCGTTAATCTCACTATGTTTGGAATAAGTCACATGACCTGTAGACTTGTAGAAAGTCTTACCTTGGTGCCAGCTGGGAATAGAATCAATGATGCTTGTTGCATCGTTTAAAAGTGTTTCGCGTGATAGCTCAGCACTGTATTCTCTCAATTTCATATTACTCATTTCTATCAAGTTCCTTTTGCCTCAACTTTTATTCCAATTATTCGAAAATGGCAATGTCACTTATCACTACTGATTTATATACTGCGATTTTGCATTCGATTGCTACAAAGTTGCAAAATAAAAGTTGCGAAAAAAGAAATAGCCCATGCTACCTGATTTTTGGGACCAACCGGGACCAACCAGAAATTAAAAAGGTTTAGCACCTTTTATACTGTGGTTCGACTACATTTGATATCACTATCGAGCAGAGCGAGATAGTATTGTAGCAAGCTACTAGGTGGTCCACTATCGAGCAGAGCGAGATAGTGTTGTAACAAGCTACAAAGTGTTGCTCCACTATCTCGTTCTGCTCGATAGTGTCGCTCGATAGTGTCGCTCGATAGTGTCGCTCGATAGTGTTGTAACAAGCTACAAAGTGTTTCTCCACTATCTCGCTCTGCTCGATAGTGTCGGTCGATAGTGCCGCTCGATAGTGCCGCTCGATAGTTTAGTCTAAATTTTCTTCCTCATTTATCAATTGCAAATATTCATAATAGAAGGCAATGATTTGCAAATGAGAGTCAAACTTGATATTTTCATCAACTCCATGAGCGTGAGACTCAACTGTTGTGAAAAGTCCTGGCCTATACCTGAATATATTTTTAGTCAAGTTCCAATAATACTTGGTATCAGTATTGCCTGTGGCTATTCCAGGGGCAACGATAACTTGCATACCGTGATATTCTGAGTTGGGGTCGGAAAATGCCAATTGTTCGTAAACATGTCTAATGTTTCCAGAAAACAACTCCCATACGGGACCCACAGTTGGAGTAATTGGCGCTGGCTCTAGTTGAGAAGCTTTATAAATCACCAATTTCCCATTGGGCGTTTCCTCACGCAATGTCTTGTTTTCGGAAACCAAACCCAAATCAAATTTTTCAGCTATTTGCTGGACATGGAATAAATCGTGATCGTAAATCTCGTTGACGGATGATTCAACGGCAATCCTATGATTTACAACAATTTCAACATATTCCGGTAACGCATTCGACTTGACTCCTCCATGAATAATGTCCACAGCTTGAGACGAAGAAATCAAGTACCTACTAAGTAAGGACTTGTTAAATAACCAATTCTTTGCTTCTTGATTTGCCCTGAAATTGTCACCTGCGTTTAATAAGCTCCACTTTGTATGTGACGACATAGATGGAGAATAAGTTGCAATACACTGATATTCATGGAACGTTGGGTTGTTGGGAGTATAAATCGGCTGGAAAAAATCGTTTTCCAAAGCTTCAACCAATTGTGACACTATTCCAATTGATGTGTGACTTGGAGGAACCGATGAATGCCCACCAGGGGTGTTTAGACCAATAATTATATCTGTAGAGCCCTTTTCTCCTGTGCCTGGTAACGCTAATAGAACATCATTTTCAAAGGCAATGCTCTGACCTCCTTCATCGATAACTGCATAAAATGAATCTTTTCCATAAGTTGACAAAAGATTGTCGGCAATTGATTGTGCACCTCTTTCGCCTCCAATTTCCTCATCAAATCCAAATCCCAAAATTATTGTTCTTTTGGGGGTAAACTTTGCCTTGTGCAATTGCTCTAAGCTCTCCAATAGTCCAATAAGTAAATTTTTACAATCTGATGAACCTCTTCCCCATAATCTATCACCATCATAAATACCTTCGTATGGAGGGTATGTCCATTTGGGCAAAGTGGATAACTGAATGGGAACAACGTCTTGATGAGCTGTTAATAACACCGGCTTCAAGGTGGAATTTGTTCCTGGCCAAGTAATAACAATTCCGTGTGAATTTACAATCTCTACTTGAAAATGTTTGCTGTTGTTGAAAACAAGGGGGAATGTCTCATTAAGGTACTTGTGAAAAGGGTCGAATTTTGCTTGCCAATACTTTGGATCATCATCAACCTTGGGATCGTCATCGTAAACATCGGTTGGGATCTTCACTGCACCAGACAATTTTTTAGCCGATTGATTGCGGAAATTGTCATCAAAAAGGATTCTCAATACCGTGGAATTATCCTCTTTATAAGATCTCGGGAATTTATAACTATACTGACGACATATTGAAGCCGCGGGATCAAACCATTTGCTTAGCTCTAGCTTCGCTATACTCGTAATACAAGTAGGATGGCTGCGAAAAACAAAAATGGCTATAGTAAAACAAACTATGATCAAACAAACGCCCAATTGTTTCAAGAAAGAAGTTGAAGTTGACTTGAAACACCTTCTATCATTGGTTGTGCACCATCTCTTTTGGCTTTCAATACTTTTACTGTGACAATTTGCACATTCACCGCAACACTTTGCACATTCACCGCAACACTTTGCACATTCAACCTGATAAAGACCCTCCTTTTCGTTGTACATTTATTTTTTCTCCTTCTCTGGTTTCCTTTTAACTAGGCGAGCAACTTCTATAGGCAAACTTTTCAAGGAGAAGATGGCTTCTCTTGCTCTTTTTATACAAAATGAAGGTTAATGTCATGATCTTTTTTCTCCTTTGTCCCCCCTCGCCCCTTCTTTTATCTCTTATAAATTACTATTCTATTGTTCTAAAAGGCTAACATTACCGCCGATAGCCCATAGATAAGAGTCTCACCCACCGCCACAGTTACCCACCCACCAACGCGAAACGCGAAACGCAAGCTCTCGGCGTAGAGACCATAGTAGCGCACTCAATAATTTCTCACCCCTTGTTTGATTGCAATCCCCTAAAAATCTAATAGGTGGTTTCATATGCTGGATACTTTGTTGATCTTTTTTACACTTTAAATGCTCAATATACATATATCTACTACAACCCCAGCTCAACAATGCTTTTGGATCTACCGTTAGAAATCCAAATGAAGCTACTATATATGGTACCCCACTCGAATCTAAAATACACCAATTCACATTTTTACATCTTGTATAACGACTTGTTCTACCATAAAATCGTTAATTCGTTTGGCGAAGACACATTAGCAGTGATTGTTAAAGTTTTACCATGGTTGAAACCCTATATCAAATCGCTAGACGCGTTTAGGTATACTAATAGGATGGTTATTGCTAGCAGGTTGGAACTTGTTGATCTGCTAAATGAGGCAGCTACAGAAGAAGAAGAAGAAGAAGATGATGATGATGATAGGGGAAGAGCAGGTGGTGATGATGGGGAAAGAGCAGCAGGTGGTGATGGTGGTGGTATTGATCAAAACCCATTAAACACCCAATATATAAAAGATTCCTGGAAATACATCTATTCCATTTTCAAAAATAAGAGATTGTTTGCAGAGTACTCTGATTACAAGATTGACGAACCATCAAACTATGTATATAACCATTTTGTTGAAATCAACCGTACCTATTTGCTAAGCTATACCAAGCACGTCTGGCTAGCACCCGGCACATATAACTTGAATTTAGGATTAGCGATTAAATATGGTAATGGGTTAGGTACAACGAAATTTGAAGTTAAATACAATGTCGACAATGAAGAGAATTTCAGCGCTGAAGCAGAGAGTTTCGATTCTAGCAGTGTTAACGTCAAACTGTTCTACCCACCTACTAATATAAATGAGATTTTGCCCAAGAATCAATTTTGTTTTTTGAAAATCGGACAATTTGTAGTTCCACCTCGGAAACAAGTTATCAAACAAAGAGGTGGTGGTAATGTAAAAGAGTCCAGAAATAATAAACTACGCAAGATTGAAATTAAAATGGAAGAAATTGGTCTCTACTTAAAAAGTGGGTTTAGAATATATTTCATTGATATAAGTCAACCATCCCTACTTCATGACGAGTTTGACCTACTATATTATACTATTAATGAAACGAATTACAAATTATTTATCAATATTTTATTAAAGAATCTTTACAAGGCAATCAATTATGTTCAAAACGGCGGGTGTTCAGATAACGCAAGTGTCTCATGTGCACCCAGTGCTTATGGCACAGGGGATCCATATCAAATATGGAACCAATACGATAAGTCATTCCTCAAGGAGTATACCTCAAGCTCGGTTCCAAACTCGAGTTCCAATTCGTCTAGTTCTATTTCTTCACTTCAATCCTCGATTTTACCACACCGTCATTCAATTTTCAAGTATGATTTGAAGAAATTAGAGAATTACGCTAAAGTGTTTTTTGCCGCAACTAAAGATCTTAGACGGTATTTCAAGTTTAGTACAATTTATCAACAGCGTCAATTTATCAATAGATTTGGTGACTATCAACTAGATTGGGAAGAGGAAAATGTGCAAACTTCTGACAAGCTAGGTGGTGTACGTGGAGATCATGACGATCATGATGATAATGAGAGGGATGAGGAGGAAAAGGAGAACAAAGAAGCAATAGAGCTGGGAAAAAAACTCATTGAGGAAGAAGAAGATAATGAAGACAATGATGGAATTGGCAATGCTGAGAAGAAACGGAAAGTAAACAAGAGGAGGAGGAGGAGGAGGGGGAAGAAGAGGAGGTGCAGATATGATAAGTATGATTTGAAGTGGAAAATACCAATTATTGGGGAGTTGTAAGTTACCAGCTAGTCCCAAGTTGCATTTAAGAGCGCTATTTGGATGGCTTTAGCTAGATATTGAAAACAAGAAATTGGTTGCATTTGAGAAGGCAAGAGGAAAAGTAAATAGAGCGACACAATCGAGCGGAGCGACACTATCGAGCGAAGCAAGATAGTGGAGCAAAACTTAGTAGCTGCCACCGACACTTACTCGCTCTGTTTGATAGTGGAGCAAAACTTAGTAGCTGCCACCGACACTTACTCGCTCTGTTTGATAGTGGAGCAAAACTTAGTAGCTGCCACCGACACTTACTCGCTCTGTTTGATAGTGGAGCAAAACTTAGTAGCTGCCACCGACACTTACTCGCTCTGTTTGATAGTGGAGCAAAACTTAGTAGCTGCCACCGACACTTACTCGCTCTGTTTGATAGTGGAGCAAAACTTAGTAGCTGCCACCGACACTTACTTGGTCTGCTTTAGCCCAAGCGAGGCATTTAAAACTCGCCAAAAATGATGGGAGCAATACGAGTTCCATCCAATATTGCCAATTAAACTGGCCTTTTTCGCAACATTTTTTGTTTAAGCAAATCATATAATAAAGGAACTCGGATCCCGCAAAAAAAAAAAACCACCAACTTTTCCTACAATCTACTTGTCCCATGATTCACTTGCCCCATGATTCACTTGTCCCATGATTCACTTGTCCCATGATTTTTCCTACGTCGATTGAATCCTCTTTTTATTGGGAGGCGCGCGCCTTATTTTATTTGGGGCTGGGGCTTATTTTATTCAAGGCGTGTTCTACTACGGTGTGGCTCCTTGCTCCTTGTGCGAATATCAGTCACCATAGTAAAGTTAATTTAACCGTGGTCTTAGTCTAGAGTAAAAAAAAATTTTTTCTTTAAACTAGTTAGTAATTAGTATTGGGACCTCTTTCAAAATCACCTTTAGGAGTAGAATCCTGCTTCAAAGGGTAGATTTTTACCACATGGATAAATCGGTGGTAAGTTCTAAACCGGCAATTGTATATGTATATGTACACTATCGAGCAGAGCGAGATGGTGTCTCTCGATAGTGTCGGTGGCAGCTAGAGTGCTCCACTATCGAGCAGAGCGAGATGGTGTCTCTCGATAGTGTCGGTGGCAGCTAGAGTGCTCCACTATCTCGCTATGCTCAATAGTGTCGTTCGATAGTGTCGGTGTCAGCTAGAGTGCTCCACTATCTCGCTATGCTCAATAGTGTCGTTCGATAGTGTCGCTCAATAGGTGTCGGTCTTTACCCCATTCCTCAGTCTCATATTCCTTCGCGCAGGTCCATATTCGCAACCATATCTACATGAAAAAAAAGAATCGGCAAGAGATTTCCGCAGGCCGATCTACTTCGTTACCCGAGGGTAACCGCTTAGGCGGCACTGAAAAATTACACAAAACTACAATGAAAAATTTAGGAAATAAATTATCTGGGGTAAATCAATGACAGAATGACAGAAGAATTGTGGGTAAATACAGGGTGAGCAATTAGTGTAAAGTGTTGTTAGAGGTAAAGTGAATTTAGAAGGTCTGCTAATAAATAATCTGAGTAACTGGTAAAGAACCTCTCGATGCAGAGGGATATTTAGTAAACCACCCTCATCATCTGTTTAAAGCTTATCATTAAGCGCCGTTCCTCAACAAAACAAAAATACTAACACGGGTTTGAGATTGAGATAGGTTAACCCATGTGTAAGACCCTTTTCTACGCTTTTCTTGTTCCTCTACTCAATGTCTTACGATCCCCCCCCCTTCCCCAGCTGATACCAAATGAAACGGTAAAATTTTTTTTTCATCATCCGGCCCCTCCTTCCTCGCCAAGTTGAAATTTTTCGTCCCTTTTTTCCCTCTAGTCCATCTATAAAAGAGATAAAATCCCCTCCAAACTTTTCAATCTGACAACTTGTTCAAGTTTTAGGATACTTTACGCTTATTGTTGCAAGCTTTCTAGGATACTTTACGCTTACTGTTAAAATGTATAGATCAGCGCTTTTCCATTCCACCAGGTTATCCAAAAAGGCAATTTGTAGTCGTAGATTCTTCTCCACACAATCGCAAGTTCTCACCAATTATGCGTTTGTTGGATTAGGACAAATGGGTCAACATATGGCTAGACATATTTATGAAAACCTAGATGCAAAAGAAGACCACTTGTACATTTACGATACCGTTCCTGAGGCAATCACGAATTTTGTCGATACTGTTACTACTCAAACCCCACAGCATAAAGAGTTGTTGACCGTGTTACCCAATTTGTCTAGCTTTGTTACTGGGGTAGAAGGGCAATTGGACTTTATAGTTACTATGGTCCCCGAGGGAAAACACGTGAAAAGTGTCGTTGAAGAAATCATTACCGCTTATGAACAAAACGGATATACTCCAAATTATAAAACTACAATTGTAGACTCGTCAACTATTGATATTCCTACAAGTAGATTGGTTCATAAATACGTCAAAGAAACCATACCCGAGTTTGATTTCATTGACGCGCCAGTTAGTGGAGGTGTTGCAGGTGCAAGAAAAGGAACTTTATCGTTTATGTTGAGTAGAGATAATCATCAAGATATTTCACCTGAGCTAACCAAGCTTCTTAGTAAAATGGGTAAAAACCTTTTCCCATGCGGTAGAAATCATGGTACAGGATTAGCTGCGAAATTGTCCAACAATTATTTGTTAGCAATAACAAATTTGGCTACTGCTGATTCGTTCCAGTTGGCAAAAGCTTTTGGTTTAAATTTACAAAACTATGCTAAATTAGTTGCCGTGTCAACTGGTAAATCTTGGGCCTCAGTAGATAATTGTCCAATTGAAGGTGTATACCCTGCAGATTACAATTTACCTGCAGATCACGGCTTTAACGGCGGGTTTATTACAAAATTAACTAGAAAAGATGTTGTGTTGGCTACAGATTGTGCAAAAGATCAAGACAGGTTTTTGTTCTTGGGTGAGGTTGGAAGACACTGGTACGATAAAGCTTGTGAGAGAAAAGATATTGCTGAAAGAGATTTAGGAGTTCTCTATGAGTGGTTAGGTGATTTAAAACAGGATAAAAATGGTGATGTTATTGATACTAAGGGATAGGAAGGGTAAGAAGCAGAATAATATTAATAACAACAACATCAACACTGATAGTAAGGTTGATAGTTAGGTGTATACATGATGAATAGACGAAAAGAGAGAGAGAGAGAGAGAGAGAGAGAGAGAGAGGCTATACCCACCAAGCTTGTTTTTTAACTGACACCAGTGTTGTATGCTATTGCACTCTGATCATTTTTAGCTATTAGCATCAAGCGATTGACTTATCTATAACATATCCTAATTTGAATCCAGGAATCTCTTCCATTCTAGTAGCACTCAAGCTCCTTTTTTTACCTTCATCGTCGAGCGTATCAGCTCTATTCAATACATTCTTAGCCATGTATCGTCCGTTTACTCCTGTTTGCTGATTTTGGTGCACTTCTTCAGAACTCAAGCTGGAGCCTTCTTCATTCAGTTCTTCAAATTCCTCAGTAAAGAAATCATTGATTAAGCCAAAACTTTTCTGTCTTGATTTCAATTGTAAATACTCTTCTTTCTTCGTTTCTTCTTCCTTTGCAACAGCAGCAGCAGCAGCGGCAGCAGAAGTGGCAGCAGCAGCAGCTTCCTCGTCTTCTTCTACTTCTTCTTCAGAATCTAATCTAGTTGCATTGTTGTTATCCTGATAATGTTTCTTAATCCTGGGATTTCTCAAATTACGTAAACTATTTTTGAATTGGTAGAAATCTTCAATAGTTTCTAAATTATTTAATCCACAATTGCTACTTACACCAGCTGGTTTTATCCCTATTTCACTCGGCCTTCTATACGCCAAATCATAGATGGATGATGAAACCGACTGATTTCTTTCCGAATTGTAGGATGATGGTTGTGGGTTGAAGTGCTGTTGTTGCTGTTGCTGTTGTTGTTGTTGTTGTTGTCGATGAGTAGCAATTGAGCTTGAAGACATATTGAGTAAGGGCATAGTTTGGTCAATAGGAATATGATCCGAGCTTATTGACGAGAAAGAAGAAGATCGAGAATAAACTCCACGACCTGCTGCTGCTGTTTTGTTTGCTGCATTGTTATCGGAAAGTACTGTTTTTCGAATAGGAGATGGAGATAGTTCATTCAAACTTCTTACTTCCCTATCAAAGCTATCACGCTCTCGGCTCCATCTTCGTTTTGGACTTCTTGGTTGTAGTGAAGGTGAGATGGGTGAGATTGGGTCATCGGCAATATCCTCTTCTTCCACTACAGCCGAGGCCGCCGTTGCCGTTGCCGTTGCCGCCTCTTCTTCTTTTCTCCCTTCTTCAATTGATGAAATGGCTTTTGGATCTTCCTTTTTTGTCAATTCTGCATGTTCATGATGTATTGCAATTTTAGGAATGACCACATTGGGCGAAACAATATCTTGAGAATCAACTCTCCTAGGAGATATAAGTGCTTCGGCTTTTTGCAGCAACAGCAGTGCTAATTGTGATTGATTACTATTATGATTACTCCGTGAACCGTTCAATTGCAGAATCAACAAATCCCGGACAGGAGTAGCTATATCCAAAGGATGCACACCAGAACTTGAGATATTGCTGTTGCTGCTCTTATTGTTGTTATTGTTGTTATTATCGTAACTGTTATCATCATCTGTTATTAGAGGGTTAGCAAATGATGATTCAGCAACAGCAGTACCCTCGTCGATTCTTAAAGGACTCAAGCTTAGTGATCCTTCGTCCCTTTCTTGATATGCCGGTGGATGCAATGACATTGTTGATTGTTTATCACCTTCAACAAAAGGTGGTGGTGCAGTTGAAGGTTTTCTTATCAAATGAATCGGTCTTTGAATAGGTGATAATAGAGGCGACGTAAACGTATCCGAATGCGGTATAGCTTGTGGCGAGTTAATTGCAGTTATAATATCATCGTTTTCAGGTTTATATAGATTTGCCTCTAAATGCATATCTGCATCTCTCATGATATTATCTCCCAAATTATCACTTGCTTTAACGTGATGAAACTCAATTGACTGAGACGGAGAAGAATTATTAGTTTCAAAAGACACAACATTGGCATTACTCAAACTGGAAGAACTGGACCTGGTGACATTACCAAATCTTGCTCTCATAGCGGCAGACGATGATGATGAGGTGGAGGAGGAGGAAAATGTGTTGTTGTTGTTGTTGTTGTTGTTATTGTTATTGTTGATGCTGTTGCTGTTGCTGCTATGTTCAATTGGAATCACACCAGGTGATAGTGGTGGAACTGAGGAATGGTGTGGGGCTTGTTGTATCAAATCATCGTATGCCGGTAATAATGTATTTCCATGTGCAGCAAGTGGAGATAAGATACGTAAAGGAGAATCAATTGATATTTCATAATGCTTTCTTTTTGTTGGATTACCCAGATTTTCACATTCAGGATCATTTTTGCTAATTCTTAAGCAAATCTTGATCCAATGATGAGCTTGAATGTTTTCATATGAAGTATCTGGATGAATTTGACTAACACCTTTACCAGTAACATCCTTTGGAACATACAATTGAAATTCCAATTCCTTTGGCAATATGTCATCGTCATATTGATCTAAACCTTCAATTGACTCGTCTTGAGGGTTATCCTGTAGCAACGAACGACCTTTTCTTGCCTTGTGTTCTAATAACAAATATTTTTTCTGGGGTTCTGTTCGATGGACTTTTTTATTATTACAGTAATATTCCAAATTTTCAGTGAGATAGATTCTGATTCTATGCAATGCTACTTTACCCCATAATGGTACAAATCTGAAAGCTAATGGAAGGTACGAGTTGAGAACGATTGATTTGGCTCCAATTACGATGTCGTAGCGGATCTGGTCCTCCCAATCTCTTGTTATCACTATGGATTCGTTTTCTTCTAAATTTGATTCCGAAGGGATACGAACTATATTGATTGGCACTTTCCCCGATAAATTTGATTTAAAAGTTCCCGGTCTCTGAATTGTTACTTCCAAGTGGTAGCTTGTCGATCCAAAAGTAACGTTGCATGATTCTGGTATCGATGGTGGTAACGAGTGTTCAAAATTGTATAAATAGTCTCCTGGAGCAAAATGCATATTTGATTGAGGATCGTTTGAAGAGGGCGATATGATGGAAGATAAGTCATTTGATGAATCTGGCTGTCCAATTGAAGGTGATTTTGATCTTTTCATAAAACTGGGCGATAAGTTTCTGGTAAAGAAGTTCCCCAGTGGCTCGGCGCAGTTGCTAATAGCGTGATGATGGTGATGATGATGAGTTGTTGTTGTTGTTGTTGTTGTTGCTGCTGCTGCTATTGAAGAGGATGCTGATGCTGATGAGGATTGTGTTGATTTGCGTTTTATTGAAGGTACTGGTGAGTTTGATCTTAAGGGGGTAGAGTCATGGTAAGCGCTTGTTCTTTCTATATAACAATCAGCACCATTGTTGGGCATTGCGCCGCTGCAGCCGCCGCCGCCGCCATTGCTTGCGGAAGAAGCTTGGAAAAATGGCCATGTATGAGTAATTGTATCATTAATCTCAGAGTAGGAACTCTTCTTTGGAGGTATTCCTTCTGGCCAATCTGTTCTTTGTATACCTTTAAACGATAGAGATATGAGTTTAATTTTTGTTGGTTTAAACACTCTTATAAGCAAGGAGCCACGTAGAATAGTTGGAGGTCTTGAAGCATACTCCTGTTGGTCAAATCCTTGTACGAATAGGTTGCGTTCTGAGGGTATGATATAGGCTGAAAGCGAGCTTGTTGAAGTTGTTGGTTTATCCGGTAAAGTCGGGATAAAGATATTGGGGTTGTTTGATAAGTAGTAGTCTTTGTTTGTGAGTTGCAGGGGAGGAAACAACGGCGAGTTTAGCAGCAGCAGCGACAGCAGCTGCAACAGCAGCTGGTGCGATAGGTGGTGGTGGTGGTGGTGGTGCTGCTGCTGCTGTCGTTGTAGCAGCTGCAACAGCAGCTGGTGCGATAGGTGTTGCTGCAACAGCAGCTGCTGCGGTTGGTGTTTTTGTTGGTGTAATTGTTGCTGCATTTACAATATATAGTTGGAAAGGGTTTATGGAAATGAGGGGGCTGTCAAAAGGAAGAAGCGTGGCTTTAACCGGGATGGATCTAGTGGATCATAGAGTTTAACGACACACGTATAAGTTCGCACTGATTGACCCCTTGTTGAATAAGATAAGAAGAGAAGAAACAAAAGAGAAGAAACAAAAGAAGAGAAGAAGAGAAGAAGAGAAGAGAAGAGAAGAAGAAGAGGGAGAGAAAAGGAGAGCTTCCTCAAGCGAAAAAGAGAATCGCTTGCCTCCCTCCCCTTATATGTGGGCATTTAAATTCACCCAGCCAGATTTTCACTGAAAAAAAAAAGACAAAGAAAAAAAAGAAATTGGCACCAGGCGGTTGAGATACCCAGCCGAAAAAATAATAAAGAAAAGGAGATCGGAGATTACTGGGGAGAAAGGCGGTAGGAATCTGGGTGTGTTGTTGGTAATGTGTTGTTGGTAAGATGTTGGTAATGTGTTGTTGTAATGTGGTGTTGTAATGTGGTGTTGTGATGTGTGTAAATGTGTTGTTTGTTATTCATTTGGGTTGCTGTGTTAATGTAAAGTGATGGGGTATTTGACATGTTGCGTGCGAATGTCACTGTTAGTGTCAATGTCAAAATCACGTGATCGATCGACACTATCGACACTATCGACACTATCGACACTATCGAGCGAAGCGAGATAGTGGAGTATGACTGCTGCCAACACCTGACACTATCGACACTATCTCGCTTTGCTCAATAGTGTAGGATTGACTGCTACCGACATTATCGACACTATTGAGCAAAGCGAGATAGTGTAGGATTGACTGCTACCAACACCTGACACTATCTCGCTTTGTTCAATAGTGGAGCATCGACTGCTACCAACACCCGATAAAATTCAGATCTAGAAAAAAATAAAGAACAAATCAATAAATAATATTGACACTATCGAGCAAAGCGAGATAGTGGAGCAGCACTGACTGTCACCGGCACTGACTGTCACCGGCACTGACTGTCACCGGCACTGACTGTCACCGGCACTGACTGTCACCGGCACTGACTGTCACCGGCACTGACAACAGTACCAGTAACTTAAATTAGGCAGCCACTATCGAGCAAAGCGAGATAGTGTCAGGTGTTGGTAGCAGTCAATACTCCACCAGTAGCTTAAATAGGCAGCTGGCTCTATTTATAGTGCCAATTATAGCCCCGTTTATAGTACCAATAGCTTAAATAGGCAGCTGGCTCTATTTATAGTGCCAATTATAGCCCCGTTTATAGTACCAATAGCTTAAATAGGCAGCTGGCTCTATTTATAGTGCCAATTATAGCCCCGTTTATAGTACCAATAGCTTAAATAGGCAGCTGGCTCTATTTATAGTGCCAATTATAGCCCCGTTTATAGTACCAGTAGCTTAAATAGGCAGCTGGCTCTATTTATGGCTCTATTTATAGTACCAGTAAAAACGGGGCTCGGTATCGCTACTACGTGCTGCTCGATAGAGTCGGTGACAGCTAGTGTCGATAAAGTCGGTGGAACCTAGTGTTGATTGGAAATCGAAAAACGGGTATATTTTCCTTTGTTTTTACCACTTTTTTTAAATTGACCATTGTAAATGATATTTTTATAAAAAAGTTCTTAAAATAGTAATGCCGATTTGGGAACAAAATTCCTAAAAAATTCTAGACTGTTTATCATTGACAATTTTATCAGTTTTTACTCTTTTTTGGTATTCTTTTTCCCGACACAACTACACTATCGAGCAGAGCGAGATAGTGTCGATAGTGACGGTGACAGCTAGTTAGTGCTGCTTCACTATCGAGCAAAGCGAGATAGTGTCGATAGTGTCGATAGTGACGGTGACAGCTAGTCAGTGCTGCTCCACTATCTCGCTTTGCTCGATAGTGTCGATAGTGACAATAGTGTCAGTGGCAGCTAGTCAGTGCTGCTCCACTATCTCGCTTTGCTCGATAGTGTCGATAGTGACAACATCACGTGTATATCACGTGCTGCGATGATCAAGTGAAAATCCAAGAACCCTCTCCTCTCTTGATTAGTTCTTACCCATCCATCTTACAACAAGAAGGATGCTTAGATTACTAATGGTACCGCGGTGTAATACCGCCAGTTTGTACCCAATGGTACGCCATTTCACAACTTACTATCCTATCCATCTACAGAAACTGGTGATAGAAAAACCCATATCTCAATTTAATCCAATAGCTGAACCAAACGATGCCTCAGCAGTATATACGAATCTAGGATGGTTTTATATCCCGTTATGCTACAATGATACCTTGGAAACAGCAAATATGCTAAATACCGAGTTTGAGAAACAAAACTTTACCCTTTCCACCAATAGGGAAGTTATTCAACAGTTTATTTATCAGTGGTGTGGTGATAGTTATATATCTTTAAATCTAGGTCTGCTTAGAAGACATGTAGGCAAAGTTGCAGAAGCAAAGGCTAAGCTTGAAAAATCGATTTACAAACAACAAACCGGCCTCCATACAAGGGGGCCCAATAAGGATAAAATGCAAAAGCCTCGATGGTTAACCAAGTCAGACAAGGAAATTCGAAAAGAAAATGGGAAATTAAGATTTAAAATTGATGAAAAAACTGGCAAAATTGAAATGAAAGGTGAAATAACTTTTGTAATTGTTTATAATTATTTCTTGCAATTGAAATTCCATCAAGTCAAAGGAGATCCGAAATACAAGGGCATGAAAAAATCTGAGATGAAGGAGATTTTCAATAAGGAATGGCACAAGATGGATATAGATGGCAAGTGGCAGAAAAGACAAGAATACATTGATTTGTTACTTTCGGGAAAGGATATAGTAAAAGGTGAGATTGTGGATTTAGAAACAACCTTGCTTGAAGAACCATTAGAAGATGGCTATAGACTAATGTTCAAAAGGTTTAGAAAAAAAAAGGGGTTGGATTTACTGGGAAATCTTGAGGTGGAGAGGGAAAATGATAATGATTCTGGATTAAGAATTAAAATTATAGACGGGGGAGATAGTGACGGTAATGGCAAAGTTGTTGAAATAAAGGGATCAATAGACTCCAAATTAGTTTATGATTATTATTTCGAGAAAAGAGTTTGTCAACTTAAAGAGACACAAGAGTTTGAAAAACTAACAAAAACAAAAGTGGAAAACTTGGTTGAAAAAGAGTGGAAAAAATTGGATTTAGAGCAGCAATGGGAATTGAAGGATGAATACATGAAATTATTAGCTTCTGGCAAGGATCTAGTCAATGGTGAAATTGTGGATCTAAAATCTTTATTAGAGGATAAGGAAGACAAAGATGGATATCGATTAAAAAGGGCAAATGCTATGCAATAATGATATCACCTCCGCCCCCTTGAAAATGAGCTAAATCTGTTCAACTCGACTGGGTCTTCTTTTTCTATTAACATTACTGAGTTCCCCCCTCCCCTTTTATATAGGCCAAACCCGTCAGTGTCGGTGGCAGTCAATAGTTTCATTGTCAAGCTTAGCTTCTTCTCTATGCATTTTAATTACTGCGAAAAAAAGAAAAGGAAACTTGGGCATCGTTTAATTCGCGATGAGATGGAAGAAGATAATACAGTAGGTAATAGCTGTAGCTATAAGCACAACCGCTTTGTTTGAATGAATTAGCAGAGTTCAATTAAAGTGGCTTTTTCCCTTTTTTATCTCACCTACTCACTAGTTATAGTAGTTGCTTCTTGATTTAGAAAAACTGTCGAAAACAGAGCTAATTCAGAGACTTGCTAGAATAAGTACAAGAGATGTGAAGAAATACTATACTTTGTTGAAAATGAGTGAGTACAGTCCTGTACTAAGTGAGGAAGAAAGGATAAGGAAGAGTAAACTATCATTCAATACGAAATCAATCCACCAGCGACAACAGTTTTGCCATGCTTTAGAGAATCTCATTATTGATGTGTTTAAAAAGAATTGGCCAGCTGTGAAGGTGGGAGTCGCTAATATCAATCTGGAAGCAGTGGCTGCTAAACAGGTTAAAGAGGATTTCGATAATATTGAACCACCAACTGCGCTGAAGCTTGAACCACCAACTGCGCTGAAGCTTGATTTCGGTACTCCGTATAAAAGAAATCACTATCGGTACAATTCCGTCGCTGGTGTACGATCTTTTGTACAACCAGTTACCATGCTTAGGGTACAGCGTTTTTACATTTATTGTCAACTACAGACTCAAGATGAGAAAACAAATATGTCAAAGATAAAAGAGGCTAAATATAACTGGGCTCGTGAATCTTCGTTAAATCGGGAAATTTGGAGATTGAAATATGAAAATAACTTGTTATTAGGATTTGATATCAATAAAGATTTTCAAATGTTCTCAATAATGGATAATGATTATATAGCTAATGGGCTAGCCGGTGAAGAAGAACCTACTAATGAAACTGTCCAACAACAATGGCGGAAACTGCCTCCGAAATTGAAATTTATTTCTACAGAAATATCTGGATTTGTTCATGTTTATGGCATTACCGGGTATCATTGTTGGAACTATTATTTGGGGAAAAGGTTTAACCAGATAAAGTCTTCATTGGTGATATTCACTAATGGATCTATGACGGGGACATGTTATGGCGAGGTTGTTAAGCGAATTAAACAGGAATGGATTCAAATGGATAGTGGTATGAAACAACAAATTGAAGTTGAATATAGGGATTTGCTTAGTCAAGGGAAGGATATGTATGAAGGAAAAATTGTATCGATTGAATTTAAAAACGAGGCTATTAATAATTGGAAACGATACCAGGTTATTCATGTTAGAGGAGATAATCCATTCTTTGAACTTTCGTCAAGTACCAACAAGTTTTCAATTGAGCCCCCTAAAAGACTAAGATTTGTTCGAAATCAAACTGTTGGAAATATTGTAATTATTGGCAAAGTCGATAATCTTCATGCATGGAATTATTTTCTATGCAAACACTTGAAAGAAAACGCTAGGACTAGCTTGTATTTTCAACTACGCGAGCAATGGGCAAAAATGAATAGTGATGAGCAAGAACAATACAGACTAGAGTATGAAGAGTTGTTGTATTCTGGTCGTGATATCTACAGGGGTAAAATACTTTTGCTCGAGGAGAAACAAGCACTAGCTGAAAAAGAGGGGCGCCTCAAAAAAACAGGTGGTGGTGGCTTGATAACTGAGATATGGGGACAGGTTATTGAGAATGGATCAGGAGCTCGAACCAATGTTGCGCCGCTACCAATAATCATTGATTACAAGAGCCAAAAACCTGTATTGTTAGACGAGTTATCAGAGAAGCATGTATATAATTATTTTCTAGCCAGAAGGTTAGATGAGGTGAAAAAAGGGGGCGATAGAGGAGGAGGAAGCGGAGGAGGAGTATTGCAAAGGGAACTTTTTCTCAAGTTAGAGCTTGAGTGGGTTAAAAAGACGCAATTGGAAAAAAACCAGCTCAGATGTGATTATGAGAAACTACTCAAGAGTGGCTACGACTATTTATATGGTAAGATTGTTCCATTGTCGGAAAAGATTAGCCAAGCTCACAGTCTCAAATTGGCCAAGAATCTTTCGGGAGTTGGTAGTAAAGCTGCATTTTCTTCCAAAGCTCGCGAGATTCTCGAATCTAACCAAAATCTTGAATCAGAGAATCAAGCTTGGGAATATTTCAAGTATGCTAAAGTTGAATATGAAAATGAAAAAGATTTGAATAAATTAGAGAAAGAGTGGCAAGCAATGAGCGATGAGGAAAAGAAGGAAATTGGTGAAATGTATCAAGTGTTGAAATCAACAGGTAAGAAAATTGTCGACAAAGTAATGGTTGACAAGTACACTATCGACACTATCGAGCAGCACTGACTAGCTGCCACCAACACTAACTGCACTATCGACACTATCTAGCTGCACTGACTAGCTGCCACCAACGCTAACTACACTATCGACACTATCTAGCTGCACTGACTAGCTGCCACCAACGCTAACTACACTATCGACACTATCTAGCTGCACTGACTAGCTGCCACTGAGCAGAGCGCTTAGTTTTCTAATTCTAATTTTTTGTTTCGCTTCAATCTTTATTTTGTCCTGACTTTAGCTTGTGAAATGATTAAAGCTGATGGTTGACAAAGTAATGTTTGATAGTAAGGAATAAGAGAGAAGAAGATTATATACTATTTGAGGGGATATATGATGTAGTATGCGGCCAAGTAAGTAACATGTGAAATGGCGGCAAATTAAAAAACCTCGGCTGTAGATGAATCTGGATTAAGTAGACTAAACGAGTGAAACGAGTCTAGTTGAGAGTGGGAGGATTCTAGAGAGTGAGAGGATACTAGAGAGAGTAGAGAGTAGAGAGTAGAGAGTAGAGTCTACTGTGGAAAGCCCCAGGTAGTTATTCTCAATCAGCTCAATAATGGTTTTTCAAAGTCTGGAGTAAGTATGATTAGGTGAAGCAATCGAACCTGTCAGTGCTGCTCCACTATCGAGCAGAGCGAGATAGTGTCGATATAGTCGGTGGCAGCTAGTGTCGATAGTGTCAATGACAGCTAGTGTCGATATAGTCGGTGGCAGCTAGTGTCGATAGAGTCAGTGGCAACTAGTACCAATGTTGTCAGTGGAAGTTAGTGTGCTCCACTATCTCGCTCTGCTCGATAGTGTCGCTCAATAGTGTCGCTCGATAGTATCGATTGGAAATCGAAAAACGGGTATTTTTTCCTTTGTTTTTACCTCTTTTTCAGATTTGACCGTTGAAAATATTTTTTTTAGTAAAAAGTTCTTAAAATAGTAATGCCGATTTGGGAACAAAATTCCTAAAAAATTCTAGATTGTTTATCATTGACAATTTTATTCTTTTTTGGTATTCTTTTTCCCGACACAACTACACTATCGCGCAGAGCGAGATAGTGGAGCAGCACTGACTAGCTGTCACCGTCACTATCGAGCCTCTTTACAGCCTGTTTACTGCCTTATGACACTATCTCGCTCTGCTCGATAGTGACAATAGTACCGGTGGCAACTAGTCAGTGCTGCTTCACTATCGAGCAAAGCGAGATAGTGTCATAAGGCAGTAAACAGGCTGTAAAGAGGCTGTAAAGAAGTCGCAGAGGCTGTAAATAGGAAATAAACAAGCAGTAAAGAGGCAGTAAAGAGGCGGTAAAGAGGCAGTAAGAGGCAGTAAAGAGGCAGTAGGAGGCAGTAAAGAGGCAGTAAGAGGCAGTAAAGAGGCAGTAAGGGGCAGTAAAGAGGCAGTAAGGGGCAGTAGATAAGTGGTAGTAAATAATAAGTGTTAGTGGCTCTGTGGTAGTGGCTTTGTAGTAGTGGCTCTGTGATTAGTGATTAGTGTGCTCCACTATCTCGCTCTGCTCGATAGTGTCGATAGTGTTGTCGGTAGTGTCGCAGTAAAAAAACCAAATTCATCCATGGTTCTTGATATCTCATTTAGCCTTTTTCATGTGATACAAAGTAAACACTAAGCAGTAAAAGAAGAAGATGCAAATGCTAGAGCCTAGAGACTAGAGCAATAAACTAGAGGCCAGAGACCAGAGGCTAATGACTATACACTATTGACTAAATAGAAAAGTATTTAAACATGTTGATGTAAAATTTGTATCAACTTGATTAAACATTTGCATCAACTTGATTAAACATTTGCATCAACTTGATAAAAAATTTGTGTTTTTTCTTCTCCATTATTTTCTCGGCTTGAGCTTATTAATATTGTTTCTACTATTTATCACATTCATTATTGAGCAGTGCGAGATAGTGTTGATAACAAACGAGCAGAGCAAGATTGTGTAGTTAGTGTCGATAGTGTTGGTGGCAGCTAGTCAGTGTTGCTCCACTATCTCGCTTTACTCGATAGTGTCGCTAGTCGATAGTGTAGTCAGTGTTGCACCACTATCTCGCTCTGCTCGATAGTGTCGCTCTGCTCGATAGTGTCGCTCTGCTCGATAGTGTAGTCGCGCTTTACCAAAACTAGAAACTAAATACGCACATTCTTCGGCTAAAGGGAAAAAATCTTCCCCAGTTAATCAGTGTTGCTCCACTACCTCGCTTTGGTCAATAGTGTATTTGGGGTAAAATTCTTTACCAATAAAACGGCATTATTAAAGAAGTTGAATTGAATAACGACAATTTTGAACAATCAAATGGGCCTCGTAATAAAATGACATGGGATATTACCATGTCAACTCACTAATACACACTCCTTCTCTCTCTAATTCTCATTCTCTCACTCACTCACTCTCACTCTCCTTCTCCCTCTCTGTCATTCTCTCCCTCTCTCTCATTCTCTTTTTTCTCCCTTTACTTGATCACTTGCTCATTTCTCTCTTGTCTTTTCTCCTTCATTTCTCATTCCTCATTTCCCATTTCCCATTTCCCTTCATCCCTTTTCTCCTCACCCCCTTTTTTAGTTTCCCTTCTTTGCCGTTGTGGGAATTTTTAGAGAAATCATCTGAAAAATAAAAATCAAAGAAAAAGAAAAAGTAATTATATACTTTGGTTATTATCGCTGGTATTGCTATAAGGGCTATAAGGGCTATAAGGGCTATACAAGAGAGCTATACAACAAAGCTATACAACAGATCTATAAAAGAAAAGAGCTGTTAAAACTGTTATTATGGTTGCTGATTCAATTACTTATCATCCAACATTAACCAAGTTGGTCAAATTCTGGGACTCAACACCCCAAAGAGAGAAAAGCTTTAGGTTATTAGCCTACTTATCGCGATTCTTGAGCTATTACTGCTATAGAAAAGGCTATTCAAAGGAACTCATTGATATGTTTGCCAACTTGAAAAACCAGTTTTCCTTTATTAGGAAAGGTATGAGATTCTTTAAACCCGTGACTCATTTACAAGCTGCTTCAAGGGCCTATGACAATAAATTATTAGACCCTGTTTTGCAATTTACCACAATTGTTAGAAATTTGAGTTATGCTGCTTATTTGGGCTTTGACGGTTTGATTTTTGGTAAAATGTTGGGCCTCGTTAATAAATCAAGAGTCCCAGATGCTGCAACATGGGCAAGCAGATTCTGGTTACTTGGATTGGCTGCCGGTATCATAAACTCATTAAGAATCATCTACTCATTGAGCTCGTATGAACGTAGTTCAACATCATCCGCTGATGAGAAAAACCAAGCTGACATAAATGATGTCAATAACAAATTGTACATTGCAAAGAGAAAATTGGTGTGGGATTTGTTAGATAGCTTTATTGCTTTGAACACCTTGAACTTTTTGCACTTTACTGAAGGTGATATCGGTTTAGCTGGTGTTCTTACTTCGCTTATGGGCTTGGAAGATCAATGGAAAGCTCAATCAATTTAAATGTTCTAATAGATGGTTTGGTGAAAAAGCAAACCTTTAAGAAGCAAGATTTTATAGATTTTATAGCTTTTAAACATTGTGAAAATTTACTTTCTTGTTGTTGTTGTTGCTGTTGTTGCTTGCCCTAGAGTAAACCCAGACCAGTAATACTTAATTACCAACCGTTTCAACTCTTTCTCCAACTCTTCTTTTTCCAGCAGTGACTCTATCAATACCAGAAGCTTGGGTATATCTTTATCTAGTACAATTTCTTCAACTCGATGATGATCATTTTGCACTTTTGCTTTCAACAAGTCATATTGAGCAATTACTTTATCATCAGGTATTAAATTCTTCTGCTTTACATAAAAATCGTAAAGCTCGTGCCAACCTAAACTTATTTCCTTATCCATACTTGGTTGTAAGCTCTAGTTTTATGGATCTCATGAACCTTCTTCTTCTTCTCCCCATACAATTAGAAACGGTAATTTTTTAAGCTCATCGCACTGAGCTTTGGTTCTTTTTTTTTCACCTCATCTCATCTCATCTCATCTCTTGAGAGACTGCCAGTGCTTTAGTCATGTCAGAGGTGAACCAATTGAGACTTCATATTGGTAATATCTCCCCTAAATTAAAAGAAAACAGTCAACTTTTAAACCTTCGAATACTGAAATTTTGTCAAGAGATATTATCACCATTGGAGTTTCATACTAAACCACTAGAGTTGAAATATTTCGCATACATTACCTTGCAAATTACTAGACAAAACTATGAAAAGTTGAAACAAGCTTTGAATGGAGTTTTATTCATGGGGTTGAAACTTACCATAGCATTGGCTAAACCAATATCTTTTCAAGAAAAGCTTCTGCATCTGCATCTGCATCTGCTTCTGCAGCACAACATGGTAAATCAAAGGAAATTACATGATAAAGAGGTGAAGAATAACAAGATTGCCAAGTCTAGAATTGATCGAATATTAGAGTCTCAAACAAAGTACCCTACAAATTCCATTACTTCCACTATAAGAACTTCACCATTCCCTTTTTTACACGCAATATATTCGAAATCAGAACATACATTTAATAATATATCAGCCACTACTAAAAATCAACCGCCTTCACGTAGACTCAATGGTGCAACATCATACGGAGCAACGGTTAATAGCTTGATATACAAGTACCGTAATGGAAAATCTCATGCAGTGATAAAAGGAGTTCATCGTCGTACACCAAGGAAAAATCCTCATTTACAAACATTGCGTATATTGATCAACGGAGAACTTAAGATGATCAAAAGTTTCAAGACGAAACTTTGGGGAGTGGAGAAAAACAAATCTTTGAGGGACTTGACTTGGATGTTTGATTCCCAAGTTGGCTGGAAAAGTGGCGAGGGCCATTTAGTCGAGGCTGTTGAGAAATCATGTGGGATTAATGGGAAACAGGCTTTATTGTATGGGGCAAATACCGATAAAGTAGACAAGGTTGGAAACTCGTCAGTATCGGTTCCTTATAATGATGAAGGTGATGATGACGATGAGAAGAAAAGGAACAAGGCTATTTTAGCTTCATTTTTACAGAAGTACGATTTTGATAAACCAATGGGTGTCGAGGACTATAAGGATAAGGAGGACGAGGAAGAAACACAAATTGAAGTTGATTCAAGAGGACGGAAGAAGGTGCAGCATTATGATTATGAAGTTGAAGGGAAGATTGAAAATGAGGAGGAAGATGAGGAGGAAGATGAGGAGAAAGACGAAAAGGAGAAGGATGCTGCTACGCAAAATAATGGAGTGGATTTCAATCAAGAATTGTGCAGACCCAAAGCAGAAGTTCATTATGATGAAGATGATGAGGGGAATGATATACTGGATTTGGACACCATTGGGAAGGAATCACCTCTATCAAAGCCGAGAGGTTCTGCTTTGGTACAGGAGGAGCCTGATCCTGGAGCACCAGTTGCTGCAAAAACTCAAACTACAGAAACCTTGAGATCCATTTTCAATCCAAATACTTCACTCTATAGTCACGACACGATAGATAACTCGCAAGAAACTACATTTAAGCTCGCTTTATCTGACAACGACGAGGACATAGACCCAACTAAAACCGTTTTGCAACAAGAACAAGAGATGGAACAAGAAAGACTTGTCAAGCAAATACAACAACAACAACAAAAAAACTTGATCGAACAACAGCAAAATGAACGCAAGAACCAATTTGGATTATTCTGGCCTCATTTCGAATCACCATTCTTATCTACACAATCACAGCTTGCAAAAATTGGCTCAGTTGACGACGAATTTAAGTTCATGTCCGTCGTTAAAGGAGCCGATACAGAAATAGAAACAGAACCATACGCAACCAACAACAACAAGGCTAACAACAAGGCCAATGACGATGTCGAGTCCGCTTATGAGCAATGGTTCTGGTCCGTTCGTGGTGAATATACCAGAGAATGTAAACGTCGGAAACGAGACTTGTCGCGACAATTGCGCAAGAAAAAAATGACACTGAAAAATTAGCTCATCTCATCTCATCGCATCGTCTCATCTCATCGCATAAAGGATGTAATAGGGTTAACCATTCTGTAATAAAGCTTTACTTTTGGGGCAATGCCGCTTGTCAAGAAAGATGATGAGTTAGATTTGGACAAGAGGCCAAAGTTGACGTTAATGAATGTGCTTTGGGATATATACAATGGTTGTATAGCCTTGGTAATTGACCCCAGAGCAACGAGAATAACGTATCCGTTAATTGTTTGTATCTCATCGCTTCTTGTCAAGATTGTCATTTATAAAGTGCCATATACGGAGATTGACTATAGCACGTATATGCAGCAGATAGCCAAGATAGAAGATTACGGAGAGATTGACTATTTGGAGATTTTTGGTGATTCGGGACCTATTGTGTATCCTGGTGGCTTTGTTACTATATATCTGTATCTCAGATGGTTAATTGGTGACTCAATTGTAGATGCGCAACAGATATTTGGATACATTTATGTTGTTTGTGTTTTGTTTGCTTGTTTGATATATAGTCAAGTGTTTGATATTGCGCCATGGCCGATTTACTTGTTGTTGTTGAGTAAGCGATTGGTTTCGATATATGTGTTACGGTTGTTTAATGATTGTTGGACGACTTTGGCTATGTTGGGCACTATTTTGTTATTGCAACAAGCAGCTGCATTGAAGAAGAAGACGAGCAGCAGCAGCAGCAGCAATGGTAGTAGTGATAGCAGCAGCAGCAGCAGCAGCAGCAATGGTAGTAGTGATAGCAGCAGCTGGAGAGATGACTGGTTTGATTTGAGTTTTTTCTTGAGTTTGGTGTCTGCCGATTTGTACAGCATTGCCATATCAATCAAAATGAATGCATTGTTATACCTTCCTGCATTTGTTATTATTGTTTACTTCCTAAACGACGAGAACTTGGTGAAATTTTTAAGTATCATGGCGGTTATTCCATTGATACAAATAGTTATGGGCTGGAAGTTTTTACTACCGCTATATAACGACGACAAAGCAAAGGAGATTAGATGGAACTATATTTCACAAGCATTTAATTTCAAAAGACAGTTTCTTTATAAATGGACAGTTAATTGGAGATTTCTTTCCCAAGAAATATTCTCATCTCACGCATTTGCAAAGATATTGTTGATTTTCCATACAGTGATTCTTTTAATATTTATATTTACTAGGTTTTTGAACTCGCGTGTTTCAGGTAAGCTGATTTTGCAATTGTTTAAAGATGCCTTTAGGCCATACTCAACAATATCACCTAACAATGTATTCAATAATCGGTTAGTTGCACCACAGTTGATTTTCTATATTATGTCAATAACCAACTTGATCGGGGTGTTGTGTTCACGATCATTACATTATCAGTTCCTATCGTGGTACGCATGGTCACTACCTGGATTACTATATTTAAACTTCCCCGTTTATTTGGGTTTACCAATTTGGCTTGTTCATGAATGGTGTTGGAATGTTTTTCCTTCTACTTTCTTGAGTTCAATTGTTTTGGTTTCTGTTTTATCTATCGTTTTAATTATGAGTTGGTTCAATTTCGATAAATGGTTCCCACTGCAGCAAACTTTGGATGAATATAATGCATGGAATCAGAAGCAAAAACAAAAGAAGGAATAAATAGAACGGGGATGGTTTGTAGAGGATAACGTTATAGTAAATATCAAGTATAGAATTGATGGCGAGCAGGATGGATGAAAGAAAGAGAACATTTACATATTGCCGCAAACAACACTCTCCCATTTACACCAGGGGAAGGATGTACTAAGCTGTATCCTTTGTCACCCTTAACATTTGTGACTCTAGATCAATGTACTAATAATACATTTATAATTAAACACACACACACACACATATCTATATATATATATATATATGTATGTATTGTGTAAAAAAAAATCAAAGAAATAGACTCTTATTCAATAAGGTGGAATCAAACGATTCTCTTTTCTCTCTTTGATGAAATATGGTGAATATGATCAAACGATAAAGAAGAAAAAACGTAAAAAAAAATAACTCGTCAATACTGGGTATTGTATCTGTCCATATAAGAATGTCTATCTTTCTTTCTTTCTAAGAAATTGTCTTTGTTTAATAATCGTCCTGCTCTCAGTCCCGTCCTCCACTCTCCTCTCCTTATTATTTACTCCCCATTTTCAATAGCTGATGAATCCACATTCAATTAAATCCGGTTAATCCATTGTTTCCACTACTTCCGTTATGTGAATCATTTAAGCCTCCAATGACACTACCTCCAACAACCATACCTACATCATCTTCTCCCCATAATTGATTAATATCGAAATCCAAATCGTCAAATGCTGTGGTTGTGGGATTACCAAACACGTTTAAAATGGTGCCATCACCACCGCTGGCTTGTGTTGATGCAAAATTATTACCATTAGCATCATTTCCCTCAATGGTACCACCAGTGATTCCATTGCCCAGAATGCTGTTATTGCTTGAACTATGTTGGTTCGGATGCGGGGTGTCTGCTAATAAATCAACATTGAATAAATGATTACCATTGTTTGGATCTATAGTAGGAGCGGAGGCTGAAGCGCCTTGGATGGATGCCAAGTCGGTATCGTCTTGGAAAGATGTAGGTTGCGTTGTAGTTGTAGTTGTAGTTGTAGTAGTGGTGGTGGTGGCCGTACTATCATGAGGTACTGTTGCCGATGGTACCAATGAGCTCTCGAATTCATCCTCATTGTTCTGTTGTGATTGCGAATGCGACTTTTGCTGTAATTTTTGTTGTTGTTGTTGTTGTTGTTGATGTTCCGTTTGTTGTTGTTGCTCTGTTTGTTGTTGCTCTAGTTGCTGCTGCTGTTGCTGCTGTTGATCTTGTTCATGTTCACTTTGCAAGCTGCTACTGCGGGACTCTTCTTTAATCAATGCTGATTGTGGTTTCTTCTCACCATTTTCCTTACTCTGCTTTGCACTAGTTGATGAAGTTGGTGCGTTTTGTTTTCCTGGTGATTCAGTAACAGTATTCATCTTTCTCTTTTTCTTGTTGTTCTCCAGTGAACCTAAAGCCGGTTCACTTAAAGGTGTAAGTGGTGTAAATTCCCTTTTGCCGATATTTGGAGTGTTCGAACCTCTTCTTTGCAGTGTAGGCTGGGCCAGTGCTGATGCTGATGTTGGCGCCGATACAGGTGCAGGTAGCTGTTGCAGAGACTGCTGCTGCTGCTGTTGCTGCTGCTGCTGCTCATTACCGGCACTGGAAGGTTGAGAAGCTAGTAGAGTGTTCCCTTGATTTATACTCTGCTTTCGACTTCTCTTACCATTAGACTCTTTCTTAATTTTCTTATTTCCCATTGCGGGACTCTTGCCAATACTTGTCAATGGTGAATTGTTGGATCCAGCAGGAGAGTTTTTCAGACTATACTGGCTTGAAGGCACTGGTGCATGAAACATAGCAGGAGTTGGTTGTTGTGACTGTTGCGGACCAGCCATCTGCTGTTGCTGTAGCTGATGTTGTGACAATGGGTGTTGAGCCATACCCATAGTCATCAAATTAGTTTCAGCGCCTCCTCCGGTATTTCTAGCTATTTCCAATCTTTTTTTATTCTGCTTTTCCAACAACATTAATTGGTTTTGATAATCCTGTAAAGCATTCATATTTCTTCCATTAGCAGGATTCATATTTGAAGGTGCATTCGAATTACCCACTGATGTTCCAGTCGTATTCCCATTATTAGCACCAGCTGCTACTTTACCAGCAACAGCAAACTTATTGTTGTTTCCGTTATTACTGTTATTACTGTTATTATTACTGTTATTATTATTATTATTATTATTGTTATTATTATTATTATTGCTGTTGTTGTTGTTGTTGTTGTTGTTGTTGTTGTTGTTGTTGTTGTTGTTGTTGTTGTTAGTGTTATTGTTATTGTTATTATTATTGTTTTTCAAACCGGCTTGAGAAGAATTCAACCTTACCATTTGTGGTACGTTTTGACCCTGCATTGGAGTGGCTGCTGCACTACCAGTAGCTGGTGTTGGCGCACCTTGTGGGTGGAACTGCTGTGGTTGGTGTTGTTGTTGTTGTTGCAAAAACAATTGCTGCTGCAATGCCATATTGGGATTGGCTGCCATGGTATTCATCATGGCCTGCTGCTGCTGTTGTTGTTGTTGTTGTTGTTGTTGTTGTTGCTGCTGTTGCTGGCGCGGATCCATATGAATCTGCCTCTGAGAAGCAGCAGCAGCGGCCGCAGCTTGTTGTTGTTGTTGTTGTTGTTGTTGCTTCATCATGAGCATCATACGTTGCTGATCTAATTGTGGATTTGAGCCTGGCTGGTTATTTGGAAGTTGCTGCTGCTGTTGTTGCTGCTGCTGCATTTGCTGATTCATTTGAAAGATTTGCTGCGCATTAGGAGGCGGTCCCATATTGGGAAAATTTGCTGATGCTGCAGAGTTTGATTGTTGCTGATGTGACGCTGGAACTGGATGATGTGGCGGTGCACTGTTTGGCATAGTTGCAGACGGCGGATTTGAAAATTGACCAGAACCATTTTGAAGGGGAGGTTGCCCTTGAGCTTGAGCGTGAGCCTGAAACTGGGCTTGTGCATGAGCTTGAAACTGAGCTTGAGCCTGGGCTTGAGCTTGGGCTTGGAGTTGAGCCTGAGCTTGAGCCTGAGCTTGTGCCTGAGCTTGTGCTTGCGCCTGAAGTTGTGCTTGAGCCTGAAGTTGTGCTTGAGTTGGCGTTTGCATTTGTTGTGACTTAGCATGCAAGTGTTGTTGATGTACATGAGGTTGAGCATTTGCCTGTTGCGGCTGTTGTGTCTGCTGCGGAAGAATATGTTGCATATTTTGTTGTTGAGGTTGCATAAAATGCTGCTGTTGTGGCTGTTGTTGTTGGGGTTGTTGGGGTTGTTGGGGTTGCTGATCAAGCTGGGGCTGCTGTGAGAGCTGCATCGCACTATGTTGTTGTTGTTGCTGCTGTTGTTGTAGTTGTTGCTGTTGTGGAGGTGGTTGAAGCTGATGCTGCTGTTGAGGAACATTTGCAATGGAACCCGGTATTGCCATTGCCATTGACAATTCTTGCTGTTGTTGTCTTTGTCTCAACAATTGTAGTTGATAATACTTGACTGCGAGATTATTGACGTTCTTTGGATCAATGATATTACCGCCTCTAGCGCCTCCATTTTTAGCTTGAAACATATCCCAAAACATTTGCCACCATTCGTATAAGAAACTATGCGGTAAATCCATTGCCAACGATGTATTTGGTAAGCTATTATCCTTTAAGAATTGCAGTAGTTGGGGAGGTGATTGCATCATTTTTTGAGGCGATGATGTCGATGACATTGTCCCGTTATTTTGCAACTGCTGCTGTTGCTGTTGTTGTTGTTTGGTCGTTTGACTTGAAGGTATTGAAGGTACCTCTGCCTCATTAACGAATATTCTAGCTGTTTGTGATAATCGATTTTTGACCAAAAAATCATAGATATAAGCGTTCAATAATTGTTTTGCGTTTGTGGCACTAACATCCGAAATGTTTCTGCTAAATACCGGGGATGACAATGATGAAGATGACGAAGATGACGATGCTGAAGGGTCTGTTGGCTTATTGCTTAGCGGCGTTTTTCTATTTCCATTAGATGTAGTTGTGCCAGTAGTGGTATTGTTGTGGAGATTTGATGAAGATCTAACGTTAGTATTATTCATACTAAGTGGGGGGAAATAAGACTGGCTAGGTTACTATTTGTATGGCCAATATTGCCAGGGGATGCTCAGTTAATTTTGTATAGCCAATATTGTATAGCCAATATTGTATAACCAGTATTGCCAGGGATGCTCAGTTAATTTTGTATAGCCAGTATTGCCAGGGATGCTCAGTTAATTTTGTATAACCAGTATTGCCAGGGATGCTCAGTTAATTTTGTATAACCAGTATTGCCAGGGATGCTCAGTTAATTTTGTATAACCAGTATTGCCAGGGATGCTCAGCTGTTTAAATCCACTAAGTTTTTCACTTTTTCAGAATCTCCAGTTTCTCAGTCTCAAGTCTCGTCTCAGTTTTCAACTAACTCAATTTTCAAATATTCAATAATTCGATAAATCAGGGTTCCTCCAACTCTAATTCTAAACTCTAGCTTTCAACTTTAAAAACTCTATCTCCAACTCTATCTATGATCTTCAACTCTATCTATAATCTAGCTTACTTGCCACCTTGTCCTAATCACGTTTAGGTGTTTCAAAGAATACCTTCTCTTACAAATAAACTGTTTTATCTATTAGAATGCTTTTTCGCTGGATTGAATTGTATGAGTGAGGCGCTCATTCTTTTGAGAGGCGCACCAGAAAAAAAAAAAAAAGAGTGCGTGTATTGAGGCAGAAAAAAAGCTCCACTATTGAGGAGCCCACTATCGAGCGAAGCGACATAGTGGAACAGCACTAAAGAGCAATAGTCTAATGTAATCTGAAGAGCAATAGTCTAATGTATCTGAAGAGCAATAGTCTAATGTAATCTATATAGAAGCAACAGCGCCAGCTGTTGCTGATCAACATTGAAGAGCAACAGCTTAATGTATTCTATATAAAATGTAATTTATATAAAATGTTAGCTAACTACAAGGAGAGGGGGAGGGGTTAGAGGGGAGAAAACTTTATAGGGCCATGAGGTAAACTTGTGCGGGAAATCTCTCTAAAGTATTGCTCGAAACAAGCTGCCAAGTGTTGCTCGATAGTGGAGCAACACTTTGTAGCTTGTTACAACACTTTGTAGCTTGTTACAACACTATCTCGCTCTGCTCGATAGTGTCGATAGTGTCGCTCGATAGTGTCCCTTGATAGGTAGTGTCATAGTTAATAAAATAGAGGCTAGGAAAGAAAAATGTCAACTTTTAGACATTGCTGTCACTTACATTTAGAACAACTTACAACCATATTGGTTATAGATAGACTACTGTCTAAATGAAGAAGCAATCCTGATCCCTTGTCAAGTAATTTTCTACCTTGAGTCGCAAATACAAATCTCTAGCTTGAGACCCAAATACAAATCTCTAGCTGCAGTATTGAGGATATGAGAGGCAATGAGATACTGGCGGGGAATCTCTACAAGTGTTGCTCCACTATCTCGCTTTATTTGATAGTGTCGTATTCTGTCTTTTCTGGTAGCTTATTCTCACTAACTCTACACAATAATAATTAAAAAACTATAGAGATATCCGTCATACCTTTTACAGATTTATTAAATTATTCTATTAGCCCCCTATCGATATCGTATGATTACAGTGATGATCAGCCAAACTATTCTTTTTATATAAAGATCTCACTCATACTTACTGACGGGTCATGATATCTCATTACATTTACTGACGGGTCATGATATCTCACTCATACTTACTGACGAGTCATGAGATCTCACTACATTTACTAATGAGGGTCATGAAAACCTTTATTGATAGGTAGTGTAACTATAACAATCATCTTGTCAATTTACAATTTACACTTTTCTCTTTATTGGGTAGTGTAGAATTATACAAACCCGTGTTGCTCGATAGCTACAAAGTGTTTGACCAGAGCGAAATTATGTCAGTATGGTCCACTATTGAGCAGATTATGTCAGTATGCTCCACTATCGAGCGGAGCGAGATAGTGTCGTTTGTGCCTTTTTGAGCTTAGACGAGCCACAACTTAATCTCAAATCTTTTCTCCTGCACTAGCAAGCACAGCGAGCTAATGTAGAACTAGCTTGCTGCACTGTTAGTGTAGATCAATCTAATATCTTCTAATCTCATCTATACCAAGTAGAAGCGACCCTGACTCCTGCGACATTATCAAGCAGAGCGAGATAGTGGAGCAACTCTTAGTAACTTGTTACGATAGCTTGTTACAACACTATCAAGCAGAGCGAGATAGTGGAGCAACTCTTAGTAACTTGTTACGATAGCTTGTTACAACACTATCTCGCTCTGCTCGATAGTGTTGTTTGCTTTTTTTGTATTATTCTTTCCACATCGTTGTCATCAATAAACGTCAATTCAATTTGGTATTGTTTGACAGAGTAACAACATTTTCATTCTCTTTATTCTCTTATTGCTTGAATTTGATTGAGCAACTCAAACTTTTCAAATCTTAAAACCAAAGATGTATTAGGGGTATTAGGGGTATTGAATCTTTGACTACTTTAGAGATATGCATTACCAACTGAGTTTGATTGCAAAAGTATCGGTGGCAGCTAGTGGAGCCCCCTAGGGAGCGAAGCGAAACACACGGACGGGAAATCTCTACAAAAGTGTTGCTCCTAGTGTAGCCCCCTAGGGAGAGAAGCAGAACACACGGACGGGAAATCTCTACAAAAGTGTTGCTCCTAGTGTAGCCCCCTAGGGAGAGAAGCAGAACACACGGACGGGAAATCTCTACAAAAGTGTTGCTCCTAGTGTAGCCCCCTAGGGAGAGAAGCAGAACACACGGACGGGAAATCTCTACAAAAGTGTTGCTCCTAGTGTAGCCCCCTAGGGAGAGAAGCAGAACACACGGACGGGAAATCTCTACAAAAGTGTTGCTCCTAGTGTAGCCCCCTAGGGAGAGAAGCAGAACACACGGACGGGAAATCTCTACAAAAGTGTTGCTCCACTATCTCGCTTTGCTCGATAGTGTCTTAGTGTCCTAACTTCTTTACCCATCAATTGGTTAAGTGGCGGCGTCTAATATTAGTAGGCTTTTTTTCACAGCCCCCTAAACGAAAAAAATCCATACGAAAACGTTTTTCGTTTTTTTTCCAATTAGTTTTTGATTAATAAAATAGATTCGGCATCAAATAGTAAAGAGCTAGCCGCCCAATTGAGGTTGAATGAGAAAGTAGAGACCAGACCGAGTCAAGTATATACAGTTATGAATTCATTCCAGCTGCCACTGGCGCCTTCGGTTGTGTACACTTTAAATGGAGGTGGTGAAAATGGCAATGCTAATGCCAATAATAGTAGTAGTAGTAATGGTGATGTTGATTTTGATGATGATGATGATGATGATGATGGTATGCCCAAGCTAACATATTCACCCCAAAACCACCCGCACAGCTCGTATAGACAGAATAACATATTCACTTCACCCAAGACATATCAACAGAATACGTTTATAGATTGGAGTCGCGAGAAACTACTCATTCCACATCATAATTCCTTGGGAAAATCGATATCTTCTCATCTCAATATTTCTGAGAAATGGTTCACGGTATTGATACTGGCGATCGTTCTTGGTTATATCACAGCAGCATTGGATTTGGTTTCTGTGTTGTTAAACGATGCAAAAAAGGGTTTATGTTTTACAACGGGGGAAAATAGTCAATGGAGTTTATTGAATCCGTATCTGACATGTTCTAGTGATGGTTGGTACAGTTGGCTGAGATTATTGTTTGGATTCACTGGTATAGCAAGTAATGCATTTGTTAACTTCCCCATATACTTATTGTTTGCCATTGTGTTTGTTCTCATTGCATCATATTTGACCATTAATAGAGAACATTCTATTCGGCAATCAGGTATACCAGAGATAAGATTGATTATATCTGGTTTCAATATGAACTTAGCAACCTATCTCGGATTGAAGACATTGTTGTATAAGATTCTCGGGTTGACGCTTGTTGTTAGTTCAGGATTATGGTTGGGCAAAGAAGGTCCCTTGGTTCATGTTTCATGCTGCATTTTCAATATAATTTACGAATTTGTCATCAATTTCAAGACAAAGGGATTCACCGTAAATAGAGCCAATGAAGCTATAAGAAGAGAAATATTGAGTGCAGCCACAGCAACGGGGATATCTGTAGCTTTCAACTCTCCTATTGGTGGAGTGTTATTTGTTTTGGAAAGTATGCCCAGTTACTTTGATCCAACAAAGATCATGTGGATTTCATTTGTCTCTGCAACAATAGCGATTATTGGACTAACTGGATTTAACTCATTTACAGATGGCAAGGGGAATTTTTTGGAACAGGATCTATTTCAAGTCAATTTTGGTAATTTTAGTTGGTTATTTATGGAGGTTGTACCATTTGCCATCCTTGGTTTTATTGGTGGAGTTTACGGGTTTTTATTTATCAACTTGAATCAGAAATTTCAACAAAGGCTGATTCGTCAAAAGGTGCAAATGAAATTGGCTAGTTTAGTTAAAGCTGATGTTAAATGGGGACCATACTTGGAGATTTTAACTATTCTTTTAATCACAACAATTTTGAACTTCCCATTAGAGATTTGTAAATTGCCAATGAATGCTTATTTGAAACTATTATTCAAGGAATGTCCCAAGGCAAAGGCAGTTGAAGGACAATCAAACGCCACTGATTTCTTATGCCAAGCGTCGAATGGAGCCACATTGGTCAAACTACTCTATATCATAATCCAAGGCTTTTTCTTGACAAGTTATACATTTGGAGTTGATCTTCCTGGAGGGGTATTAATGCCATCTTTGGTCCTAGGAGCCAGTACAGGAAGATTCATGGGAATCTTGAGTCAAATTTTGCAATCAAAATTCAAATGGGACTCCTTTGCTACATGCACAGAGAAATCGTGTGTTGTTTCCCCATCTTCTTATGCAGTTATCGGGGCAGCTTCGTTTATGACAGGTATCACCAAGCTTACCATGTCAGTTGTAGTCATTATGTTTGAAATGACAGGTGCCGTGTCGTATGTTTTGCCTATTATGTGCGGAGTAATGACTGCAAAATTTGTTAACGATTGGCTCTCGCCTTCGAACATCTACGATACCTGGTTACAGAACAATTTCAACCAAAGTGGTAGTACCGACTTTGCGGGAGAGGTCAATGAAGGAAAAGGTACTGGTTTAGTTTCATTTTCAAATTTGACAACAACGATTAAATCCAAACTTCCCGATGTTACGGTGAAAGCGTTGATGAAGCCCTTGCTGGATGTTAAATGTTTGTGCTTGATCAACGAAGAGGAACAACCATATACTGCTTTTTCTTTGTTGAGCTTTATCCAAGATGATTGTCATGAGGGTTACCCGTTAATCGTGAACCACAACAATCCAATATACATTGGATACACATACAAAACAGAGCTACTCAAAAGGCTCAGTACAATAGACCAAAGGGATTCTTTTCAACCAATATCCTTTCAAGTGGACAAATTACCAAAAAGTGCGTTATCGATGCAATTACATTATGAACGTAAACTTGCCAATTTTATAGATTTGAGTCTCACGGTTGAGCCTTCAATATTATACACAAACGACTTATCACCAGCAATACTCATCCTTGAAGAATTTGAAAAACTACATTTAAACCACTTGGTCATACTCGATCCTGATAATACAAACGACGAAATAATGTCAGGATTTATCGATAGATTTATTCTTGCACGTACTATAAACGATAAGTTTGGCAAGTTGGCCAATGGATTGAACGATTTCAAAACTATAAATGAGTACAATCTACAAACTACCGGGAGAATCGAACATTATGGAGAAGAACAAGAAGGAGAAGATGATGATGAATTCATGATGCTACGCTTGCAGAGAAAAAGCATCGAGTTGATTACATAATCAATCACTAAAAAAAACTACAAGTGTGTGTGTTTGATTACATAAGTAGAAAGAACTTGATTATATAAGAACCAACACTAAGCATAGCGAGAGAGTCTATCGACTACACTCTCTATGGGCTATAGACTATCGCGCTATAGGCTATCGAGCTATAGTCTATCGACTACTCCTTCTATAGGCTATCGAGCTATAGGCTATGGAGTATAGCGAGATAGTCTATCAACTACACCCTCTCTATCTTCTCTCTATAAACTATTGATGTGTATATTACTCTCTTTCTATCTACTCCCTATCTAATCTGTCTCTGTCTACTCTTTCTCTCTGGACTAGTCTCTCTATCTACGCTCTCTAGACTAGACTCGTTTCACTCATCTAGTGCCTCTTTCTCTCCCTAGTGTCTAATAAGTGCTACTCCACTAGCTCGCTTCGCTCCCTAGTGTCGTCTTTTTTTATCTACTCTTTCTATCGACTATCTCGCTTTGCTCGATAGTACAACCTACTCTCTCTTTTCTCTACATTCTACTCTCTCTATACACACCTACTCTCTATACACACCTACTCTCTATATACTACTCTCTCTATCTACTCTCTTTCTTCTCTCTACAGACTATTGACTAGTCTCTTTCTCTTTCAACAAGTCTCTTTCTCTTTCAGCTAGTCTCTTTCTACTCTTTCGCCATCTACTTTTTCTATCTACACTCTATTTACTAGTCTCTCTCTTTCTATTAGTCTCTATCTACATACTCTCTTTTCTCTGTTAAGTAGTCTCGTTTCACTCGTTTAGTCTTTCAATCTGTTTTCTCAATCTATTCATTCTATCGACTAGACTCTCTTCGCTCATCTAGTCTTTTTTTGCACCAATTTGTCTCAAACTTAATAGTACTTTAAATATCACCACCAACAACCAACCTCTACATACTCGAGCAAAGCAAGAAACTATATATCTACTCTCTCTCGACTAGACGAGTGAAACGAGTCTAGTCTCTAGTTTAGTCTCTCTCTTTCTCTTTCGACTAGACTCGTTTCACTCGTCTAGTCTCTAGTTTAGTCTATATATCCACTCCAATAGCTCTTTGAGCTATTGTCGCCAGTTACTCGCTGGCAGTCAGTGGATGCTCCTCCACTAGCTCTTTGAGCTATTGTCGCTAATATTATGTGATTACATAACATAGTAATTACATAATATATTACATAATAATATTTTTTTTTGACGCGTTGACATATTTTGTTTTCTTTTTTGCGACAATATTTTGCGACACGAAAACTCACAACTATCACCGCCACCACCAGCCACCACTACCACTACCACCACTAGCGCCGACGTTGACGAGTGGAATTAGCTAGGTACCGGCTTGATATTGTTGTGAGTCTAGTACGGGGTAAGTGAAGAACAAGCTAGGGACAAATGTCGAACATGGCAAAAAGTATTTTGAAGGATAACACGTTGCCGCTTTCTCAAAACTCTCGAAGGGTTTCATTTGCACCAGAAGTGACATTACATCAATTTCCTGATTTGTCTAATCGTGGTAACAAGAGAAGAAAGACTGATGGTGGGGCGTATATTGAATGGGACGGGAATTGGAGTCCAGCGTTAGAGGCTGAAAACGATGACGATAAACCATTGAGTGATAGTTCTGACGAAGCTGATGAGCTTGAAGAGGATATTGTGGAGAAGGATATTGTGGAGAAGGATATTGTGGAAGAGGATATTGTGGAAGAGGAGCAAGTGAAGATAGATGCAGATGATGTTTCCGTGCCTGAATATGTGCCTCGTATCACACATGGTGGTGACAACATGCAATCCATTGAACCAGGGAAAACACCTAATAATGACAACTTACCTAGTCGACCAGGTTTGGATGATGAGGAAATGACAATGGAGTTTACCCAAGCCATGCCAAGAGGATTAGATACAGGCGAGGAGAGAGAACCAGCAACAACGGGTGAAGAGAAAACGACTGGAATAGGCGAGACCGAAGCTGATCAATATACAATGGAATTAAAGGAAGTGGAAAACAGTCCGAAAAACTCAGAAAGCACAGGCGACGAAGAGCCCGAAGTCCCTCAAGATATGGAATTGACTCAAGGAATACCCCCCATCACAAAGGAAGTACGTCTAGAATTATTGCTGGAACATGGCAATGAAAACGAGGAAGCCGAAATAGATATAGGAGAAACGGGACAGGATATGGAACTTACACAGCCCATGAGAGTTGATAAATCAACTACTGAAAACAGTCTGGGAAATAGTCCAAATACAATCAATGAACACAGCAAACCATCCTCCCTGTCACAAAAGAATAATGGCGAAGGTAGTTTACAAGAGAGTGACGGGGAAGGCGATTCACAACCAATGGAAATTACAGAACAGTTCAAACTTTCTCCTATACAAAGGCCTACATTGCTTGATCCTGTTTCACCTGAATCTTTATCAGCAACTAATGGAGACGAGGAAAATGAGAAGATTCTTATTTCTGAGGCCAAGAGTAATGACATTAATGAAGAGCAACATGAAAATGTACATGCTAACTCCATGCCTGAAACAAAAGTTAATGCTGAGCTAACAGATGCTGAATCAACTCCCCGAGAGCAGGTGAATTTAGCTCTTCCTCATAAAACCGACGAGGAAAAGCAAGACGACGATGTTGATGTAGTGCCCATTGAGACAGAGACAGCTACAACTAACACTCCCGAAGTAACAGTGGAAGCAGGTGACGTTCCTAAAAAACAACAAGATTCGATACTATCCAAATTCCTTCAAGATATCGGTGTACAATTTTACATTGATTTTGATCTTGAAACAGAACCAATATTGCAATTGGGCGATATTTCAATACACGAACAACAACAACAAGACCAAGACCAAGACCAAAAACAACAAGAACAACAAGAACAACAAGAACAACAAGAACAACAACAACAACCGACACTACGGGATTTCATATTAGCGAAACCATTCAAAGACTTATATGCACAAAACGAATTTTGCTGTCAGGAACTTCTGCAAAACATTAGCAAAAGCGATGTAGAGTATGCCGAGTTTCTAAAAACTATGGAAATCGAACCTATCGAAAACATCAAGCTCTATTATAATGGTGATGAGCAAAAGCGAGCAGCTATGAATTTTGGATTTCAAACAATGAGAGATTATACTATCCTAGAAGGTAAGAGAAAATGGTACACGTGGAAAATTGAATTGACACGAACTGTGATTGAAGCTTTAAATATACAATACGACGAATTAAACAGCGATAAGAATCTACTTACACAGGATGTTGAAATGATAACAAAACTAGCTGATGATTCAAGAGCATATGTCGATTCATTAAGGGTAAAAGTTGGCAAAATAGTAAAAGCTAAAGCAGAGATTGGGAAATTGTCAACTGATGCATTACAAACAGTAAAGAATGAATTGAGAAAACGTAAATCAGAAATGGCTGATATGCAAATGGAGTTAGAAGCAAAACAGAAACAATTGATTGAAATCGATTTCAAGATAACTGAAATGCAACTGGTAAAATTGCAGAAAGATCGAGATTTGAAAGACCTTGAATTTAAATGGAACCAAGTACGTGAGTTCTCCCGTGCTGAGATTGATGATATTCGACAAACATTCAAGTTCCTTTCTACATTCACATTACTTGAATATGTTTCTACTCAGGAAAAATGTTTGACATTTATATTGGACAAATGCTTTGAAATGAGATTTGACTTTATTGATAACACTTTAGACTACACTGTAATAGATAACCAATTGCATTTCAAAGAGATGATGGATTATGTGGAGCAATTCCCCAAGATTACTGCATCCGATATCAAGATTGTTGATAAGTTTCTTCAATTTAGTCGATATTGGACAAGTTTAAGAAGGCTAGACCGCCAATTATATCAAATTGCTTATAAATATCCTGTTGTGATAAATAAACCAATCTCAGGAGAAGACGAAAATCCGCCGTCTCAGGAACTGATCCAGTTTGTCATTCAATATTATGATTTCGAAACAATGTTGGAAATCCCCATTCACGGTTCTATACCTGTTTCTTCACTATTACAATTTGAATCCAAACTACAATTCGAGGTCTCATCCGAGGTTCTTGAGAATAACCGCATCTTTTCCGTCATGACTAAATCGCTTGGGTTTCCTACACTTGCTAGCTTAACTTCTTCAACCACCTCTGTATAATTTTTAAATATTCTTAATTTTACATTTTTAAGTATATATATATATCATTTAATTCTTTCTTTCTTTTGTATTCTTCTTAGTGAGTAGCTCCCAAGAAAATAGTAGCACTTAAGCAAATCACCATCACTGCACCACCCCAAATTGCCAATGCTAAACCTCCATACTTGCACAATTTATCCAACTTATCTAATTCAGTAGCGCCATTCATTGGTCGTATTAGAAAATATCCAAACACACCAGGTAAAATAAACGATATCGAAGTTGATCCCGTACTTCCCACAAACGCCAATACTTTAGCTAATGAAGTTACCATAATAGCCACTAAATAACTTAATACCACAATACACGAGGTAATAATGTAAAATTTCTTTGATGTCAACGGCACAACTATTGGATCGTGTCCTTCACTATCTTGCGCGCCCTCCATTGGTGTAGTCAGAATAAAAGATTCATCTACCATATTTGTTGAATCAGTTAATGAGCCTATACTCTCAATATCTGAACTCAATGAGGTATATACACCATTATTAGTGCTTCTTCTTTCTGTGGTATTATTGGTGGAGGAGGAGTTTGCTGTTGTTGGTGTTGTTGGTGTTGTTGTTGTCGTTGTACCACTTCGCTTTGAAGGAGTTGATGATTCTACACCGTTGGTTATGAAATGTATTACGTGATTAATTGAGCCACGGCATGGGTGACATTGTAATGGGAAGGATAAACTCACCATAATGACAATACATAAACGTCCAATCAATGACGAAATGGAGTTTTTGGGATACATTGATATAATGTTTGCATTTACGTTTGATCCAAATGTCAAATATCCTAGAATTCCAACAACTAAATAACTGGCCAATGCGATACATATTGCATTTCTAATGATTAGATTCGATTGTCTTGTCTGAGATCCATCTTTATCGTGTGGTTTCAACTCATTAATTATCGCAAACATGTTTTGATGGCACGTATAAGCAAACACAAACATGGGAAATGATGATAATGTCTTTTGGAAACTTATTGGACCAAACCAAACAATGTGCTCTGCCGGATGGGGGATAATCAGTCTTGCAAAGACATTGCTACCATTATTAGCGGCAGCAGAGGTAGTAGTTGTGGCGGAGAGAATACTTGAGCCCTCCTTAGTGATCAGCAAAGCGATATATTTCTCAACAACTAAACATATCAAATAAGCAACTGAAAATAATGCAATAAAACTGGTATATTTCAAACTGTTCAATTTTTTGAGGTATGATAAGGGAGTAACTACAGCCGCCATAAAGATGGTTATCCAAAAATTCCTATGCATAAGTAAATTTGACCCATCCATCCTCAAAGTCTCCATTATCTTGGGCATCAAGTCTCCAATCACCACAAGGTAGGATACACCGACCCCAAAACATTTGATAGATATAGCTAAATCAAACAAGATGGATAATTTAGGGTAGGTCAATTGTGCCAAGCTAAAGTATGATACCGAGCCTCTTTGCTCAGTGTACTTTGCAACTTTATTCTGCAAGTATAAACCAAATGCCGAGGTGAATGAGGACCATATTATTAGCATGCAACCAAAAACAAGACCGTTCTGCGCTAGACCATAGGGCATAGCTAGTATACCTGCACCGATTATTGTGTTTAATAAGTTAATAGTTCCTGATTTTATCGTTGCCCTGCCCATTATCAATAACTAAAAGGAAAATAGAATATATTGTTGAGGCGGGGGGGAAGTTAAATTAAATTATGCCAAAGTTGGGTTCTTTTTTGGGGGGTTGTTTCTCACAAAACAACAACTTAAATGTATTTAATACTTGGAAAACATATACAATTGGTGAAAAATCGCCACTAACCTTGCTTGGTGAAGAGTTTTGATGTTAAAAAGCTCAATGTTACAGTGGGAAAGAAGCCTGGTTAAGGTTTCTTTCATCGCGAGAAAATTGGTTCGTTAATAATGTCGTGGAAGAACACGACATTGATATGAAAAAACGACATTGACATGGGAAAAACGACATTTAATGTCAATGTACAGAATCTGGGGTAACCAGACTATCGAGAGGAGACTACCGAGAGGAGACTAGACGAGTAAAACGAGTCTAGTCGATAGAGGGACACCTTGAGATAGACTACCGAGAGGAGACTAGACGAGTGAAACGAGTCTAGTCGATAGAGGGACACCATGAGATAGTCTATAGAAAGAAGAGAGAGTAGATATAGAAAGAAGAAAGAGTAGATATAGAAAGAAGAAAGAGTAGATATAGTCTATAGAGAGAGTAGATATAGTCTATAGAGAGAGTAGATATAGTCTATAGAGAGAGTAGATATAGTCTATAGAGAGAGTAGATATAGTCTATAGAGAGAGTAGATATAGACTACCTCATTTTGCTCAATAGTCGTTTCTACAATAAAAGACCGAATCAACTATAACTGAAAACTGATCATCATATAGTACAAACAAATGACACTACGAATACGATAAAATTCCAATCCCCTCTCTCTCCTCTTCCCCGTCCCTAATTTTCACAACTTTACCTTCGGCACTCACTGTTGACGTGTCACTGTAGATGTGAGTTCTTGCAAAATAGCCAAATATATATATAAAAAAGGACTAAAACAAGGGTTTCAAGTGATTAGACTACACAAAAGAAAAAAAAAACACACTCCAAAGTCAAGCTAATGGAAGTATAGTATTTCATCTCCTTCTCTCTCTCTCTCTCTCTCTCTCTCTCTCTCTCTCTCTCTCTTAGAATACTAACCATCCAAGAAGGAATGCAATCAAGATCAAAACTAAAGCAAATGGCAAAGAAACACCATTGGCGGCTAAATCACTATCGACAATTGCCGCAACTGGTGAACGTGAAGCAGCAGCTTTTTCGTTTTGGTCTAATTTGCTAGACAAAGTTTGAACCTGTCTAGCCAAGGCCTCCAATTCACGTTGAACTGCTGAAGTTGCTCCCTGTTGTTGTGGCTGTTGAGTACCGTATCCGCCATTGTAAGAACCTTGATAACTTGGTTGTTGGTGAATTTGAGGCTGCTGCTGCTGCTGTTGTTGTGGTTGTTGCTGTTGTTGTTGTTGTGGTTGTTGGTAACTAATACCACCAAAACCATTGTTTAAGGATGAAGTATCATTGAATGATCTGCTGTGAGCACCGAAATCATTAGAAGACTGGCTGTAAGAAGCATCTCCATTTGGGTGGAATGGTTGTTGTTGTTGTGGTTGTTGACCATAGCCACCTTGGTATCCTGCATTGAAGTTTTGAGTAGGGTGTTGTTTCTCTTGTTGGTATTGTTGCTGAGGAGGCTGTTGTTGTTGTTGTTGTTGTTGTTGTTGTTGTTGTTGTTGGTTATGAGTACCATGGGATCCAGCAACAGCAGCGGCAACAGCGGCAGCAGAACTGGCACCAGTATTAGTACCAGCTGCAGGAGTACCATTAGGTACGTTAGCGGTAGTACCGGTACCAGCGGGTTTTGAGTCCTGCTTGTCAGGGCCAATTACATAACTGACTCTTAACTTTTTAGAGACAACTTGGCTTTTATTCTGACTTTCCAATTGGGACCATAATTCACCAACTTTTACTGGATCGGTTTGTGGCAATGCAGGAACTGAAACTAATAAGAATTTGTCCTTACACTTGTAGTCTGAAGGTAAAGGTTGAGAAAATCCTTGTAAAATGATTGAAATTTGTAAAGTTTCTCCTGGCTGAACAATAGAGGCATTTGGTCGAACACAGTATAATTTTGGAGCCGTAGTTTTGACTTTGAAAGCCAAAGGCTGGCGGGTTGGGTTTGATAAAGTTAAATACTCGGTTGTTTGTTTGGTAAAGGAACCTAGAAAGGGGAGTTAGCATGGGGTCATAGAAATAGAATCAGAAACAGAAACAGAAACAAAAACACCAGCAGGACCAGCAGAACCAGCAGGATCAGTAGGCCCAGCAGGATCAGCAGGACCAGCAGAACCAGCAGGATCAGTAGGACCAGCAGGATCAGCAGGACCAGCAGAACCAGCAGGATCAGTAGGACCAGCAGGATCAGCAGGACCAGCAGAACCAGCAGGATCAGTAGGACCAGCAGGATCAGCAGGACCAGCAGAACCAGCAGGATCAGTAGGACCAGCAGGATCAGCAGGACCAGCAGAACCAGCAGGATCAGTAGGACCAGCAGGATCAGCAGGACCAGTAGGACCAGCAAGAGCAACAAAAACAGCCAATTTTCCCATATTGAGGAATGGATTGGTGTTGCTCTTTTGCAGAAAAGCCCAGCCTCAGCACAGTTTCTGTAGCAGTCTCTACAGTATAATGTCTGTAGCAATATCCGCAGCATAGTCTCAATAGCACAGCTTCAGAAAAATAGTTCCTGTAGCAGTCTCTACAGCACTTGCTTTGAAATATTTCCTGTAGCAGTGCTATAGACAGCTTGAGTAAATAGTTCCTGTAGCAGTGCTATAGACAGCTTGAGTAAAATAGTTCCTGTAGCAGTCTCTACAGCACTTGCTGTGAAATATTTCCTGTAGCAGTGCCATAGACAGCTTGAGTAAATAGTTCCTGTAGCAGTGCCATAGACAGCTTGAGTAAATAGTTCCTGTAGCAATGCTATAGACAGCTTGAGTAAAATAGTTCCTGGAGCGACTGCTCTCTTTCTCTATCGACTAGACTCGTTTCACTCGTCTAGTCTCTACCTGTTTCTGCAATAATTAGTATCTGAAATTGGCCAACATACCAGTAAACTCTAATGCATTTGGAGAAACTTCCATTTTTAACTAATAACTCTCTAAAGCCTGAATGACCAAAGTTTGCAAAGTGAGAAAAAAAGAGATTAATACTAAGCACCTAGAAAGAAGAAAGATACCTATGGCTATATATTTTCTCAAATTGAAAATTTATATTCAACTTATGAATTTCGAAAATGTTATGTAGAGAAAAGTAAGCTTGACGTTTTCACCTTATTATTTTTTTTTTTCTCCTCAATTTCAAGGGTAGGCCTGGTTTTTTGGTTTTTTTTATACGATAAGTCACAAGTAACTGGTATTATGGCTTAGTGAGATCGAAGAGGAAAGAGGGCAAGAGGAGGCAAACAGAACAATAGAAATCAGAAGCTAAGCAAGCCAGTATAATTAACCAATTTTTTTTTTCTTTCCCATTCTTTTAATTATCTTAATTGAGGTATTTCAGAAAAGTATACTTATAAGGAATTTTCATCATTTTTTTTTTTTGGTAAAGTGAAAAATTCACATTAAATTACCCAATCCGGTAATTCCATATTTCATTTTCCTTTAACACATGAAATAATACGTTTTAACCCCGCCAAAGGCCTTCAACATGGGGTCTCAACATGGGGTCTCATCTCTGCCTAATATGTATATTCTGTCTCACAATGAGTTGAAATTGGTATAACAAGAGATATCTTTCTTTTCAGCTGTGGTTTTGAAAATAGGAGTATATGTATGTGTGGATGTAGTAAATCACCCACCTGCAATCAATTAGTTTTCTTCTTTAGTAGCTCGGTTCTTTTTTTTAAAATCCTATCAACAACACTATCAACAACACTATCAACAACACTATCGAGCGAAGCGAGGTAGTGTTGTAATAAGCTACTGACTAATGACACTCTCGTCAACACTATCTCGCTTCGCTCAATAGTGTTGTAATAAGCTACTGACTAATGACACTCTCGTCAACACTATCTCGCTTCGCTCAGTAGTGTTGTAACAAGCTACTGACTAATGACACTCTCGTCAACACTATTGACAACACTATCTCGCTCTGCTCGATAGTGTTGTATTGACTGTCTCCTTCTCCTCGATAGTCTAGTGAGCTAATTTCTCTCTTACTGGACGATATTAGTAATGTGTGTGGGGGAAAGCGCTTGCTATGATCCTAGTCACGTGACTCAGTCATCGGCACAATACACGCGCAAATAGACTAATAGCAATACCACCGAGGTTGATGTTGGTTTTCAGAAAAATAGCGTTAATCAAGGCTTATTGAGCTAAAATCTTATTTTAAACTTTTTTTTTGACATCTTATGCTCTCAAACACTATCGAGCAGGGCGACACTATAGAACAGAGCTCCACTATCGAGCAGGGCGACACTATAGAACAGAGCTCCACTATCGAGCAGGGCGACACTATAGAACAGAGCTCCACTATCGAGCAGAGCTCCACTATCGAGCAGAGCTCCACTATCGAGCAGAGCGAGATAGTGTTGGTGATAGCTAGTCAGTGTGCTCGATAGTATTGTAACAAGCTCGATAGTGTTGTAACAATCTAGTCATTACTGCTCGATAGTGTTATAACAAACTACTAATTGCTGCTCGTTAGTGTCGATAGCTAGTCAGTACTGCTCCACTATCTCGCTTTGCTCGATAGTGGTGATAGTGTCGATAGTGGTGATAGTGTCGATAGTGGCGATAGTGTCGATAGCTAGCCAGTACTGCACCACTATCTCGCTTTGCTCGATAGTGGTGATAGTGTCGATAGTGTCGATAGTGTCAGCCTATTACACCATTTTTTACCCTCTATGAAATCATATACAACTTACAAGCCATTGACCATAATATCTAAACCATTGACCATAATATCTAAACCATTGAGCCCTATACATATAAATCCTTTGTGCATCAATAGTCGTCACCACGAGTAACGACTTCCTTCTTATGTGGATGCAACAATATGGTATGTTCAAACTGAGCAGTATAGCTTCCGCGTTTATCAACAATAGGCGGATAATCCTCTACAATCCCCACTTTAACCAACTGGTTCAACGCAAATAAATACTTTTCTACCCCTGTACGTTCAAGGTATCGTCTGCACCAAGGTAAAGTACCAAAGTTTTGCTGTATTGTAGAAAGCAACTGCTTAGCTTTATCACTCGGTGGCTTAATCGAGTCGATTTCCTGGTTTAAAGCATAGTGTGAACACTCACCTTCAGGCAAAACATACCCATTCCCTGTTGAGCCAAAAGTTTCAATGGCAAATGTCTCTCCTTCTTCCATCTTTGTCATATCGCCATTCGCTATAATAGGAACGGTTTTACCAGAATGAATAACAAAATCGCCAATATTATGGCCATTCAAGTTTTTGATACATTTTATAGGAAAAACTTTGCCTTTTTCTTCCATCTCATACGATTCCATAACTTCTTGTACGGCGGCTCCAATATCATTCAACCGTACATCTATTCCAGATTCCTTTATACCGGTATTAGTTGCTTCCTTAACCGCTTGCATAAGCGAATCGTATTTTCCTTCCTCATTGAAGGTCATTGTGAATGCAGAGTCACAAATCCGTCCATTAACATGAACACCAATATCAACTTTCATAATATCATCCTTTGATAAACATAACTTATCCCCAGTGTTTGGAGTATAATGAGCAGCTACATGGTTTAGTGATAACCCTGTGGGGAAACCGATACCTGCTTTCAAGGTATGGTCGGCATTAGCATAGGCCCTTATAGAATTTTCAATGGTATCTGCAATTTCAGTCATTGTCATTCCTGGTTTAATAGACGATCTGGCTTTAGCACGAACTCTTCGATGGATCTCTGCACCTTTACGAAAATCTTCCCATCGGTTGTTCTTCTGCCTATCTAAATACCGCATCTCCTCGGATGTTGTACGGTACTTGTTTGAATCTAGTTGATACTCTTGCCATTCACCTTCGGGGAACACTCCATCGGGAAAAGATTGATCAATTGGAACAAGTTTCTTCTTTTTTTTCTTATTGCCATTCTTTTTCTTCTTCTTTTTCTTGTCCCCGGTTGTGGAGTCGGCTCCTTCTCCCTCTCCTTCCTCATTATCATCATCATCGTTATCACCATTATCATTATCACCGAGACTTGAGCTGCCTTCATTCTTGGTCTCTACGTCGCCTAAAACTGGTGTCTCGCCAGTAGAAGTTGAACCCAACTCAAGATCTTTGGTTTTACCCTCTATCTCAATGGTTGTTACCTCTGTCTTTGCCGGTTCTGAAGTCATTACTTGCCTATTCAACTTCAACAAGTGAAAAAAAAGTGTAAAAAAAAAAAAAGGGCCAGGAAGATAATGCTAACAAAATGTAGTCCGACGCACGACAACTGGGCCGGTGGTGGTACCGTTTTTGTTAATGGGTGCAAAAAAGGAAAAGAAAGAAAGAGGTATTCAAATATACAGTGACATTTTCTATACTCTATATCCTACCCAAGAGTCAATATCCCGTTTGATCAATATCTCATTTGTTTTTTTTTTTCTTCTTCTTCTTCTTCTTCTTCCTTGTTGGTTATTTCCCATTAGACCCATTTGATGAGTCAGTTACTGAGCCAGGTGGGTGTCCATGACCGTGAAATAAAACCTTGTTAAAATTCCATAATTTCCCTTCTACACGTTTACCTACCCCATTAGCTGCACCTGTACCGGCACCTGGTGTTTGTCCCGTAACAGCAGTTCCGTTATTGTTCAAAATATTATTGAAATCTGGGGTCTTTAGCAAATTATTTTGTTTCATTACATTGCCGGGCGATGGGGTGAAAAAATTAATATAGTCATTCATATTGAACCCTGTTGGTGTCAATGTCAATCCCGAAGATGGTAAATTATTCGTTGATAATGATGATGACGATGTAAAAAATGGAGTGAGACGGTTTTGTGGGGTACGTGCACTGCTGTAATGATGACCTATTCTTTTAGGCGTTGCAGGGGGTGGTGGTGCTGGCGCAATGAATGACGCAGAAGATAAGGAGGATGATAAGGTCGAAGCAGCAGCAGGTGCAGTGGAGGAGGTGGAGGTGGAGGTGGCCGCAGTGTTGGAGGAATGAGGTGGTTGAGTGGTGGCGCCATTATTATAGGAAGATGGTGGTTGTGATGATTGTGGCCGTGCATGTAACTGATTTGATTGAAGGTTTTCCTCTTGTTGTTGTTGTTGTTGTTGTTGTTGTTGTTGCTGCTGCTGCTGCTGTTGTTGTTGTTGTTGTTGTTGTTGCTGTTGTGGCGTCCGTTGCCTAGGAGTTGGTGGTGCTGCACTAAATGATACACGTGGCTTATAACTCTTGGCAGGACTTGGGGAAGTTGCAAGGTATATAAGTAAGTCTGCTCCTTCAGTATCTGCCGGTGCAGGTGTTTTCGCAACATCAGGTATATCTCTTGAATGTTTATCCTTTTCACTGTTTCTTTGACTATTTTGTTGTCTTGAAGATGACGAGTTGGAACTCATGTCTAGCGATGGTTTCAATGTGTGTTGTGGATGGGGCATACTTCCTGAAGGAGGCGTCAACTCTGCCAAGACCATCTTACTTGGAGAATAGTTGGGTTTTCTCCTTTTTGTAGGTGAGTCATTGATCATATCTTCATTATCGTTTGATGAACCCTTTAAAGGTGACGATGAGAAAAATACAGCTGCGGGTGTTTTCATATGTGTAGGAGACCTGTGAGATGGCGAGTAGAAATTTGGCGATGATAACAAGTCGTTCTGGCTAACATTTGGTGAATTTTTGTGTTTGTTGGCTACATTGTTCATGATATAGTTTTTCAAGGGTGAAGTTCGAGGTACTATTGGCATTGTTGTTTTCATGTTTGCTGGTGAAAGAGACTGCTTGGCTGCAATACTTGCCTTGGACAATTTCTTTTTCAACTGTAACGCGATTTTCTCCAATTCTTCCTTCTTTAAGGGAGTCTTTACTTTTTGCCCATTTGAATTAGACGCAGTAGACGTTGTTATAGTTGACGACATGTTGACTTGATACTGAACAAAAGCGGCACTTTTCACTTTTTCTTTCTAATAGTAAATGGTGACCCCTTTTTAAAAGCAAACGCGATGGAATAGGACAAAACGGGGGAATTGGTCTATTTCTCAATAACCTGATACCAACAAAGGGCTTTTGTATTACTCGATAAACGGGTCCTTAGTTCACCTATCAAGCTCAAATGGGAAATTCTGACAATTTGAGGGTTCCAGCCAATAATATACCGATAAAAAACTGCAGATAACAAACCAGGGATATAACCACCACCAAAAAAATTTTTAGCTTTTAGCCCCCCTGAAATGAATAGCAACTATTTGAGTGAGAAAAGCTAATAGCAATAAACCTCCTAAATGGCCAAACCAAATACTCTTCCAAGCAAAAAAATCCACCTAAGCTCTTTCCTTTTAAGAGAAGGGGGAGGGGGCAGGGGCTTCTCTCTCAGATCTTTTTTATTCAGACTCAAGCAAAATTATTCCTTTAACGCTTTGCTTAATTCCTTTTCCGCTAAATAGGACGCGTGATGGAACAAAGCTGGGCGCTACCATGTAATTTAACCCAATTGGGAAATAATCATTAACCAAAATGTGTCAAAATTATCGAGACAACACTATCAACAATACTATCAACAATACTATCGAGCAGAGCGAGATAGTGTTGTTTCTTGTCTAGCTTGTTACAACACTATCGAGCAGAGCAAGATAGTGTTGTTGTTTGTTTAGCTTGTCACAGCACTATCGAGCAGAGCGAGATAGTGTTGTTTCGTGTCTAGCTTGTTACAACACTATCGAGCAGAGCGAGAAGTAGGTTGTAAGAAGTGGGTTGTAAGAGGTATGTAAGAAGTTGGATGTAAGAGGGATGTAAGAGGAGGGTTGTAAGAGGTATGAAAGAGGTATGAAAGAGGTGGGTTGTAAGAAGTGGGTTGTAAGAAGTATGTAAGAGGTATGTAAGAAGTGGGTTGTAAGAAGTGGGTTGTAAGAAGTAGAGTGTCGGTTGTAAGAAGTGGAGTGTAAGAAGTGGAGTGTCGGTTGCAAGAGGTGGGTTGTAAGAAGTGAGATGTAGGTTGTAAGAAGTGAGATGTAGGTTGTAAGAGGTGGGTTGTAAGAAGTGGAGTGTCGGTTGTAAGAAGTGGAGTGTAGGTTGTAAGAAGTGGAGTGTAAGAAGTGGGTTGTAAGAAGTGAGAAGAAAATAAAAAGGTGAAAAGTAGAAAGTAGCAAGTAGATGTAGAATGAGGAAGGAAAAGTAGAATATGAAGGAGGATTGGTGACATCTAGTGTGCTCCACTATCTAACCCTGCTCGATAGTGTCGGTAGCTTGTTTCTCTTGAGATGCAAGTAGTAGCCCTTGGAATAAATGGGATTGCAACGTTTAGTATCATTATTATTTCTCTATTAGATTCGAAGAAATTAAAGAAATTTGCAAGCTACAAGCAAAAGTCACCAGCATCAGCTACAATTTAGAAAACTTGAGAGATGACTAAAGGTCAATGCAAGATGTGATTTGATGATTTTTTTTGCTACTAGTATCCTTTACCATTTCACAAGTCCTCTAACTTGTTCATTAAACATTTTCAATGTATGGAGTCGAGCAAAGCGAGATAGTGGAGTAACACTTGATAGCTTGTGCTTTGACCCGACACTTTCGAGCGAAGCGAGATAGTGGAGCAACATTTTTGTAACTTGTTACAACTCTATCGCCGACACTATCTCGGTCTGCTCAATAGTGTCTACTAAGTGGTATCTGGTTGAGCCGCATTGCCTTCCCCTTTTGAACATCTCATCGCGATTGAAAAAAGACCCATTTTTCAAGTTGAATTCCACCTTCCTTACCCCCCAAGGTTGTCCTTCAAGGAAGATGTGGTTGATCCTAAGTGTATTGCTTGCAATTTATTTCTTGCGCCAGCTAGTCAACAATGTTCTACCACATTTTTTCCTTGTGCCTCCTCAAAGATGGCAGGATAAGTTCCTTAAAGTGATAAGCCATCAATTATCAATCTACGTGCCTGGACTGACATTAAAACGGTCTAGTTTAAGAAGACGACTCATCCTAGCTAGCTCGCAACCTTCGTTCCATACAAACTTTATCAATAACAAATTGAAACTCACACCGGAGGATAAAAGTGATCTGCATGAATTTATGGCGGAAACAAGGAAAAGAGACGTTGATGATCCTCAACGCAAATTATTGTTTGGATTTTTCCATCCTTATGCAAATAACGGCGGTGGTGGAGAAAGGGTTTTGTGGCAAGCAGTGAAGGCTACTTTGCTGGCTAATAAAAGGAATATTTGTGTTATTTACACTACAAACCTCGATTCTGAACCATTACAAATTATCAATAAGGTTAAAAATAAGTTCCAAATTGATCAATTGGATTCTTCCAGGATCGTATTTATATACTTGAGAAAGTTTGGCTATTTGATAGATGCCTCGTATTGGAAACACTTTACTATTTTAGGCCAGTTTTTGGGGACTTTCCTCCTAAGTATCGAGGCGTGTTTTGAAGTTTCTCCCGATGTATGGGTCGATACAATGGGATTGCCTAGTAGTTATCTCATTGCCGGTAAAGTGTTGAAAATCCCAATAGTTGCCTATGTTCATTATCCTATTTTACAAACAGATATGTTTAATAAACTCAAGTATAAATCCATAGTGAGGGATATTGTGAAAATAAGGAGTATAGGAGATTTTTCTAGTTATGTGAAATTGATCTATTGGTCAGCATTATACTACATTTATATATACCTTGGATCCTTGGTTGATATAACCTTGACAAATGGAACTTGGACATATCGTCATTTATCGCAGATATGGATTATGAACAAAGGGTTGGGTAATATATTAGAAATCTTGTATCCTCCATGTGGAACCGAGTTTCTTACAAATTCTTCTACTTTACTAGAGAGCAAACGAGAAAATAAGCTTCTATACTTGGCACAATTCCGTCCTGAAAAACGTCACAGTTTAATTTTGAAAGAGTATCGAAGGTTTCTTTCGAAAAATTATCCAAACATTACTACACCCAATGATTTTGGTGGTGGCAGTGGTGGTGGTTTGCCAACAATAGTATTTGCCGGATCTTGTCGAACCAAAGATGACACAGCAACTTTGGAATCGCTCAGGAGCCAAGTAGATCAGCTCAAGTTGAACGAATTTGTTGAATTTGAAATAGACATTTCCTATGCTAGAGTTGTGCAATTATTGTCAAGTTGTAAATTTGGATTAAATGCCATGTGGAACGAGCATTTTGGGATAGGCGTAGTTGAATACATGGCAAGAGGATGTATCCCCATTGTACATGCTTCAGCTGGGCCTTATTTAGACATTGTTACTTCAAGCGACGATGCTGATGAACAACGGGGTTTTTTTTTCAAATCAATTGATGATCCTGATTTCGATCCAAGTATACAAGATGAAATTGAAATTGAAAATGGAGAGTTGATATTTGATATCCAAGGAAGCCACAAATTATTCCCCACTTTAGAACACCTTTTGACAGAAATGTTTATTACAAAAAGAGACTTATTGACCCTGGATGCAAAATTAAGTGCAATAGCCAAAAGAGGACAGAAAATACTTGATGACAAGTTTTCCAATAAAACTTTTGAGAAAGAATGGATAAAATATCTTGAAATAGTTGATAGTTTGGAGAAAAAGTATCGAAATGAAAAGAGAGATAAGTTGGAAAGGGTATACTAAATTAGACACCAGAGACACTAAAGTGCTCTACACTACACTATCGAGCGGAGCGAGATAGTGGTGCACACTAAAGTACTCTACACTACACTATCGAGCGGAGCGAGATAGTGGTGCACACTAAAGTACCCTACACTATACTACACTAAAGTACCCTACACTATACTACACTTTGTAGCTTGTTACGACAGGGAACTTGGATAGTGTATACTAAAACATACATAGATGATATATATATAGATGGTATAGAAAAAAAGGGAACCAGCACTATTTATTTAACAGAGGTGAGTTGGAAAGAGTATACTAGACCCTACATAGACGATATATACACATAGAAGGTCTATAGATGGTCTATAGATGGTCTGTAGCTGGTGTAGATGGTGTAGCTGGTCTATTGATGGCCTGTACCTGATGTAGATGGTGTAGATGGTCTGTAGCTGATGTAGCTGGTACAGGTAAGTTGGAAACAGCACTGACTATATAACAGAGGTAAGTTGGAAAGAGCATACTAGACCTTACATAGATGATATATACACACAGATGATCTATAGATGGTCTATAGATGGTCTGTAGCTGGTGTAGATGGTCTGTAGATGGTCTATATAGTAGCACATGGTAGCACTTCAAGTCGTGCACGTGAGTCCAAACTTTTAACGTGTTCATAAATTTTTCATCCATTTGGTGACACAGGCGTATTAGCAAATAGAGGACCTTCCCCCCCCCCCAAAGTAGGAGTTAAAGGTCATATATAGGTCAATTTTGTACCAAGGAGCATTAGGCGTGGAGAAAGCAGCTACTAGGATTTATTTTTTATTTGAATATTTAGGTTGAATCACCTAATTACGCCATCCACCTCCGTCCAGCTTGTGTTGTTGTTGTTGTCGCTGTAGCAATTGATTAGGTGCTAATTTGAGTTGAGATATGAAATTGGATATTACCAAGACCTTTAGTCACCATTGTGACCGTGTCAAGGGTATAGACTTCCACCCAACAGAACCGTGGGTGTTGACAACGTTGTATAACGGAAAGATTGAGATATGGTCATATGCGACGAATTCGCTTGTCAAATCGATCCAAGTAACCGAGTTACCAGTGCGTACCGGGAAATTTATAGCCCGCAAGAATTGGATAGTTGTCGGGTCCGACGATTTCCAAATCAGAGTATACAACTACAACACGGGAGAGAAAATTATTCAATTTGAGGCTCATCCAGATTATATCAGAGCAATTGCTGTTCATCCAACAAAGTCGTATATTTTAACTTCAAGTGATGATTTGACTGTTAAATTGTGGAATTGGGATAACAACTGGAAATTGGAACAGGTCTTTGAAGGACACCAACACTATGTCATGAGTGTTAATTTCAATCCCAAGGATCCCAATACATTTGCTTCTGCTTGTTTAGATAGAACAGTCAAGATTTGGTCTTTGGGCAGTTCACGGCCTAATTTCACTTTGGTTGCCCACGACACAAAAGGTGTCAATTACGTCGACTACTACCCGCAAGCTGATAAACCATACTTGATAACTTCGAGTGATGATAAGACTATAAAAGTATGGGATTACCAAACTAAATCATGCGTTGCCACTTTGGAAGGACATCTACTGAATGTATCGTTTGCTATATTCCATCCAGAGTTGCCTATTATTGTTTCGGGTTCAGAAGATGGTACAATTAGATACTGGAACTCAAACACTTTCAAGTTGGAGAAATCGGTTAACTACAGTTTAGAAAGGGCTTGGTGTGTTGGAATCTTGCCCAAATCAAACGTTATTGCTGCTGGGTTTGATTCAGGATTTGTTATTATAAAACTAGGCAATGAAGAACCTTTATTCTCCATGGATCTGAATAACAAATTGATATATGCTAAAAACTCGGAGGTTTTCCAAACGATAATAAAGCCAAATGCTACTCAAGGCTTGAAAGATGGCGAAGCCTTAAATTTGCAACAAAGGGATTTGGGCAGTATCGAAATCTTTGCCCAATCTCTTGATCATTCACCCAATGGGAGATATGCAGCTGTATGCGGTGATGGCGAATACATTGTTTATAGTGCGCTAGGCTGGAGATCGAAATCATACGGTAAGGCACTCGACTTTGTATGGAACAGCCATGACAATTCAGCAGCTTGTCCTTTTGCTATTAGAGAATCCCCCGTTAGTGTAAAAGTGTTTAAGAATTTCCAAGAACAAATGATTATTGATTTGTCGTACCACGCCGATAAAATCTTTAGTGGCGCTTTATTGGGTGTGAAATCAGAAGGATGTGTTTCTTTTTATGATTGGGAACTGGGCCGGTTAGTTAGAAGAGTGGATATAGATGATGAAGTATCCGATGTTATTTGGTCAGATAATGGCGAGTTGCTTGCTATTATCACAACAACAACAACAACAACATTGTCGTCATCATTATCGACGAGTGAAAAAATGAGCGCACCTTCTGTGCCTTCAAAGAAAGGAGACGAAACATACTTTTTGAGCTATAATCATGAAGTATTTGAACAGGCCTTGAAGAATGATGATCTCGACCCAGAAGAAGGTGCAGAATTGGCGTTTGATGTCTTGTATACCTTGCCTACTTCAGAGTCCATATTATCAGGGAAATTCATTGGTGATGTATTTGTTTTCACTACAGCAGCAACCAACAGATTGAATTACTTTGTTGGTGGAGAGGTTATAAACTTGGGTCATTTCGATCGCAAAGTTTATATAATTGGATATAAAGCACAAGAGGTGAGACTATTACTTATTGATAAATCATTCAATGTTATCTCATGGTATCTCAATGCCGATTTATTGGAATTGCAAACTTTGGTAATGAGAGGAGGTTTAGAACAATTTGCAACTCAGAGTGTTGTAGATGAAGAAACTGGAGAAACAGTTCCAGACTTGAGCAATGTTTCATTGGAAAACTTATCCGAAGAGTACAACAATTTAATCAGCAATTTTTCCAAAACTGAGTTGAACCAGTTATCTAGATTTTTTGAAAAATTGGGATACATGGCGTTATCATTTCAATTATCTCAAGATTTTGATTCCAAATTTCAAATATCCTTGAGCACGGGAGATTTAATGAAAGCTTATGAATTATTATCAAATCAACAAAAGAAAGATCCAACAACGGCTTCCATGAATATTCAGAAATGGAAAAAATTGGGCGATTTAGCATTGAGTAAATGGAACATCAAATTAGCACAGGAATCATTTTGGTTAGCTAAGGATTATTCGTCACTATTGTTGTTATTATCTTCGTCACAAAATAAAGAACAGTTGATTAAATTGGCCGAGGCGTGTGAGCAGAACGGTAAATACAATATTGCATGGCAAGCATGGTGGCAAGTTGGTGATGTTGAAAAATGTTTGAATTTGTTAATCAAAAGTGAAAGGTATACTGAAGCTATTTTATTTGGCACTAATTATGGTGTTGATCATGAAAAGTTGACCAAGTATATTAAGGAGTGGAAGGAGGTTTTAAAGAATGACAAGAATAAGAGTAAAATAGCCGAGAGGTTGATTGATGATTTTAGCAAAATAAGCATAAATGGAAAAGAAGTTGACCCGCCCTTGATTAATTTTGAAGAAGGAGCAGAGGCAGAGGCAGAAGCAGAAGCAGAAGCAGAAGCAGAAGCAGAAGCAGAAGCAGAAGCAGAAGAAGAAGTAAAGGAGAAGGAACAAGATGCTTTAGGTGAGAAGGAAACTGAGCAGAGGGAAATCGAGACTGCGGAATTTGAAGAAGAGAATGATGGTGCAGAACTATTGCATAAAGAAGAATAAAGAACTTTCATACAAGCTATGTACATTAATCGGAAAAGTGAAAAAAAAAAGAACAAAAAGAACCCGTAAGGACCTCTATCTCTTGTCATTGCATATAAAAATACATTCGTTCGTCAGCTCAATCATGATTACGTCAATCATGATTACGTCATTGAATAGCATTTGCAACTTTTGCTTGATCAGATCGATTTCGCTATCCCCGACTTTTATACAGCTAAGCCGTAACACATACTTCCCTCCAGTTTTCAATACCTGTTGCATCAAAAGTATAGAAGCTTCAGCTAGATCCAAATTAGCCTTTGTGGGATTTATAATTGAGTGATTCAACCCCTTGTTTGAATTATACCTGATATATGGGTGTGTCTCTGAATGATCATAAAATCCACTTTGTTGTTTTAGTGGCCGTGATAAGTCGCTGAGGACTAAATTTATTTTCCAATCATCACTATTCAGATCCTCATTGCTATTATTTTTATTACTATTGTTGTTGTTGTTGTTGTTGTTGTTATTATTATCATCTGCGATGATCAACTTCTTATCAAAAACCCCAGCCAATTCATTTAGAATCTCCGTTTCTTCTTTTTCTTGGTCAAAGTAAGACTTTTTTACCAAATCATCAATATCTCCAATACCATTATTGCCACCACCTCCTACTGCTCCTCCGCTTTTCAATTTCCGGTTTCTTATTTCAAAATCTTTGAAATGATTCATGACTAATCCTTGTGCCATTTTAGAAAAAATATTTCCCTGTATGGAGCTTGTTCCCTTTGGTGGATTTTTGAAAAGTATATCAAACCCCAAAATCATAATTTTCTTGGTGTATAGTTTATCTTGCTCCACATCATGTAGCTTGGCTAGTGTTTCCGCAATATAGCTCATCCAATGACCCGGTGCAAACCCAATATCTAATATTTTTCTAGTCTCAGATGTGAGAATATGATATTGCTCGTCCAAAAGGCGTATTTGGGAGGTGAATCCTTTTTTGAGCAGCTCTGCTTCCTCTCGTCGTGACATTTTTTTGTATTTACCAAAAGGTTGGGAATGTGATGATGACAGCGGTGGGTTTGACAGCGGCGAGTCTGACAGCGGCGAGTCTGACAGCGGCGAGTCTAATAGCGGCGAGACTACCTGCGGCGAGTGCGATTCCGACAGTTTTGACAGCATCGATCTTGAAAATTTACAAGACAGTGATTCCTTCTTAATGGTGGTGGTACCTGCATTTCTTGACAAAGAATAAAGTCTTTTTTGAAAAAGGCCTGCCCTTGACAAATCTTGCAATAGCCGCAATCCCAACAAAGCAAAATTCACTTTCGGCGTGGCTAGCATCATCCTACAACCCATTAATCGTCAACCATCAATGCTGTTCAAGTCTTTTCACCAAGGTAAATAACGCGTTTTGAAAAAGGAAAATTACCAAATTGGTAATATCGTGCGGCTCCAATATCGAACGAAGCGAGATAGTGGAGCTAGTGGAGCAGTGCTGACTAGCTTGTTATGACACTATCGAGAGGAGCGAGATAGTGGAGCTAGTGGAGCAGTACTGAATAGCTTGTTATGACACTATCGAGAGGAGCGAGATAGTGGAGCTAGTGTCGCTAGTGTCGGTGTATCTAGTGGTGCTCCACTATCGAGCGACACTATTAAGCGGAGCAACACTATCGAGCGGAGCAACACTATCAAGCAGAGCAACACTATCAAGCAGAGCAACACTATCTCGCTCCGCTCGATAGTGTTGCTCCGCTCGATAGTGTTGCTCCGCTTAATAGTGTTGTTCCGCTTGATAGTTTTGCTAGTGTCGGTGTATCTAGTGGTGCTCCACTATCGAGCGACACTAGGAAGCAGAGCGAGCTAGTGGAGCAGTGCTGACTAGCTGGCTATTACACTATCTCGCTCCACTCGATAGTGTTCGCTCGATAGTGCCTGCTCGATAGTGTCCCCTCGACGGAAGTGCACGTGCCACAGTTTTTTCTTTCCTATTTGAGAAAACCTACACCTCTTTGGTTGCCGTTTCTGTGAATTTTGCAACCATTCTTTTTGCAGCCATTAATTTCATGAATTACATAGAGGTAACAACCACCAAATAATTTAAAAACAATCATTACCATAAGAAACTATCGAGCAGAGCGAGATAGTGTCGCACACCAGCTGTCACTGTAATAATTGAGCTAAACAAGTACAAACATTTAGTGCAACAATAAGAAAAGCCAGAAACTAAGCCGTAAATTAATATATAAACCCATCACTCCAGGGCCAACATCTTGTAGGATCTTCTCATAAATTATAAGGCAACATATTGTTTCAAATATCCCCCATCTTTCTGACATAAAAAAGGCATATCTACCCTCCCTCTTATCTACCCTCTCTCTTATCTACCCTCTCTCTTATCTGCCCTTCCTCTCATTTTCCCTCCCTCTCATTTTCCCTCTCATTTTCCCTAGCCACATTCCTTCAAGGAAAAAAAAAACAAAGAAAAAAAAAAAAGAAAGTCACATATACTCACGTGACGCTATCTAATATACGAAGGAGAAAATTTGAATCGCAATTGGTAGCGTATGTCATCGCGCCGAGCGGCAGCGACGCTCAAAATTTTTCAAAACCTGGCTATCTTTCGGCCCACCAAAGGTGATTAGGCTTCCCTTTCTTTTTCTTTCCTCCTTATCCTCGTCGAATCATTTACACCTACCAAATAGGAATTCTCTTATTTTTTTTTCTTTATTTGGGAGACGAACACATAGCAAGCAAAAATGTCTAAAATCACATCCTCTCACGTTAGAGAAAACGTCAAGAAGTTATTGGAACACTCCAACGAAACTAAAAAGAGAAACTTTTTAGAAACTGTTGAGTTACAAGTTGGTTTGAAAAACTATGACCCTCAAAGAGACAAGCGTTTCTCTGGTACTTTGAAATTACCTCAAGTCCCAAGACCAAACATGACCTTGTGTATATTTGGTGATGCTTTTGATGTCGATAGAGCTAAATCCTTGGGTGTCGATGCTATGTCCGTTGACGACTTGAAAAAATTGAACAAGAACAAGAAGTTGATCAAGAAATTGGCTAAAAAGTACAATGCTTTTATTGCTTCTGAAGTTTTGATCAAACAAATCCCAAGATTGTTGGGTCCTACTTTATCTAAAGCAGGTAAGTTCCCAACTCCTGTATCACACAATGATGACTTGTACTCAAAGGTCACTGATGTTAGATCAACCATCAAGTTCCAATTGAAAAAAGTCTTGTGTTTGGCTGTTGCCGTTGGTAACGTTGAGATGGATGAAGACGTTTTGGTCAACCAAATCATGATGGCTGCTAACTTTTTGGTTTCATTGTTGAAGAAGAACTGGCAAAATGTTGGTTCATTAGTTATCAAGTCAACTATGGGACCTTCATTCAGAATCTATTAAGTCTAAAAACCTAGAATATCTATAGTTTTTTTAGATTAATAAATTGGGTTTTCCTTTTTTCTCCCCTCCCCCCACCCATTTTCAAATGTATGTTGATATATTTTGATGTGCAATGTGATGTAGAGAGAATGCGACCTATTTGTAAGAAAGTATATTCTTTCGAGAGAAGGATGTATATCTACAGGACTGTTTCTCAAGGGCAAAAGGCGGCGGCACCGGCGGCACCAGCAGCAGCGGCAGCAGTAGCAGCAGTAGCAGTAGCAGTAGCAACGCCGTACTGTGCGGTGTGTTATTCAAGTCCTTCTAAATAACATCTATATATCAATCAATATCCAACAACTCTCACTTTCTTGGCCTCTTTTTTGTTCTTCTTATTATGCTTTTTATCAGATTTTGTAGGTAGGGAGATGGTCTTTTTATGGAATGGTGTATTCATTTTCCCTTCAACATTATTCAATGCAAAAAACTCTTCATCTAACTCATCACCAGCACTTTCTAGTCTTGCTTGGTTACCGCCATAGAATAACGTCTTTGCTTCGCTTTTACCGTGTTGTTGTTCTTCTTCTCCTTCTACTTCTTCTTTACTTTTTTCTCCACCAGCACCAATGTGCATTGAAAAATTCAACTTTGATAAATCCTTCTTCAAATCAAATTCATCTACAGGAATGTTTCTCGCCTTCATTGCATGAATGATTTGATGTTGTCTTGATTCAGGTAAGTGATGCAAAGTGTATAGTTCACGATTAAAGTCTCTCAGTCGCTGTAAGTTGAGCAATTCCCATTCTCCATCAGCACTCAACATGGGTGCAGGATTCACGAAAAGCAATTTACCATTGACATAGTCCTTCAAAATGTATCTTGCGGCTCTTGGTTCATCAGCTGAACCAAAACCCTGAGTCATATACCCCCGAGCTCGCGCGTATGCATTCAACAATTCACGAGCGGTCGGGTATTCTCCATTACCACCATCTTCGATTTTTTGTATAGGGATGTGAATACCATAGACTGCTTCGAGAAAGAACTTAGGTATACGCTGACAAACTAACGCTACTGGAGGGATATGTTCACGTAGTTGATCAATTGGCAAAACTCCATTGCACACTAATTCGGCATTTGTGTAGGCAAAATTGGGAAATACTAAACCAGGGCAATCGCAGAGTATAACTTCGGGTGTGAGATGTAGTGTTTGGAAATGCTTGGTCTTTCCTGGTGTTGACGAGACAGAGACTTTTTTCGACCCAATCAACGCATTTATAGTCGATGATTTACCAACATTAGGATACCCAACTAATCCTATTTGTAATTTCCGACGTGAGTGCTCCGGATGTTCTGAATCTTGTTGGAATTTGGGTGCTGAATCCATAAACAAGTGTTCCAATTCTTCAATCTTCAATATTCTTATCGATTCGTCATCATTATCTAAATTAATTTCATCATCAACAACAACATCATCATCATTATCATCATCGTTACCGGTTTCTGCGCCATTATTTAACAATACTTGTCCTTCCCTCTGTTCTTGCTCAAGTTGCTCTAGCTCCTCTTTTTCTTTCGCTAAAAGCTCATTAGCTGCGGCAGCTGAGAAAAATACATAGTTGATACCTTTTGCTTTGAAGTATTCGGCCCATGCAACTCGTTGATCTCGCGTTAACAAATCGGCCTTGTTAACTAGCAAGAGGTTACTCTTTTGGTGGTTTGAGTCATTCACATCATTGAACCCATCAACATATCTCTCCAAATCGATTGATCTAAAAAATAAAGGATTCCTAGCATCAACAATCTGTACGATCAAATCACATCTTTCCACTACCCTCCACAATTGTCTCCAAACTTCCAAATTTCTCTCAAATGGTGTTAACAACAAGTCGTTATTCTCAGTCAAACTTGCCAACTGTCTTCGCCATTCTAAAAATGCCAAGTTTTCTTGTCTTTCAATTTCCAATTTACTTTGCAGTTTTGTCCAATGGGGACGCTTCGGTATAGTCAACTTATTTTCAAACATCGCATGCTTTTGTCTCATCTTTAGCATTTCGTCAGTGGTCAATAGTCCGGTGGTACTGACTATAGAGTTGTTACCAACTTTAATAATTTTAACTTGTTGACTTCTTTCGGCACTAAAATCAGTGTCTGCCAACTGTGCCGTGTTTAAAAACTCATCTAAAGAGTTTTCCTGAGTAACCGACCTCAATTTAACCCAATTCGGGTCTCTTTTATCTGTAGTAAATCGCATCTCACCATCTGGCAAATATTGTATTTGGTTCTCTTTAGATCGTTGGTTTGCTATGCTTCGTCCTAACCCCATGACATTCTTATTCTTATGGTGCACAGGTTTTGGCCCTTTTGGCGCTTTCCATTTCTTCTGTTCCGGGTGAAGCAGCCCTTTATTATTATCACTCATTTTCCTTACCAATTTTAGTCTACAAGTAGCAAAAAAGCTCTATCTAATGTACAAAAATGGGAGTGGAGTAGAGTAGAGTAGAGTAGAGATGAGATGAGATGACTTAACTGCAAAAAGAAAAAAATTCAGTGCGAGAAAAAAAAAAAAAAAAAAAAAAAAGGCAAAGTATGTGATCACGTGACGATAAATCATCAAATATTGCACCCGCCCCCCACCCCCATGTTTTATATAAGGAAGAAAGTTGATAATGATGGTGATGGTGGTTAATAGTTAATAATTATAGGCAAAAGAAGAGGGACAACTTGTGTGCTACACATTCACATTTACATGGTAACATTTTTGGATGGCTTGTAGGACTTATAAATCAGCTTTATTGGTTTGCAGCGTGTTCATTCCAATGTTGGCGAGTTGATTGAAATAATCCTTTGTTCTCAAACTACACGTTTCCCCATTTCTACATGTCGTCAAGAAAAAGGAGCTTATTTTTCTTTTTTTCAATACAAAGACATTCAATTCATTACTTTATCATACATTTTATATGAAGTTGGTCACAGACTTTGTTTCTTTTTTTGTTTTCTAAAAAAAAACCTCCTAGGTCCATCTTTGCTTTTCTTTCAAATATATTGTGACAACCATTTAAAGGCTTCTCCGTACCCGGATCTCATAACAACAGAGACCATAAACACTTCAATTGGTCTAGTTCCTTCTGGTAATTTGCCTGTATCTTTACCAGTGGTATTGTACAAACCTAAAGCGTTTTTCAATTCCATTTCGCCAACTGCAGTAGGCACATCTATCTTATTACCCAAAATTACAAATGGCACTTGACTTAACTCTTCGATTCTGAACAAACTTTCCAACTCTGCTTTGGACTCAGCAAATCTTTCGGGATCAGCAGCATCAACTAAGAAAACAATACCATTTACCTCGGGGAAATAGTCCTTCCATAACCTTCTTGCCTGCTGGTGTCCACCCAAGTCAAATGTTGTAAACCTAACTGACCCAATGGCCAATTCTTCCGAGGTAGGATGCAAAGTTGGCTGTAAAGTGGCCAATCTATCGTTTTTCAACATGTGTAGTAAAGTTGTTTTACCAGCGTTATCCAAGCCGAGAAATAACAATTTGGCATGCTTGTTCCATAACCCCAATGAGGCTAATATATCTTGAACTATAAAAAAAAAAAAACAAGCGTTAGTTATCCCACCTCCTCATTCACAGCTGCCGTCGCCGCAGCAAAGTGGCTTCTCAAAAAAAAAACAACCATAGATAGATACATACACCAATCAAAGATCCACATCCTTTTGGACTATTCAAAACAAAAATCCTTTTATACTAGAGAAACTATGGGTATTATCTCTAATCAGATGACTTGTTTAATAAAAAAAGTGTTCTCGCTCTTTAATTTTTCAACGGAAAATAAAGAAAATTTACACGCCAAACAAAATTAAACACTTACCCTTTTAGGAAATAGGTATATGCAGGATATAGAAACATCACCAAACTTCACCACCTACCATCAAGGGGAGCCAAGTGGTGGTAGTGGTCGTCTATGCATCATGTTTGTTTTTGATGCATGAATAGGATACGATTGTTGATTTAACGCATTGTGATTTTTTTTAAAAAAAAAATTTTAATTTGTGTCCATCTCTTTGTCTACCACCTCTACTATACCAAGAGGGTGGCCATTTCCAAAGGAGTGGCCATTTGGATAGTAAGCCATTGTCAAATCGGTTATTATCAAAGAGTTGCAAAAAATTAATCAAGATTTTTTTTCGACACTATCGACACTATCAACACTATCGACACTATCGAGCGAAGCGAGATAGTGGAGAAACACTTAGTAGCAACACTATCGACACTAACGAGCGAAGCGAGATAGTGGAGCAGCACTGACTAGTGACACTAGCGACACTTTCGACACTTTCGACACTATCGACACTATCGAGCGAAGCGAGATAGTGAAGAAACACTTAGTAGCAACACTATCGACACTATCGACACTAACGAGCGAAGCGAGAGAAACACTTAGTAGCAACACTATCGTCACTTAGCAGCACACTATCAATACTTAGCAGCAATACTATCGACACTTCGCAGCACACTATCAACACTTCGCAGCACACTATCGACACTTCGCAGCACACTGTTGACCCCTAGCAGCAACACTATCGACCCCTAGTAGTACACTATCGATACTATCTCGTTCTACTCGATAGTATCGATATCATTTCGATTCTTCTTTTATAGAACAAATGTTTGCACTAGAGTCTTTTCGTATTTATCGATATCTGCGGCTATGTTGGTGTTGTAGAAGATGCAAGACTTCAAATACAAGGGGAAAGGAGTTTCTGTCTCAGAACCAATCCATTCCCGTTGAAGATGTAAATTCGGCAATAGTTGAGAGAATGAAGCTTATACTAGAAGAAAAGATTCAATCACAGCTGGCTACTTCTACAAAACTACTATCAAAAGCGGATCCTTCAGTACAGGCTATTCTCACGAAATATGATTATGGCTCTTATAATGATAACCAGATGGATTTCGAACAAGCACAAGCATACATAAAGAACGAGCCACTATTATCCACCAATAAACATGCAAGAGATATTTACAATTCTAAACCCTGGCACGGCAAAGAGTCGACTTATGATGCTAATCTAAGGATGATCATTGATCTGGTGCCTAAACCTGTGAATGATCCAATGAGCACTTTTAAAGCCAAGAGACGAGTAGTAACTGCAAACGATAGGTTATCTCTTGCAAAAGACATGAGCTTAGATTATAAAGTCAACAAAAGGGGAAAGGAGGAAGCAAGATTTCGAGAATTGTATAAAGAAAGATTATTGGGTCCTTCAATGTTACTAAATAATTCAGGTTTGGTTGCATCTTCAATTGATGCTGTTGGTAGTATAGCTAGCAACAAGATCAATGCTTCAATCAACCAACAGACGGGGAAATTCGATGATCCTGAAATGTCAGCTGTTCGTGGTATGCCCTTGACTACTAGTCATTTAAAAAATTGTACCGATACCAATTATTTCATGAATCAGATATTGAAAAAACAAGAAGTCCTTCCGCCATGGATTGAAGCTCAACAATCTTTGAACAAAGCTGTGGCTAGTTTTAGGCAAAATCTTGATGAAATGTGGTTTAAATGGATATTGAACGATTCGGTAATGAGCAATCCAATAAACCAGGCCACTACAATCAATGAGATTTTGACTTTCTACGAAAAGAACATCACGAAAATTACATATTCCAACGAGAATAAACTTCCCAATGTCGACCTAAAATTCATTGAATCAAAGATTAAATTGATAAATTCACAAGTGCGCCATTATAATCTACAATGTCCAAGTGCGAGTGGCCATAAGCTTAAACTCAATGGGGACAAAGAGATTAAGGAATCTTATTGGAGAACGTTGGAGCAATTCCCCAGCTTGGTTGAAAAATGGTACTTGGTGCATAAAGCCAAAGGCAAATCTAAATTGGTAGATAACAGTAATAACAATGGACATGTTTCAGCAATGTTCAAAGATTTGACTTTCAAGAGTGGTGCACCTGAAATTCATGTAAATAAAGACATTGACACAAGACTTCATTTATGGCAAGCAATCAAGGATATCTTTAAAAGGTAACAACAACAACAACAACAACAACAACAACAACAACAACAACAACAACTTGTTCCTATTTTTTTTATTTATTTCCATTTTTTATTTATTTCGTTTCTTATACAAGTAGAATTCTATATGTGATAAATGCAATAACGATACTAATAATAACTGGGATAATGAACAAAATCCATATAGATATGGTGTTTTTCTTTGCGCTTTTTGAAGCATGCTGTAAGTTTATTGCAAATTCATTGCTTGTTTCGATTCTTGAAAATTTCTTCATGGCCCGTTTATATCCATTATTACCCAACTCTTTCTTAATTTGTTCACTTGTTTCGTTGAAATATTTAATCATTATCTTTGCCCATTTTTCATAGTCTCCCAGTTCAACAAACCCGGTAGCTTCATCGATATTGGTTCCATCAAAATGAACAACTGTTTCTAAAGGACCACCAAAGTTTCTGGCCAATACCGGAGTCTTGAACTGCATACTTTCAACAGGAACGATTCCGAAATGTTCTCTACCTGGAGTATACAATAAGAGCTCAGCATTTTTCAATAATGAATTTTTGAGCGACGTTCTGATACTTGGAAGAAACAACACATCTGTTGATGGAGGCATGATAATAAGCTTTCCCCTTACTGTAAAGTTTGTCAATTTCAACTCATCACATAGCTGAGTTAATTCTTTTAGGTATTCAACATTCTCAACGACTCGGGAATCATACCCACCAGCAATTACTAGCCTTGGTTTACCTGGAAGTATTCTCTTCAGTTTGGCAAAGGCCTTGATTGCAAGTTCAATTTCTTTACTTCTTTCAAATCTATTTATTGACAAAAAATATCTTGAATTTTTGAAAAAATTGCAAACTTCTTCATCTGACTCGGTTATTTCAATAGTGCTCAAACTTGCATTGACACAAGGGTAGATAACCCCAGGATCTACTTGAGTTAAGTTCTTAAACGTATCGTGGAAAATTTTCTTGGTGAAATTCGAATTCACCACAATCTGGTCAGCACAGCCAGTAGATGCTTCCTCTATAAAATCAAATGGGACACGGTATAGACTCTTGACCCATCCGTTCCTCTTGGTCAATAATTGGTCTGGGAAATGACAATAAAACAAAATCCGGCAAGTATCGCTACTGAATAAATTCAAAAGCGGAATACAAAACGACAATTGATCCACTATGAAATAATCAACCTTGTTGATTTCTCCCGAGAAAATCAATACAAGAGTCAAATAAAATTGTCTCATTATGGCAAATAAAATGTGGAAACGTTTCCGTATTTGTGTCGGTAAGAAATCCCCATACACTTTGACTTTCAATTGACCCGATGCCACCTCGTCGAAACAATGACTCAAGTCACAATGCGAGGTATAAATGGTTACTTCACTTCCCAACTCTTGTAGCCCTACAGCAGCATCAACCACAAGTCTCTCAGCACCTCCTATACCCAAATCTGGGTGAATAAAAGCTATACGCTTCAGCCTAATTTTCCCAGTCATCTTTCTCAAATAAACTCAACGCGCTAAAGGCTTTGTCCTCTTCCCTTGATCTGTTCCTACCCTGTTTGTTCAAAAGAATGTTTCTAAAGGTTATTGTTTTATTTTCCTTTCTTGTATTGCGCATCGCGCACGAGTTGCATAGAACGACAAAAAAGAGAAAGTTCAACATTACGCGTAAAAAAAGGACCTTGTATCTCCTTCTACAAACAAGCAAAGAATGGGGAAGCAATAAGGAGGGGGGGTGAGAGGCTCATGAGAATCAGTGCTGCTCCACTATCGAGCAGAGCGAGATAGTGTCAATAGTATCGAAACTCAGTGCTTCATTATCGAGCAGAGCGAGATAGTGTCAATAGTATCGACCCTCAGTGCTCCACTATCGAGCAGAGCGAGATAGTGTCAATAGTATCGAAACTCAGTGCTTCATTATCGAGCAGAGCGAGATAGTGTCAATAGTATCGACCCTCAGTGCTCCACTATCGAGCAGAGCCAGATAGTGTCAATAGTATCGAAACTCAGTGCTGCTCGATAGTATCACTAGTCAGTGCTGCTCAATAGTGTCACTCAGCCACTTTTTTTTCTTCTCTAGCGAGCTTATTCTTCAATTTCTCAGCTTTTCTATCCCATCTAGTATCCACAGGGTTGAAACCAGCTTCCTTTGAGCCCCAAACGGCCCAATCTGGAGTAGGCTTAATATAATCAATATCAACAAAATCTCGACCACTTTCTAACAATTCAAAGAATCGAGGATAGTCAATATGGGTGTGCCATTGATTGTTGATCTTGAATTTCTCATGAGCAACCAATATACAACAAGAATGCGCATGCTCGGCCGCAATATCGTATCCCAACCCACGTTTTCTTAATTCCGTATTCAAGTTCTCAACAAATTCTTTACACTCTTGATAAAAAGGAATATTCTGCATTGTAAGCGGGTTCCCATTACCATTCAGTGATCCACAAAACGTCGCACCTTTGATTTCTATTTGTGAAGGGTTGGCTCGTTCCACCATATCGGCATAACTTTCGATATCTGACATGTTGAACCCTTTGACCAAGGTTAACCTAAATACAGTACGTTGGTGTGATTGCACAGTTCTCAAAATGTCCAAACACGACATCAATCGTTCCCAAAAATCACTATTCAAAGGGCGATCAATTTTCCTCAAATCGGTTTTGGTAGGTGCATCAATACTCACGTATAATTGAGTCACTTTTGCTAGTTTGGCTAAATTATCGGGATGCTGTGCATTACACACCAAAAATGAGCTAATATGTTGCTTATGAAGCATGGTAACAAATTCGTTGATATGTGGGTAAAAAATAGGCTCGCCAACTAACGACAAAGCACAGTGTTTCACTTGGAAAGCTTCTTGAAAACGGTCCATTTGTATACCGGGCACGCCTCTCATTTGTTTGATTTTTTGGTAATGACCTTGCAATGCTCCCTCCATTACTTTTTCGGGCGGATCTACTTCCCATCTCCAATTCAGCTTGGCAACAGGGTTAGTTCCGTGTCTCCAGCAAAAGACACACTTGTTGGAACACGCCAAGGAGGGTGTTGTCTCCATACATAAATGACTTTTGATACCATAAAAGGCAAACTTATAACATGATCCTCTACCTCGTAATGCCGCCTTGGTCCATCTACAGATCTTGACACCAGAGTGGGACCCAACTATTGTATATCCTTGTTTCGTTAGCGATTTAAAAGTTGGCGAGTCTTTGGCCACCATTTGTTTAGCTTCCATTGCTGGAGCTGATCTCTGACCACTTTTACGCATAATACTACCCATATCTTCGACATCGACCAAAGTGTCTGCATCGTCGCTATTTACCTCATTATCACTATCACTATCATCGTCATTTTCAGCAGCAGCAGCAACACCATTCTCATCTATGTAAAATGGTTCACTTTCATCAACTAATAACTGTGCAAGGTTTTGGATCCATTCTTGAGCTTTTGGTTCTCCTTCATATTTTGTACAAACAGTGCCCATTGGGTATAGTCTTCTGCCACCTAGTTTCCCCAACCATTTATCTGCTAGCTTCGCCTGCTGACAAAATTTGTCGCCACCCCAACTTTCACTATCTCCTAGCCCAAGAACAGCAAATCCAAGCAATGAACAAAGTGGGTACTTATCAACTCGGAAATCTTGATATGTATCTATTAAATGTTCCAAGAAATAATCTATGGGCGAATCTGTATCATAAGAAGGTAGTATCAAAAGGTATATGTTTCTTGTACCAATATTGTCATTTGGTGTTTTTAAGAAATACTTTTCAAGATCATCGACATCATCATCGAGACTTAGTAATTTCGGCGTAAGCTTCAAGTCTAACAATAGCAATTTTTCATGCAATTTCTTGGCTATCCTTAGTGATGTTCCAGTCAAGGTTGTATAGAATATATAAATTTGAGCTTCTTTTAAATCAACTTGTTTTGGTTTGGTTAAAATCGACTTATTTGATGAAACGGGCTTATTTGCCTTGATGATTTTTGGCGATCTTTTGGCTCGCGTACGAACTTGTTTGGGAAACTGTGTAGGCGGGGGTGCCGTAAATGTAGACGATGTAAAGTCGACTTCATAGATTGGAGATTTCTTAGGAAAAACTTTGACTTTAGCTTGATCTTGTACTGCTACAACCTTGTTAAATGATGCTTTTTGCTCCAACTTGTACAAATACGACAAGACAAACGCACCTAACGTGATAGACCATCTTCCCCCATTTAGTAGATATATCACGCTACATGCTATCAAAAGGATATTCCCTGAACCCATCTCCTTATAGAAACTACTTTGTACCTTTAATGAGTATCCTTTGCCTAAACTTAATGAGATATGCAATGAAAAATTTAGGCAATTTTTTTTTTCAGTTAAAAAGGTCGTGTGAAATAAACAATCTAACCAAACTACTCAACCACTCATAAACAGTACATTAATAATCACCGTCTTCTGGATGGAAATGGAGGTATGTATCAGGCTATCATATGCGCATGATCTCACGGTAGGATACTGTTGCATTGAAGTTTTATTCAAATTATTGGAAGGTATGGGGAATGGAATATTCTTAAGCCAAAGCAAAAAAAAAAAAAAATTATTGTCAGCGGGTAAATTATATCACGTGATATGATAAGCTAACAAGTGTAAACGGCCCAAGCCTGTTTTCCTTGGGCTGGAACTATCAAGCAAAGCGAGATAGTGGAGCATTGACTGTGGAGCATTGACTGTGGAGCTAGTCAGTAGACTTTCGGGCAAAGCGAGATAGTGGAGCATTGACTGTGGAGCTAGTCAGTAGACTATCGGACAAAGCGAGATAGTCTATAGAGAGTGTAGATGAAGAGAGTTCTCCACTATCTCTCGGGTCTCTTGTTGTATCTATCATTTGTTATGAGATACTATTAGCATGGTAAAGTAAACCAATAAACCAATAAGTTGGTTGAAAGTGAAAAGCGATGCTTTACCTTGTCAATACATTGCTTCATAATCCCAGAAATGAAGTATGTTTATTGCCTTGTAATGGCAACAAAACCCGTTTGTCAGATAATTTCCTCTCAAGCTAGTAATCTAATGAAACAGTCCTCATCTGCAAGCAGAGCGAGATAGTGTCGCTCTGCTCGATAGTGTCGCTCGATAGTGGGCAGTTATCGAGTGTGGCTCCACTATCTCGCTCTGCTCGATAGTGTCGCTCGATAGTGTCGCTCGATAGTGTCGCTCGATAGTGGGCAGTTATCGAGTGTGGCTCCACTATCTCGCTCTGCTCGATAGTGTCGGTTGATAGTGGGTATTATCACCTCGGAACAACGCCAATTCTTTCATTTTTTGATCTCGTTTGACATTCCAGTACAGTGGAATTATTATACTCGGGCACAATTTCATTGCCACCTTCATTGCTATACAGATGACCCATTTGCTCCTGCAAAATATTAGAAGAGCTGAAATTGCCAGTGTTGCGAAATTGGTTTTGAAAAGTAACATTTGTTGTTGATTGACTTTGCAGATTATTCGTCGTATCCAAATGCTTACCAAATCCACGCTGCTGCTCTTGCTGCTCCTGTTGATGCTTTCTTTGCTCTACATACTCATCATAAGCAAGTATATCCTCTGGTGATAACTTAATTGTAGTTGCATCCCTCCTAAGCATGATATATCCCCTCTATTAACCTTCTCAATGAATGCTTTCGAATATAGTGATAACTTTAACAATCCAAATTCTCAAAGAGAAAGAGAAAAAATGAAAAGGCAAAAAAAAAAACAAATAAAAAAAAAAAAAAACACCGGAACTGTAAAAGCGCAAGTTTAGCTGAGGAAGGTTGATAAGCAAGGCTCTCAACTCGAGGAATTAGACCAAGGAGGGGCAATCGTCGATTTCGGAAAGATCGAAGTGGTATAGCACTTGCTTAAAGATACTCGCCGGTAAACACACTTGCTGGTAACACACTTGCTGGTAATACACTTGCTGGTAGCACGCACACAGGTGGTAGAAGGTCTAGTGGTAAGAGCTTGGTGGTTAAAAGATTGGTGATAAGAGCTTGGTGGACTCTTTGGTGGACTCTTTGGTGGCGCTCCTCGTGGAGAATTGTCAGAGCTCAATTGGGGTATTAATCCGGTCTGGTCTGGTCTGGTCTATGTTTATTTGTCAAGCGGAATCTTGCACGGAAAACAAAAATCTGGTTCTAATCTGTGCCAAACGAAAAAAAACCCATTATCCAACAAACAACGAAAATTTAGTCTATCAAGACAGAAAGAGTTTTGACTCAAGATCAGAGGGAATATGTCAACAGACTTAAGCTGTAAAATCATTACATTATCGCAAGTAAATTCATTAATCAAATCGCCAGGTTTACCCAAATCAGTAATCTGGAAGGAATTTGGTAATTACTTAGATAAAAAAGTCGATATCATTAGAAACATCGATAGTGACCCTAATCAAAAAGAGTGCTTTCTTGAAAGCTTAAATCCTAACCAGTCGCGTTTATCACAGCCTGTGAGCTATAAGATCTGCAAGTCTTGTCAGCGACCAATCGGAATATCGAGTTTACGGCTGCATTATCGACGTTGTGTAGAAATGAAGCACAAGAGACAACAAGAGCAAGCTGAAATTGCTTTGCAAAACAACGGCAACAATAACAATAATACTAACAGCAGTAGTACTGGGTCGGTAGTCAATAAGAGGAAAAGAGGAAGAGGCGGAGCTTTGGGTGCAGACTTGGATGCTTCATCGTCAGTTGATAGTTCGAGAAATAACACACCGGTGCCTAATGGTAGTACATCGGAGATTGAAAACTCTGCTACTGCTGCCGCTGCCGCTGCTGCAAATGGCGGTGCTGCGAAACCCAAGAAAAAGTATAAAAAATCTCAAGCGCAAAAGGAGAAAGAAGCAGCTAATGCAGTGGCGGCGGCAGCGGCAGCCGCTGCAGCATCGGGTGGTTTGGAAAGAACAATCAAGAAGAACAAGAAAAACTCAAATCAAAACGCTCAAGTCTTATCCATTGCACCAACATCTCAACAACAGCAACAACAACAACAGCAGCAGCAGCAACAACAACAACTACAACAGCAGCAGCAGCAACAACAACAACAACAACAACAGCAGCAGCAACTACAACAACAGCAACTACAACTACAACAGCAGCAACAGCAACAACAACACCTTTTACAACAAAAGGCAAAACAATTAGCGAAACCAAAGGGACCAGTGGACGTTGAAAAACAGTGCGGTGTAGCATTACCCCTGGGAGGACTTTGTGCGCGTTCACTTACATGCAAGACACATTCAATGGGAGCCAAACGTGCAGTTTTGGGTCGGTCTGCACCATACGATGTCTTATTGCAGCAGTACCAAAAAAGGAATCAAGCGAAAATTGCACAAAACAATGCTCTCTTGGCACAGAGAAGGGAGAATGCAGCATTTAACGATGATGGTATGGATACGAGTATGAGTAATGCCAATAAAATATTAGATCCAGATGAAGAAACTCATTTGGTGTTGGAAGGATTATCAAAAAACAATCCTATTCCCTTAGAGCGTAAGATCATAGTGCCTGTGAGGTATCGGCATCGGTTTTTACAAGCTAGAGAATTTTACGCGAATGCATTGATTATATCTGCTCAACACTCACAGCAGCAACAACAGCAACAGCAACAGCAACAGCAGCAACAGCAACAACAACAACAACAACAGGGGCAACAGAATGCGGGAGAGCAAACATTGGCTAATCAAGCAATATCGGGTTCAATTGGTGGGTTACAAGGAAGATGTGCGTTGATTAATGTGGATGCGCCATTGAATCCTCAACTGGATTCTCAAACACAACTGTTTAGTGCTATTCCTGGAGAAATGTATCAAGTTCGAGCACCTTCTAAAGCTATTTTGATGACCGCTCAACACAACAATTTGCAACAACAGACTTTCCAGCAACAGTTTATGAAGTATCAACAACAACAGCATCAACAGCAACAACAGCAGCATGCACAGCAATTACACCAACAGCAGCAGATGTTGATGAGACAGAGACAACTTCAGGCTCAGCAACAGCAACAACAGCAGTAAGAAAGAAAGCGATGAGGCGTGAGGAGGGGGTGTGGGAGCGAGCGAGCGAGCGAGCGGATTTATATTTGTATTTTTTTTTTAAGGTTATTGGTTTAGAGAAGGTATTGACGATTGTTTGTTAAACATTACTTAAACTCCTTCTTAGTATGTGTACTAAATGAAAACAAACACACTCATCTATATTATTTTCTTCTCCTCTAATGTTCACCTTTATGTTTCGATTTTTGGCCAATGACATTTATTCTTCAAAATCCAAGGATGTCGAAATACTTCATTCAACAGCAATCTCTCACTTGGTCTTTTTCTCAACAATTTAATAATCAAATCCCTTGCATCAGGATCAATCCATTTTGGAAACTTCAAATCAACTCGAACTATACGTCTATAAGTTGCCAGTGCGTCGATTTCTTCAAATGGCGGCTTTCCAACAAGGAACTCATAAATGAGTACTCCCATTGCCCATATATCTACCGCTTTGTCATGGGGCTGTTTCTCAATCATCTCTGGCGGTAGGTAGTCTATTGTTCCGCAGAATGTGTTTCTCCTGTTTGCAAAAGTGGCGGAAGGAGGTGGGGTTGCAACCAATGAAGAAGGAGATGCTGTGATAGTGGTGGCGGCAGAAGCAGAAGCAGAAGCAGAAGCAGAAGCAGCAGAAGCAGAAGCAGAAGCAGAAGCAGCTGGATTAAGGTTGGGAATATGGGTATGAGTATACGCACTCCATCCAAAATCACTTAATTTCACAACCGAGTTATTTTTTGAAACCATGATATTTTCCGGTTTCAAATCTCGATGAATGATTCCTCGTTGGTGGATGTATGATAATGCATGGGTGATTTGATAAATATAACAACTGGCTAGTTGATTAGTGAATCTTTTTCGAGATTTAAGTAAATTGTATAGTTCTCCACCTATGCTATATTCCAAGACCAAATATACATTTATTGAATCATGGAACCAAGTGTACAAGCGAGTTATATTTTCATGATTTAATTGCAGTTGAATCTCTACTTCACGACGGAAATTGCGTTCTATTCCGTGTTTCATTATTAGTTTCTTGTTCATAATTTTAAGAGCAACGAGGTGGTCACTTGGGAGGTGTTTTGCTAGGTAGACTTGGCCGATTTTCCCCTTACCTAATGTGCGACCTATTTCAAAATCTTCAAATGATGGAATAGGTGGCTGTAGCTGGATAGTGGAGATTGTATTGGTAGTAGCAGTGGCAGTGACAGTAGCAGTGGTAGATGCTTTGTGAGACTGCTGTGTTTGCAGTTGTTTCTGGGGATTGTTCAATTGTCTTGCAGGAGTATTGATCTTGCTAGCTGTTTTGAGATGTAGTATTGGTTGATTGTGGTCACTACTTCTAGGAGATTCGACAAATGGCGAAGAAGATAAAGATGAGGATACTTTCAGCAACACGCGTGATTGTTGGTAATGCAGGGTCCTGGTAAAAGAATGAGGCGATAACGATGAAGAGTGTTTGGGTATAGATCGAGGGGTCGCTGCAGTTGCTTGATGAGTAGCAGCCGAAACATCCTTAACCCTTGATTTTCTCCTTGTTGAACTATTGCTATAGTTTTCCTTGTTTTTCTGATAATAGTGGGAGCCACTTTGCAGTTTTTCCTTCACTGGTTTATGCACTTTGAACTCATTTGTAGATGAAGTATTGAAACTGTTATTAATATTAGTTGACGAGTTAGAAACTCTTGCTAAGGGCTTTCTTTCTTTTTTTTCCTGCGATAATCGCATATATGGTAGACTAGACATTCTCCATTTACCTCCGGCAACAAAAGGGGGTCAATTGAAGGGGAATATTCAGTTCTATTGCATGTAAAAGTGGTTTGATAATGATGGATGATGGTGAAAAGAATGCCAAATCTGAATCTCGCTTTTGTTTGTTTTTCAAATTGGTTTACTGTGCACGACCTTTTCGCAGCCGTTTAAAAGGGAACCGTGCAACTGGAGTTGGTAAGGAGGGCTGTACCGAGGGGGGGAAAGAGTAGTAGTAAGGAGATGGGTGGAGGTGTAGTGGAGATATGGCTGAAGGTGTAGTGGAGATATGGCTGAAGGTGTAGTGGAGATATGGCTGAAGGTGTAGTGGAGATATGGCTGAAGGTGTAGTGGAGATATGGCTGAAGGTGTAGTGGAGATATGGCTGAAGGTGTAGTGGAGATATGGGTAGAGGAATGGTGAGATATGTGTAGAGGAATGGTGAGGATGGGTTGACCTTGATTTTCGGTTGCACGTAGGTGGCAGCTAATGTGTTCCACTATCTCGCTCTGCTCGATAGTGTCGATAGTATCGCCATTTCAAAGTTTTGCAAAAATTTGCTCGAAATTGTACTAAACCAAACATGCAACATAACCATGCAGTGCAACAGAAAGAATCAAACTTGTGTGTTGCATTTTTCACAATATACTCAAATGGCTAAGCCCAAGTTTTTAATCCTCAATATGAAATCATCATCATTTCCGAGTTAATTTACATTAAGCTTAAAAGGTGAAGGAGCTTAAATATACGGGAAAGTTTTATTTTAAAGAGACTAATTGGTTGTAGAGAAAAGAAGGTAAAGAAAAACGACACTATCGAGCAAAGCGAGATAGTGGAGCATTGACTAGAAATACTCAAAAGTTGAATCTTATGATAAGATTGCTTAATGAATATGATAAGATTGCTTAATGAATATGACAAGATTTGCTTGATGAATTTAAGAAATTACGTGGAAATTATTAAAGTCTGAGAAGAACTCTAGGAACTAGAGTTGAAAGAATCTGCAATCTTGATACTACTGTGGTTGTGTGGTTGTGCTGTATTCTTTCGCTACAATTTATTATTATAACAGCTTTTTCTTTTTTTCTGGATGTAAGGAATGACAATAAGACTGAGACAAGAGGGGAAAGACGGTAGTAGGCATTGCAAAATTCAATAGTCTTACAAGATCTCTAGTCTATGCTTATAATATAATGTCCACGAACACACATAAAGGCATATAAAACCAAAAAGGCATGTTCAAATAACCATAAAGACATGTTCAAATAACCATAAAGGCATGTTCTGATTGGGTCGTTTTCTTTTTTTGGCAATGCGTGACACGTTGCATTAGTCTTTTCCCTGTCAACTCCCCGCTCATTTCGGTCATCTCCTTGTCAGCAAAAGTAAATTTCACTAAAAGGCAGTCAATCAAAGGCAGTCAGTCTTATCAAAAGTCAGGTATGTTTCAAGTGCAAAGGTATCAAAATACAAAGTGTTACTACTATCGACCAGAGCGAGATAGTGGCTTATCAAAAGTTAGGCTTATCAAAAGTCAGGCTTATCAAAAGTCAGGCTTATCAAAAGTCAGTCTTTTCAAAAGTCAGGCTTATCAAAAATCAGTTACTTTTGTTAAATGTCAGTTACTATTGTTAAATGTCTGTCTGTCGATCGGCTTTTCTTACCAGTTTACGAACATAGCGTCCTTTCTCTCTAGTCAGCAAATTTTGTGGTGCCAATTTTTGTGTTGGTTACTTGTTTAGTAAAAGGGCTGCGCGCGTGTGATTCCTTTGTGTCACATGGTACAGCCGCGTGATAAAACAGGTAGCGTGACAAAAACAAAAAACCAGCCACAAACCACAGCCGTATGGGATCGTCTAAAGTCTTTGAAAACTTCAAGGTAAGAGTTGCTATAAACCCGTAGAAAAGAAATTTTTATTTACATACTCCCTTCAAATACCACCTCTACTTATCAGTTTATGTTATCATGTGTTTATACCGCATGACTAAATCGCCATATTTTGACAAGTCAACAATGAAAAAAAAAAAAAAAAAAAAAAAAAAAAAAAACAACAACATTAGAATGGCGTTAACACGTATTATTATTGCCATAATAACAATATTATATTCCCATAATAACAATATTATATTCCCATAATAACAATATTATATTCCCTTTGAGTAACAACTATAAAGAAACAAAGATAATTATGGGTCAACTACTACACAGTTGACTATTGTAATAATTAGAAAAGTAATACTAAATATTATTGTGGTGTCGTCTTTTAGTAGCGAGATTTTAGGAAAAGTTTAGTGTTTATTACACGATGAATTGAAAACAAGGAAAATTTTTAACCTGGAATGGTTACAAGGTGCGAAATAAAGTTTTTATAACTTTATCGGGCTGTAGTGATAAAGAAAAGTCTAAAACCTAAAGCCATAGGGCCAAACCCACTCAAGTCTCACACTCTTTCTCACTCATTCAAGTCTCACTCACTCTCTTTGTAGATTTGTCGCAATAAATAAGTGACACAGAGTCAAACTCATACACGAGCTTGCTTTGAAGCTATGCTAAAAATAATCACACAAAAACCCCCCCCCCCCCCCCCCCCCCCTCACAAAAAAAAAAAAAAAAAAAAAAAAAAAAAAAAAGTCATTAATGCAAGAAGGCACCAATAGTCCTTTTTTAGTTTGTTACATTTTGAGCATCACACTTTAAAGCCAAGTTCTCGACTTTGTATATTGATTGGCGAGTAAAATGAAAATCGTTATATATAAAGGAGCAGTTTCCTCAAAAAAAATGAAAACTCTCAATTTACAAAATATTTCTAATACTTGTTTTTGTTTCCTATCTTTTAACTTAACTCTTGCACACGGGTTTCCTTGAAAAAAAAAGTTAGTTTGTATCAGGTGTTGATAATCCAGCTAGATTAGATTAGAATAGAATAGACCAGAATCCGTAATTCAACATATTCCATTAATACCCCATAACCACAAGCTTTAACACAACAATTTCTATTCCACTATGACAATTAAAGAAAGAGTTAAGAGAGTATCAAAGATTTTTTCAAACGATTCTAAGGAGTCTCTAGATAAACAAATTGCAGCTGCTGGTGCTAAACCTCCAGCTGAAACTGAAGAGGCTGCAACAACAGAGGCTACAACAGCAGATGATACTGCTGCTGCTGATGCATCGGCAGGTGAAACCGCACCAGCAGATGTTGTGGAAGAAGGAGAACCAGTTGCACTTGATGTTGATGGTATCGATACACCAGCGGTAAAAGCAGACGCAGACGCAGACACAGCCGTAGAGGCAGCAGAAGCAGATGCAGAACCTAATGCTGATGCTGATGCTACCAATGCTCCTGAAGTTGCAGAAGAGGCTGAAGGTGAAACAGCACCTGTTGAAAAAGCCAATAAGAAGCACGACTTTTTTAAGAAGTTATTTTCCAAGTTCAAGAAACCCGTAGTTGCGAAAGCTTAGGAGTTTTTGACTACTTTTGAAATATTAACTTGCATATATATGTATATGTAATTTTCAAGGAGTTTTGGACTTTTGATGCTAGAGCGGGTAGCAGCACGAGGAGGTGGCAACTGGGCATGTACTTTATAATTTCTATAAGTTTTATATACCATATATTAATTCATAATTTTTACAATTTGTTATTAGGAACTGAAACAATCAAGGTTAATCAATGGGGCTTGTTGTGGAAGAGAAATCTTGATTGTCACTTGTAGAAGAGGAATCTTGATCATCACTTGATGCAGTTGGAACTTGATTGAGGTTTCAGAACCTGATGGAAAGTTCTAAACTTTGTAGTGTTTATAAATCTCCAAGTTTAGTAATGTTTTCAAGTCTAGACTTTTCCGTTATTTGCTTCCATCTGATATTATTCAGACTTTGCTGGTTACTTGTAGCTTTGTGTAGATTGCATTTTGCATTTTCATCTTTATGTGGTATATGTAATAGGGCAATCTTTGGAAGGCAATCCTTCTAGTGGGCACCAATCTTGAATTCACCCTCATAGCAAATACCAACTCTTAGACTCACCCTCATAGCAAATACCAACTCTTAGACTCACCCTCATAGCAAATATCAACTTTCAAGTTTACCCTCCTAGCAAGTACCAACTTTCAAGTTTACCCTCCTAGCAAGTACCAACTCTCAACTCCACGCTCCTAACAAGCGTGAACTTGGGAGTTGGACCTAGCCGCTGCCTAAATCATGCTCCTACGTTATACCTCTACAGTCCTATACAATTTCCCTTTTACTACATTCCTTCAAATACCTTTAACGAGTTTTTGCAATGTTTCAACACTATTTACACCAAGATATTACAGAATACACTTTACACCTACACAGTAAAGGACTAGCGCCCTTTACTGTGCATCCTACCTATACGCCCCTCTACTTACAGCTCAACACCATATCCAATGGCCTCTTTAGCTCTTCAACCCTTCAACCCTTCAGCTCTTCAGCTCTTCAACAACAAAGGCCAAAAAATCAAAAGAGAAAAAAAACTTTTTTTAGAAACAACAAGCATTGTGTATTAGTGTTTGAGAGGGTTGTAGGTGTCAAGAAGTCAGTGTGTCGTGTGTTATATGTATGGGTGTGACAGTAGGCACAAATCAAAAAGATAACAGCAACACCATAATACAAGGAGACAACACAAACAGCAGCAGCAGCAGCAGTAGCACATTAATACAATAGCAAGCCACACAAGAATACACGATAGTGGCAATACCATCTAGTACACAAACAAAACTGTACTAATCGTCTTTAAGTGACATTAGCTGGCTTTAACAAGGGATTTTGGCTGTCTAACAAAGGGAGGGGGGTTTCCAGCTGCTACGATGGACTTGAGGGTCGGTAAAAAATACCGTATTGGCCGTAAGATTGGCTCGGGATCATTTGGTGACATTTATTTGGGCACAAATATCATTTCAGGAGAAGAGGTTGCCATCAAGTTGGAAAACACCAAAGCTAAGCATCCACAATTGGAATATGAAGCAAAGGTCTACAAGGCTCTAAGTGGAGGCGTCGGCATCCCATTTGTAAGATGGTATGGCACAGAATGCGACTATAATGCAATGGTTATTGACTTGTTGGGCCCCAGTTTAGAGGATTTGTTCAATTATTGTAATAGGAAATTCACCTACAAAACCGTTTTGCTATTGGCCGACCAATTAATATGCCGCATTGAGTATATCCATGCTAGGTGTTTTATCCATCGTGATATCAAGCCAGATAACTTCCTTATGGGAATAGGCAGAAGAGGTTCTCAAGTAAATGTCATTGATTTCGGATTAGCTAAAAAATATCGTGATCCAAGAACTCATTTGCATATCCCATATAGAGAAAACAAAAACTTGACAGGAACCGCTAGATACGCAAGTGTAAACACTCATTTGGGTATCGAACAAAGCAGAAGAGATGATTTGGAAAGCTTGGGCTATGTCTTGATTTACTTTTGTCGTGGATCTTTGCCATGGCAAGGCTTGAAAGCTGCTACAAAAAGACAAAAATATGATCGTATCATGGAGAAAAAGATGACAACACCCAACAATATCTTGTGCAAAGGTTTGCCATCGGAATTCTTAGATTATATGGATTACATCAAGACCTTGAGATTTGACGACAAGCCAGATTACGCTTATTTGAGGAAATTGTTTAGGGATTTGTTCAAAAAGGAAAACTACCGTTATGATTATGTATTTGACTGGACCTTGTACAAGTTTCAATTGGAGAAGCAAAGAGCTCAGGGGAAAGCAGCCGATGGGGAGCAAAATCAAACTCAACAACAACAAACTCAACAACAACAACAACAACAACAACTAACTCAACAACTAGCTCAACAACAACAACAACAACAACAGACTCAACAACATCAAATTCAAAACCAAGACGAACAACAACAATCAAAGACTTTGCAACAATTGGCTGATCAGCGTTACCAAAATAATAAGGCTGTCTATACTCCAAATCAAAACTATGCAAGCAATTACCAAGAGAAACAAAAGATCCCTCAACAGCAGCAACAACAGCAAAACCAAGGAAATCCAGCATGGCTTTAAACTCATTATTGCTCCTGTTATTACTATCCATTTCTAATTTTTTTTTAGAAAGGAAAAAAGAGGGGGGGGGGTGTTATCAGGGATTATACCAAGTGCACCCGCTGCTAAAGTAACCATGAGAAAAGGGAATGTCTTTCACCATCTAAAGTCCAGGTGATGAGACATGGTTTTGTGTTTTTTTACCCCTCACCAAAGTAGAGGGACAAAGGAGAAAGAAGATAAATTTGATTTTGCCTATATAAACTAGATATCAACATACTTTCCAGCTGGCGTTTTCAATGTTGTGTTTCTTTTCTTTCCTATTCTTATTTTTTTTTTCAATATTGGTTTTTGGTTGACCTATTAACAAGATGAAAGATGTAGGTATGAATTTTTTTATTCTTTATACTTATCATGATTTCATACCATTACTATAATTTAACCAGTTAATGTGCCGTATATACCAATACTAAATAATTTACACCATATATATATATATATGTATATTAAGGTTACTCCACAGGTGATAGTGTCTTTCTCTTCCACCTATGTCTATTGTGCTTTTCACATACCACTGTTTTGTTTGGATTTATACAAAATCCGGTTAATTCACATCAGCCACCTCTTGTTTTGGTTTCATCTTCAATATAATTAACTAAGAAATCAAATATACTAGTTGATTGAGAACTATTTGCCTCATCCTCAGGCACCCTAAAAGTATCAATGTATCCAAAGAATCCGTAAAAGGTATTATCCTTAACTTCACTCATATATATCTTATCATATATATTTTTCATCTTGAAATCCAACATTTCCTTTTCGTATTTGGAGAAATCTATAGGTTCATAAGAATGATCCTTAAGTTTTACATTATATGCGTCAAAAACGGGGTTTTCCAAGAGTAAACCAAGCGCAGGGGCTTTTGGAATATTGATCCTAGTTGGTTTGAAGCAATTGGAAATGATTTGGCCCGGCGGTAAGTCGCATCGGACAATGAGTGACGCCATACTTATCATTTTTCTAATCTGATGAAGCATGAACGATTGGCCATGGAGTTTGATCGATATCCATTCAGTTCCATCAATAACAAATGGTGAGGAGATTTTGGTGGATATAATAAATCGATTACTTGATGTATCCTTGTATGGCTTGCCTATTGTAAAGTTGTGGAAATTATGGGTTCCTTCGTATTGTTGCATTGTTTTCGTGAAATGATCAAGTCTTTTGGACGATATTCGATATGATCTACGTGCTTGATTTTCAATCTGTTTGATTTTTTTAATCGTTTCGGAAACAATGGTCGATTCGGATGTTGGCGGGTCACCTTCTTCTTGAATGCTTGCAAGAGAATCTAATTGCTCTTGAGTGATGCCGCTATAGATGATTTTCTGCACAACTTCCTTCCACCATTTTGTGCCTTCACCATCATCATCCATAAACAACTCTGGATGTTTCAGTTTATTCTCTTCAATCAACTGAAACAATCTCGTCTTGGGTTTAGGACTCAATAATGAATATGTAGGCAACAAATACTCATACACTCGTGAGGAACACATTTTCCTACAATCAAACCCTTTAGTGGTTCTTTGTATACCCCATATTCTAATCTGTTGTGGTAAGTATTGATTGATCTTGTGTCTAATCTCAGGATCTTCAATAATTAGCTTGAGACTAACAACATTACCAGCAGCATGAACTCCTTTGTCCGTTCGTGCGCTTCTTTGAAATCCGGATTTCTTCAAATCAACTGAGTTTTCAAACGAAATGGCTCCAGCTTTGTACATTGCCTCATAAAGGTCCCGCTCAATCGTTTTGACATTGGGGTCACTTTGAATTTGTAGCCCATTATAGCCAGTGCCACAATAACCTATCATCACGGCGCATTTTCTCTTGGGTTTACGTTCCGATTTAGGTATGGGAACTCCATTCTCATCTAACATTGCAACAAATTCACTAAAATAAAAAAGGAAACAGGTTAGTTACAAAAGGCCTAAGAAAAGAAAAAAAAAAGGGGGGGGGGGGGGGGAAGAAGTAGTAATTGGAAGACTTACCTACGATTTCTCATATTTCTGTCTCTCTTGTCTCTCTTTTGCGGCTTGCTTTCTAATGGAGGTGCCTGCCTTGATAGTATCATCAGTGGTTCCGTTTTCAGTGTTTTCAAGTTGAAGAGGAAGGGAAACTTCTTCACTACCCACTTGAACATCCTCAGTTACTTCTGCCACTGGTTCTGCTAGTTTGGTTGACTCCTTGGTCTTTGCTAGCTCTGTTAACTCAGTGTCAGTCATCGGGAAGAGGAGAATGGGGGAGGGTTTTTACTTAAACAATTTGCTCTGGTAAGAGTTTTTTGAAATTTTTCAAGCTCATCGCGATTTTTTTTTTTTTTTTTTTTTATTTTCATTTTGCGATGCCCTGGCGGAAGAGATCACCTTTGACGGAGGTGCAAAAAAAGGTGGTTCAAACTTGATGTATTTTGACTAGCTACTCCAGTAGCATAGCTAGTCAATTGAATCGAAATGGGCAAAACCGTATCCTCTTTTCAGGTCCAGCTAGTACCAAATAATTTCTAAGCGCCGATGAGAAGCTCATCTCATCTCATCGCATCGCATGAAAGGAAAAAAGAAAAAATCCATGAAAAATTCCCCCATGAAAGTATCATTGTCATCATCAGAACTGTACCACTAGGACCACTAGGACCCCCCTCTCTTTTTCCTTTTTCTTTTTTGCAGATGAGACCGCTTACAGAAGAAGAAACAAAAGTAGTATTTGAAAAACTAGCCAACTATATAGGACGAAATATCTCGTTCCTCATAGATAACGCCGAGAACCCCCATGTATTTCGATTACAAAAAGATCGAGTTTATTACGTTTCTGAGACGGTCGCTAAATACGCTACAAGTATAGCGCGCCAACAATTAATGTCCTTGGGTGTGTGTTTTGGGAAGTTTACAAAGACTGGAAAATTCAAGTTGCACATCACTTCCTTGGGGTACTTATCGCAGTTTGCCAAATACAAAATATGGATTAAGCAGAATGGAGAAATGCCGTTTCTTTATGGTAACCATGTATTGAAAGCTCATGTGGGTAGGATGAGTGACGATATACCGGAACATGCCGGTGTGATTATATATAGTATGAACGATGTGCCCTTGGGATTTGGCGCTAGTGCCAAGTCTACTAATGAAGCAAGGAATTTGGCACCTACAGGGATAGTTGCTTTCAGACAAGCAGATATTGGTGAGTATTTGAGAGAGGAGGATACTTTGTTCACATAATAAAGCAAGCGACACTAGTGAGCGAAGCGAACTAGTGGAGCAGTATGTAGAGAGTACAAAGGACAAAATATTACAAAGAGCTAAAGATGAGATAAGGATAAAAGGTTACAGGGAGCTAAAGATGAGATAAGGACAAAATATTACAAAGAGCTAAAGATGAGATAAGGACAAAAGGTTAGAGGAAAAGGATAGAAGGTTTGGGGAAAAGGAAAAACAAGTGTATGGGCCCCTTGTTTGTATTCTATTTACAATTAATAACTCAACAAGCTTTGCTTCACTAAACCATAGGGATTACCTTGGGATATCACATAGCTAGATTGGACAATTTTTTCAAACTGTTTTTCCTCATCAAATTCTGCTTGTGGCTTCTCAGTATCTCCATACTCTTGTTTGTGAAAATCTTGTCTAACAATCAATACATTTTGATCTCTCCAAAATTTCAATAACGCCTTTGTCTCCAACTTTGTCATATCCTCTACTTTAAAAGGCTTGATACCACCATTTTGTAACAACCGCTGGGCAATCTTTATGTCAAACATTGGTAATTTCATATATGGGTCATACTCTTCTTCTGGATAGACTGCGATATGGGTTGTCATTCTCTTGGGCGCGAAATTAAACGACTTTGCTAATAAAACACCACCTTTTTCAAAACTTAACTCACCGCTGGCAAATTTGAAAATAGTATCTGCTAGTTCGAATTCATTGATATGTATGGGAGTATGATCGGGGTGGAAGTACTGTGTTTTGGAATAATCTGCCATGGCGTTGAAATCATCAACAGATAGTATCACAGGGAATTTGGCAGAGTTATCTATTAGTTGTTGGATGAAGAATTGAAATGACATCGTTGGCATACCAGTATTGATTTCGCGATTTTGCGAAACATAGTCGAAAATGGTATTCTTGTTTGCTTTCAACTCTATTTCACGCTTGTCCCTTACAAACTGGACATCTTTTGTCAATTTTATCTTTTTGAAGACATCTTCATTTGCAGCGAGTAGCTTGGTGAGCCATCTCTTGGTGGCCATTGGCTGTTGGTACAAGCCCAATTTACTATTTTTGAAATAATCAGATGTACCATTCCCGATCAAGTCGGCCGAATGCATGTGTAGTATAACTACATTGTTTTCAAATTTGTTCAATGCTAACGCTATGGCTTGATTTACCAAGGTTGACTTACCACATCCTTTCTTGCCGTCGAGATATATACGGTTCGTCTTTGACCCCTTTTCTAGTTGCTCAACAAACAGCTTCTTGATTCTTTCTGTGTTTGAAGTAACTAGTGATATTGGATTCTTGAATAGTTCGTGATGTTGATACGGTTTAAACGCCAATAGCGCGCGTAACTTTGCTTCGATTTTGGCGGGGTACTTTGTGACAACTTCTGCTTTCAACAGGGAAATGTTCAACTCATCAACATTCAACACCAGCGCCAATTTTTCAAATTTCAATTCTCGAACAGCATCTCTAAAGCCGAGATGGGTCAACGAAGTTGTCTTCTTGACCTTATCTTTGACATCAGCTTTCCTTCTCATAGCCTGCTTTGTCTTACCTTCTTTCTGACGCGGAGTAGCCAATACAATGGCCGATGTTGTAAACAATTGTCCAGAATATACCATACCCCGAGGCACTCCTGCTACCTTACCTACCTTGGCCATTTTGGCCATTTTGGCCAAATTTGCACAGCAACTCAACATTACCTGATACTTATCTTTAACTTCGCCTCCTAAAATAGTTACTCTCTCACCAAAAAAGACCCTCTACTCACCCCGTTTCTTTCCTGAAGATCGGTTGGTTGGTTCCCCCCCCCCCCATTGAAAAATTTTGATCGTTGGTTGATGAAAAATTGATATTGGTAAAGTGCGCACTACCTGAAAAATTATACCAAAAATTTTTCACTCAAAGTTTTCCACGATGAGGTTGAAGAGTTCTTCTTTTCATGTTTAATGGAGGGTTAGTAAGGGATAGGTTAGTAGCGAGGGTATGTTTTACTTGTTTTCGGTATAAGCAGGTTCAATGCGCTGTGAGTCTTTCCTCAAAGAGCCGAGCTCGAGGGAATTCTCTTGTAGAAAATAAAAACTCCCAGTCCAAGTCCAAGTCCAAGTCCAAGTCCAAGTCCTTTGGGATGGATTCTGATGGTGGTAAGGTTTTTGAGTCAGGCAAGTTTTCTCAGCTATATAATAAGAAGCCGGTGAATTTGGATAGTGCTCTTGAGAAAATCACTGATTTTGGCCAATTAAAGATTTTCCCGCTGGTGAGAGAAGCTATGGTTATGGACATCAAATCGCAGTATAATTTGAAAAATACACAGTATAAATCTATTGACGAAGTTTCAATAAGGCCGACACCGGTTCAGATTGCAGCGATACGCAAGACCAATAAAAGTAGGAAACTCAAGTCCGACGCTAAGCTAGCTGAAATGAGCCAAGGTGAACGAATTCAGTATGAATTGCAAAATGAGAATGAAATGAACAAAATCAAGATATTTACAATTGCTGCAGAAACAGGTTCGGGGAAGACGTGGGCTTATTTGGCTTCGGTTCTTTCAAAATTGAAGGAAGATGACTTTAACTGGTTTTGTCAGAGTCAAGACAAGTTGCAACGTTTCAAAAGTTCCCAACAAGTCAGGTCAGTTATACTTGTACCGACTCACGAATTAGTTGAGCAAGTTTACGAAAATTTGCAAAGAGCTAACAGTTTCAAATTGGCTAATGATGTTGGAGTGCCCAAACAGTATCATGAGTTTTTGCAATTACCCGAAAACCAAACTTTGGGACTATCCATAATGAAATTATCTCATGGCGATGCACCAATCAAATTGTTCAAAAAACTTCGTCACGAAGGGAAAATAGACGTATTGGTCACCACACCTGGCAAAATCACGGGGTTCTCCAAATTGGATGTAGTGGATCGCCCGTTTAAGGTTTTCAAAAGTGTAAGATACTGTGTTCTTGATGAAGCAGATACTTTGTTTGATAAGTCTTTTCTTAACGATACCACTAGTGTAGTTAAGAATTTCCCGAATTTGCTCGATTTGATTTTGGTTTCTGCAACTATTCCCAAGGAGTTTGAAAAGACATTGTCAAGGTTGTTTCCTGATGACAATTCCTTGATACGAGTTGCAACACCGCTGTTGCACAAGATCCCCAAAAGTATCAAAATTATGACGCTCGATGCTGATTTGTCTCCATACAATGGGTCAAAAACGAGATGCTTGGCCCAGGCAATATATGCAATTTCCAAAGATGGCACCGAACCAGACCATGTGAAGAGGATAATAGTATTTGTTAATGAAAAATCGGAAGTTGAAGGACTCGTTGAATTGATGAAGAAAAAGTACAACATTAGAGAACAGGATATTTGTGGCATCTCAGGTCAAGTACACGTGGGCGATAGAAAAGAGTTTCTTGAACCCTTTGTACGTCCAGCTCAATTACTTAAAGATGATCTCGATCAAAGCAAAGTCAAGATTCTTGTAACAACAGATTTGCTATCCCGTGGATTGAACTTTGTTGGGATCAAAAACGTTATTTTATTGGGATTACCAAAAAGTTCAGTTGAACTTGTTCATAGATTAGGAAGAACAGGTAGAATGAACCAGCTGGGACGTGCTTTTATTATTGTTGATAAAAAATCAAAAAAGTCCTGGGTAAAAGGACTAGGATCGGCCATTCTTCGAGGGATCAAAATTGGATAAAAAAAAAACCAAAAAGAAAGAATCTTTAGCTAAGAGGTATGTTCTTTTATTTTTTTTGAAACACATTCTAGATAATGATGATATAAAAAGATACATATTTATTTAGACGTTAGACTTCCTAATTTTATTGAGGAAAATGTCTAGAATAGCTGATTGATAGAATGGATGGAATACTTTTATTCCCTTTCTTTTTTTTTTGTTTATTATTCAACATAGTTGCTAACAATCTTGAAATAGGCATTAATGGGTATCGAGCATAATCACATCAACATGTTATTGATATACGAGTAACGACAATAATTACATCACATAGTATAGACACTTATAGGTATGTTATCCAGGAGTGAGAGGAGGAAGGGGGAAGTGGGCAATTATCATGATGAAATAACAAACAGACCAAACTTTTATGAACGCTTGACATCCTACATTGAATCGTGGGGAAAAGTCTACTTTAACATCTGATATTTGAAAATTGCCTTATTAACCCTTCAATGAGTTTATTTTTTTTATTCTTTTTTTGCATCGAGGTTATATTAACATCCATCTACTAGAATTTTTGTACATATTTTGAAAAAGAAGTAAGGAATTTTTACCATTGATATATATTCACTTTTGTAGACTTAAGTTCCTAGGATTAAACTTTGTCTACTTACCCCTTTTGCAGATGGTATACTAGACTATACGCCCTAGGAAAATTGAATGCCTTTGTCAAACTTATTTAGCCGTGTAACGGTTTTTTGTTGCATGGAGGATTTATCCATTCCTCTTCATGTACTAGAAATTAGTCTGACACATTTTCAACTTTCTCTACAATAAAATGCTTTATATTAAATAAAAGTATGTATATAATTTAGCCTATGTTATGTATATAATCCAGCCTATGATATGTATATAATTTAGCCTATATTAAGAATCTAATATTAGTCTTTCACGCATGGCATGAGTCTTTAATTGATGGGTGGAGTTGAGGATCAATCATAACTTGTGTTTATTACTTTCTTCATCGACACACAATTTAATCAATGTAAAAGCGATAGATTCAGGAATAGGTATCATGATACCCTCTGGATTAAAATCGTCATTTGAATCAACTTCATCAGAATAAACCAATTTTCTCACAAATTCGGTATCGAACCATCTCGCATCTAATAGTTCATTATCGTGATCCAAGTGGATCAACTCATTTTTTCCATTAAAGTCAACAACGCCAATACAACCAATCATCAAATTTTGTGGGAATGGCCAAGGTTGTGTCATTACGATTTGGATCTCCTCACAGTTGACTCCTGTTTCTTCCCAAATTTCTCTCTTTGTTGCAACTTCAACTGTCTCGCTCGGTTCCATGAATCCTGCAGTGCACGAATACATCTTGGCAGATGCGTGTCTTTTCCCCAAGGACAAGAGGATTTTTGACCTGTCTCTGTTTGTAATTATGGAAATAATTGCCATATCTGTGCGGGGGAAAGACACATTTGAAACTGGAGCTTTTTTCACGGGACACACAAACTTAGGTTCCAGTTTATCAACTGGGGGTAAAGTTTCTTCATTTGTGCAAACTAGTTTCCCACCAGCATGGATGGGGATAGTAGGATGACCACAACCGGGACAAAATTTATTCGTTTTCAACCAGTTGAAAAACATTGCACCGTGACTGTACAAACTTGCATCTTTATGTTCGAATTGAAGAAAATGTTTTCTTGAGTGTGTATAGTATATACCATTTTCTTGGGGTGATTTCCCAGTCTTTTCCTTTTCATTGATTGATTTGTTAACGAGTTCTACTAGCTGGTCACTCAAATTGTAATCTCTTGTTACGTCCACTGCATAGTATGCAATTCCTTGATATCGGCCCTGGTGGTCCAAGTATTGGTCTTCTGTGCAGTTTTCTGCTTCTGTTTCACTTTTCAATGACTTCAAGTCTAATCCGATTGACTCATCTAATAAGCCCATAAACAAGAAAACTGGTTTCCCCTCTCCTCTCAAATTCTTTGCGTGATTCTTATTATCCTCACACCAAGTAGTCAAGATCAGTTCCCAATTTGAAATCTTGTCGATCAAGCCGTTTGCAAAAAACTGGGTATTACCAATATACCCCAACTTGTTGTGTTTCCCCGGGGTCAACTCATCAATGTTTACTTGATCATTGCCATTAGTCAATATAGCCAATTTCGTGCCACCATAATCCCTATAAACCAAAGGTTGCTGACGATTGAAAAAAATGAACCTTGTACTCGGATGAAATATCGATTTCGCTATAAACTCGTTATCTTCTCTTAAAAACGATACTCGATTTAGCACCTCGGTACCAAAGTACATATCCTTTTGGATATCCTTAATCGCTGTATGTAACAAATGCGACATCTTGCCAAACTGATTTCTCGGAATGAACTTGGATAAACTTGTTAAGCCACTCAAAACCAATCGAAAAACAATCAAAAACAATCTATCAACTCCTCTCACACTCACTTTTGACTCCCTACCGTCCAACAACCTTCAATCTTCTTATCTTTCAAGTTGTATCCACCCCTTTCCCCTGGTTCCCTTTCATTTCATTTCATTTCCTTTTTAGGGTTTTTCTGAAATCGCGCACTACTTGACGCCGCATTTGGTCCATACTGGGAAGTTCCAGCCCGACACTATCGAGCAATGCTCCACTATCGAGCAGAGCAAGATAGTGGAGTAGCACTGACTAGCTTATTACAACACTACCGAGCAGCGAGATAGTGGTGTAGCACTCACTAGCGACATCTGAAAGTATGGTCGACACTACCGAGCAGCGAGATAGTGGTGTAGCACTCACTAGCGACATCTGAAAGTATGGTCGACACTACCGAGCAGCGAGATAGTGGTGTAGCACTCACTAGCGACATCTGAAAGTATGGTCGACACTACCGAGCAGCGAGATAGTGGTGTAGCACTCACTAGCGACATCTGAAAGTATGGTCGACACTACCGAGCAGCGAGATAGTGGTGTAGCACTCACTAGCGACATCTGAAAGTATGGGGAGATGGAGTATAATTGCCAGTGTTTTTTATGTAACAAGTAGAGAGTATATAGTCACTATCTGTCGAACTTGTTATTGATTGATATTGAATATGTTTGGAGTATAACATGGCTCTTATTGTGATATTGACTGTCTGTAGTATTGATTGTCTGTGATATTGACTGTCTGTGGTGTTGACTGTCTGCAGTATTAAATTCTTGTCTATAGCATTGAGTGCTATGGCATTGAGCTGCTGTCTATCGCATTGAGTGCTTGTCTATCGCATTGAGTGCTTGTCTATGGCATTGAGCTGCTGTCTATAGCATTGAGCTGTTATAGCATTGAGCTGTTATAGCATTGAGCTCCTATGGATGGCATTGAGTGCTTGTCTATAGCATTGAGTGCTATGGCATTGAGCTTTTGCCTATTGCATTGAGTGTTTGCCTATAGCATCGAGCTGCTGTTTATAGCATTAACTTCTTGTTGATGTTCTGACTTCGGTTATCGAAGGATAATGTGGTAAATGCGTGTACAAGGGCATTTTTCAGGGGGTAATCAATACAATTTTACCATTCTCCTGAAAGGATATCAATAGAGAAATTACAACTAGAGACGCTATTAGAGATACTACAATCAGAGATGCTATCAAAGATGCGATATTCAAAGAAGCTATCAAAGAAGTTATCAAAAAAGCTAACATCAGAGACGCTATAACAGATGCTAGATTTAGAGATGCTAGATTCAGAGATGCTACCAACGATGCTACCAAAGATTCTACCAAAGATTCTGTCACATTCCATAATCCGACATGCCACAATCCGACATGCTAGAATTAGGGATACCACAATCCGACATGCTAGAATTAGGGATGCCACAATCCGACATGCTAGAATTAGGGATGCCACAATAAGAGATTCTATTATAGAGGCTACAATCAGAGATTCTATAACAGATGCTACCAGAGATGCGACAATAATACAATAAAACTAGCAATTAAGTGTTTCAGATAATAAACTCGCTTATAACTATTTATAGTAACTAGTAACTAGTCAATAGTAACTAGTCAATAGTAACTAGTCAATAGTAACTAGTCAATCTTGCTCTACTATCTTGCTCTGCTGGATAGTGTTGTAACAAGCTAGTCGGTGTTACTCCACTATCTCTCTCTCTCTTCTCTCTATTGACTAGACTCGTTTCACTCGTCTAGTCTGTCGCTCTCCTCGATAGTGTCGCACGATTGTATCGCATGCTACCAACTGGCAATTCGGAAATAAGAGAATGCAGTTGGTAGCAGCTGAGTCAATCCCAATATGAAAGGTTCATTCATTCCTAGCTTCAGAATAAAGAGGTTTACATACTAGGCAAATCAATAAATACTGGAAAGCTTTGACCATAAATGTCCATTCAACATGGCAACTGCCAAGTTGAAACAAAGGCAAACCTTATATACCGGCAGAGATTAATCCTTCCATTCTCACCTCATCTCCTCACCTCACCTCCTCTCCTCACCTCCTCTCCTCATCTCCTTCTTCTCTTTTCCCCTTTTTCTTTTCTTCTATGACGTAGTAATACATTTCATCCCTTTAACTAGTACCGTTTAAAGTCGGCGTTAAGTCTAAGCCCAAGGTATTCACTTCAAGTAACTCCATTTCTTTTTATGAGTCAAAAGGTTAGAATAAGATTAGGTTTACTTGACAATACTAGCCTCTTACAAGAGGAAAGAAGTAGTTTGATCACAACCCAGTACCACTATAACTCAGCGCTTTTTAGCCGTTGCCTGGCACCTTTTAGTAACTCACCACTTTTTAGCACCTTTTAGCACCTTTTAGTATCTTTTAGCACCTTTTAGCACCTTTAGTAGCCTAGTACCTTTTGGTAACACAACATCTCTAAGTTCTATCCCAGCACCCTCTTGGTAGTAGCTTTCCCTCATCGAAACACGTGCCCCCCCCCCTCTCCCTTCTCTAACCGAAGTTCCACACTTTTATTAGAATTTATATAAAAGGGTAACTAAAGGAGCATATACTGGTCAAGCTGTAAGCGATTTAAAGATAGAAGGTCCCAAATTAAAGAAAGAAGGTCCTAAATTAAAGCATCTTTTAGCTTTGTTGGCTTTACAATCATGACAGTTGCATCTTTGAAGGCACCTTCAAAATTACTTTGGTCATCATCATCATCGCCGGTTATTGCCGGCCATAGAGGATTCAAGAGTCGATTTGTGGAAAACAGCTTGGTAGGGTTCACTAAATGCTATGACTCGGGAGCAACTGTTATTGAAACGGATTTATGGCTAAGTTCAGACAATGTAATAGTGATATCCCACGATCGCATGACCAAAAGAGTCTTTGTTGATGAAGAGGGAAATGAAACAAACTATAATATAAGCAAGACACCATATGACCCGGTTTTGAAAAATTTGAAAACTAAGCAAGGTGGGTATCCGCTACTTAGTTTTGTCGACTTGTTGAATTGGTTTGTGGCGTATGTTGAACGAAAAGAAGGAGGAGGAGAAGGAGGAGAAGGAGGAGAAGACAAGTTGAAGTTACAGTTGGATATCAAAAGATTCAATCCAACGAAAATCACAAAGTATATTATTGGCGACTTGTTAAAGGTGAAAGACGACTTATGCTGGTGGTATAGCAGAGTTCAATTTGGGATATGGGACCTCAAGTTTTTGAAGTACTTGAATCAAGATGAATTCTTCCAACAGGATATATTTGGTAAAGTTGATCCTCTGGGGTATACCCAATTTGACATTTTCAACATCAGTGTCAATTGGAGAGACTCAATCAACTATATCAATTATAATTACTACTTGGACGAAACTACATCGAAGGAGAGAAAGAAATTGAAATTGACAGGTGTGTCGCTATTATATATCTCTACTTGGTCAATTGACTTTCTCACAAAGTTTGTCCCATTGCTACAAATTCAACGCTTGAAGTTTTATTCGTGGACTGTAAATAACAAATTTCAATTTCAATACTTGAATAAAATTGGCGAAAAGGCAAAACTAGTCGAGTATGGAATCGTTACTGATCATCCCGATACCATGGTCGAGTACAAACAGGAGATATTGCAAAACAATATTGAAGTGTATAGTTCTGAATCCAATGATTCAGAGCTCAGTACTGAGATTAAGCCATTGATTGATTATGAAAGCAATCAGTACTATAACGAGGATGGTGAACTTGTCATTGAGTTGACAGTGAAGCAAATGATCATGTGCTGGATATACAATCAAATCATATCACTCAATGGATCAAATAGGAAAATTAAAACAGAGTCACAGAGATTCGCTGCTAGAGTAGATGAAAATAAAATTGATGAGGTGAAGATAAACCCAATATTTGCTTGGTGTTTCCAAACTTGTCAAAAATACGGAATATTTTAGAGAGATAGAAGAAGGAGATATGCTTGTCTTTATAATAAAATATAAAACTTTTTCCTTTTAAAACAAAAATTCCTCTTTTCGTGATGGTGATCAGATTGACCTTATGAGTTCAAGTATGCATCCAAATATACCACGTCTTGCTCCTTTTCATAATCGATTTTCTCAGTATTGTAATCGAATAAATTGAACAGATAATGCTTGGCCAAGTATTCTCTTGCAGGTTCGGGCATCTTGATATAATTCCCACTCAGTGTGGGCATTACGTTTCCCAACCACTTTGTATCAATCCCCAAGTTGTATTCGTTAAGACTACTTCCGGTGATCTTATACACTTCTCCCTCATTATCTTGTCCAACTTGTTCAATCTTGTCGTCATAAACAAGAACATTACATAGTTTTTGAAGATCACTCAACTCGATTTCGACACCTCTAAAAAAATTGTGCTCCCTGCCATAATTCATGATTTGATCTATACTTACCCCAGGGTAATCTGCAGGGTAACCCGGTTGCAATGGATTATCAACATACTTTCTAAATCCAGGAACAGTACTCATATATATGTAACTCCATATCGCTGCTGTCGTATCGTTTATAAATATACTATCAAATTCACCGTTTGTAAACCAAGGCCCTCCCGAAACATCAAGGCTCGGCTGGAGATTATATAGCATGTAAATTTTCCTTGTTGGGTATTTCACCGACTTGACAGTTTTGATAAAACGCATATTCTCCAAGTTCTTTAAACATTTGGTGACGATATGTTGATGAAGATTGCTTTTATTCTTAATTGTCTTGGTCCATATCCCCTCACGGCCACTAGCACTGATATATTTATATATCATATGTTCATCATCACTCATTTGTGTCACTCTTTTTCCCTCCTCAGCAGTGACTGCTTGGAGTAGTTTCTGATCTCCTCTCTGAAGAAGTTTTACAAGCTTATTGTTCACAAGTTCTTGTAATATCACCAACAAATCAGATTCTTTTTCAATATTGATCAATTTGTAGATATCTTCAATAGAAATTAGCTCGGTAGAATGTACCTCTCTCATCTTGGATAGAAGATTCTCTGCATTTTCCGATATCACCATTGTAAATAAACCTACTAATTATACTTCTAGTCTAGACTGGCTAGTGCGGCCTTAACTTCATACACCTTTATAAATCTCCAGTAAAGGGCTGGTTAGTTGATTTCCTTAATGCTCATCGCTCATTGCTCATCTCATCGCAGAAACGCTACCAGCTAATGGGGTTTTTATAACATCACCATTTCTAGAATACACTAGTTGCCTAGTAGAGGGAGTAACTGGTTTACAAAGGGGCCGTTGACTTGCTTACAAAGGGCCATTGACTTGCTCATAAAGGGGCCGTTGACTTGTTTACAAAGGGTCGTTGACTTGCTCATAAAGGGCCGTTTACTTGCTTACAAAGGGCCGTTGACTTGTTTACAAAGGGCCGTTGACTTGCTCATTAATCAGTGTAAAAACTCAAGATGGAAGATGACGAGCTAATGGAATTGAATATTGTACCAAATAAAACTGGTAAGCCAAAGGTAACATTCAAGAAGAAAGTTTTAGATACATCCAACCTCAGGGCCAGGAGTCGACAACCGATATTCGAGAATGATAGGATCAACAATATGGAAACTGAGGAAGAGAAGGTGAAAAAGGAGGCAGGCGGGGAAGGCGGTGAACTTGATAAACCTTCTGCTTTGGTGATACCCACGTATAAGAAGAAAGAATCCTTTAGCGCAATGAATAAACGACGAATTGATATATCAAAGTATGTGACAATAGACACAGATAAAGAGAGAGAGAATGTGTCAAGAGGAGAAGAGACAGAAAGACTTGACTTGCTAGAGCTTGACGAAGAAGATCCCGAGAATAATCCGGTGATTGCGAACTTGGACGAATTCGATTTGACTATACGACAAACCCTCAAACCGCCGCTGCCAACACCACCACCACTAGCTCTTAATTCTAAGAAATATGTTCCTATACTGTCTCCTAGTTCTATGCCTCGAACGTCTGCTAGAACATATATGAAAGAGTTATCTGAGGAGTACAAGAACGAGAATAACTACGATGATGGAACTGGAGGAGACTTGGAGTTGAGGAAACATGGTCTAGAAATAGACGATGAAGAGCACGAAGTTAATGAATTGAGCGATAATGATATGGGGGTGCTAAAAATGCCGAATATAGATTTCGAAAACAAGTTCAATAGAGAAATCCAAAGTGATGATGATGAGAAGGCGGAGGAGGCGGAGACTAATGGCCAGGGGCGGTTCAAAGAGGTTGTTATATACACAATTGAAGAACAAATTGAGAACCTTTCAAAGAAGTTGGAAGAAGCAGTTTCAAGGAAACGACAAGTTGATCAAAGAAAACAGGAGATTCTTGATCAGAAACGGCTAATTGGTCAAAGTAGACAAAACTTGTACGAAAAATTGCGCAACATCAATATCAATTGAATAGATCAACAACTTATTAGAGACTACCACAACTCCCCTCCCCTTTTTCAACTTCTTTAAAGTTGAAAGAAGTAGTACCTAGGAAGTCTATGCTCCACCACTCCCCCCTCCCCTTTTTCAACTTCTTTAAAGTTGAAAGAAGTAGTACCTAGTGTCGGAGGAAGTCTATGCTCCACCACCCCTCCTCCCTTATACAGCAGCCTTATACATCTTCCTTTCTTTGATTCCTTTGGGTTATTGATCTCGGATTGGCAATGAGAGGGAGCGCGGCTAATCAATTTTCCAGTTTGACTCATAAAGAAAATATTTTTTTCCATGTACTGAGTCATCGGCAAAGGTTATAAAAAGTCAACCCCCCCCCCCCCGTCATCTCTATGCTTCAGAATATTATTTACAAGCCATTAGCGGTTTTTAGGATAATGTCGGTTAGAACCGTATTAAAGACAAACCGGTTTGTTTCGTCGTCTTCCGGCTTGAAAGCAGCAGCAACAATAGGGTCTTCTTCAACAGTGTATCCCCGTCATTTGGTTAACATTTTGCAATTATCTAAAGATGAATTTGACTCGATATTGAACAAGGCGCAATATTTGAAGTCTGTGTACAAGTCGGGACACGCGCAAGCGATCCTGGAACACCACGAGAAACTATTGGGCAAATTGGTGGCGTTGTTGTTTTCCAAAAGATCAACAAGAACTAGGATAAGTACCGAGGGAGCAGCAGCTTTCTTTGGGGCACAGCCGATGTTTTTGGGTAAGGACGATATTCAATTGGGTGTGAATGAATCAATGTATGATACTACAAGAGTCATCAGTTCTATGACATCGTGTATATTCGCAAGAGTCAATAGTCATAAGGATATTTTGGACTTGTGTAAGGATTCAAGTGTGCCTATAATAAATTCCTTGTGCGACAAGTTTCATCCCTTGCAAGCGATAGCTGATTTGTTAACTATAAAGGAACAATTTGGAGACGATTTGAGTGGGTTGAAATTGGCGTGGATCGGGGATGCCAACAATGTGATTAACGATTTATCGATTGCTTGTCTAAAAATGGGAATTAATGTATCTGTTTCCGTACCAAAATCAATCAAGTTCGATGAGGATGTTGAAGAAGAAGCTAAGAAACTCGCATCTACGCTGAATCTCAAATTTGAAATTGTCCATGATCCCAAAGCTGCTCTTAGGGATGCAAATATTGTAGTTACCGATACTTGGATTTCAATGGGTGAAGAAGAACAGAAATTAGCAAAACTACAGCAATTTGAAGGTTACCAAATTACACGCGAGTTGATCAATGAAAGCAATGTTGCTTCTAAGTGGATCTTTATGCATTGTTTGCCTCGACACCAAGAAGAAGTTGCCGATGATGTATTTTATAGTAATAACTCGGTTGTTTTTGAGGAAGCTGAAAATAGGTTATACGCTGCTATGGCAGTTATCGACGCATTTGTCATTAATAGTGGGAACCTATTGAAGTAGAATAGTTTTACTGCTCCACCATTGAGCAAAGCGAGAGGCACTATCTAGCAGAGCTAGATAGTGTCAGTGGCAGCTAGTCAGTGTTGCTCCACCATCTCGTTTCGCTCGATAGTGTCCGCTCGATAGATACAAAATGCTTGTAGTAACATTCATTACCATGAACATTGTAGAAATACACACTACTCGACACTATCGAGCAAAGCGAGATAGTGGAGCACACTGACTACACCTAAACACTACACCTAAACACTACACCTAAACACTACACCTAAACACTACATCTAATACTAATACACCTCTACATTCTAACCTCTACAGTGTCCCTAAAATAACTTGTAAAAATAACCTCAATGCTAAATAAATATATTACATACACTTTATGCCAAGTCGGTGGCAGCTACAAAGTGTTTCTCCACTATCAAGCAAAGCGAGATAGTATTCGCTCGATAGTGGAGCATTGGTAAGTATACAAAGTGTTTCTCCACTATCTCGCTTCGCTCGATAGTGTTCGCTCGATAGTGTTGCAAGTTGTAAGAATAACCTTAAAACTCTAAACTCATGTCAAACATCAGCCCATTTCGACCTATTTGGATTCCCGCCCCCACTCTTCTGCAAGGGAGTCAAACTTCCGGGTTATCGGTGTATCAGCTAAATTCAGAAAGGTTTGCTACCAACATTAGCCGCCAGGGATCTCCACATTTTTTTTTTTTGCTTTACAAAGAAAGCGGAAAAAGCTAAAAAGGGGAGTTCCGGTTTTATATAATAAAAGCCACCGAAATTGTCTTTGGTGAAATTTACCCTTTTTCTACCATTTCCGTTGGTTTTATTCATCCCTTTTGCATTGACCAAGTAGAGTCATTATCCTTTAAGAATGGCAACTAAAGTTATCTTATCAGGAGCCACTGGTTTCATTGCTCAACATGTTGTCAAAGAATTGCTTGACAAAGATTACAAAGTTGTTGCAACAGTTCGATCATCTGGCAAAGGTGATCATTTGTTGAAATTGTTCAACTCGCCAAACTTATCGTATGAGGTAGTAGAAGATGTTGCACAGGCTGGAGCTTTCGACAAAGTTTTGCAAAACAACCAAGATGCCACGATATTTATCCATACAGCATCTCCATTCCACTTCAAAACCGATGATGTTGCTAAGGACTTGCTCGAACCTGCAGTTGAGGGAACCAAAAACGCATTGAAAGCGATTGAGAAGTATGGTAAAAACATTCAAAAAGTTGTTATTACTTCATCCTACGCAGCTATTGCCACAGCTAAGGATTCAGTAGATCCAAAAGCTGTAATCAATGAGAAGGACTGGAATCAAATTACTCGGGAAGAAGCAATTGCCAATCCGTTCCATGGATACAGAGCATCAAAGACATTTGCCGAGAAAGCAGCATGGGATTTTGTTAAGGAGCACGAGAGCAAGTTTATTCTTTCAACGGTGAACCCTACTTTTGTGTTTGGCCCTCAATTGTTTGACTCGGAGGTTAAAGAGAATTTGAATACTTCTTCTGAGGCTATAAATGTAATTACCAAGTTACAGCCCGAAGATGCAATTCCGTCATTTAAAGGAGGCTGGGTTGATGTTCGTGACGTTGCCAAAGCTCATTTGGTTGCTTTTGAAAACCCCAAAGCTGAACATCAAAGGCTTTTGATGAATAGTGGAAAATTCACTGAACAGTCCATTGTTGATCTTGTTCGAGAGAAATTCCCTGAATTGAAGAATGTACCTATTGGCAATCCTGGCGCTGGATTAAGAGCTATTGAAGAAACCTTGGCTACTATTGATAACTCAAAGACAAAGGAGATTTTAGGGTTTGAGTTGATTGATTTTGAAAAGTCTGTGGCCGATTCGGTTCAACAGATTATTGATGTGAGGAAAAGCAAAAGCCAGCTTTAAAGCGAAAGAAAAGTAAAGAGAAGAAAGAGAAGAGAAGGCAAGACAACAAGAAAAGAAAGGAGAAGAGAAGGAGTGCTTTGTAATTGTGAAACAAGAAGAGGGATAGTAACACACAAACCTTGAAATCCTGTAATCATCTCTACCTCTATAAGTAAAAACTCGTAAACCTGAATATCACTTTTCAATTAATGCAGACATAATCCAAAAGGTTTTCATTAATCGTAGAGTAATGTTACTAAGAAAAGATTATTGACTATTAAATGTCGGCAATCGTTTTTCTTTTTCCTGAAAAAAGAGGTTTTACCAAAAAAAAATGTCGTTGTCCATAAAGAAGTCAAAAATACGAAAAAGTAGCAAACTTTAAGTTTGAAATTTGGTTGCAAATTTCTAAACTTTTAGCGACGTTGTTGTCAAGTTGCAATGAATGAGGAGGCGTTACTACTACAATTGAACAAGGGGTGGTTGCTACGGTTTAACAAGGGGTGGTTGCTACAGTTGAACAGGGGGTGCTTGATGAAGACTTTTTGCTTTTATGGAAGAGACAACTCAAGGTTTGGATTACCCGGACTTTGTTATCTACGAGATGTGAAAGGCTGAAAAAGATAAGCTTTATTTGGAAAAGGAAACTGCAAGAGTTGCTAGTTTGGGAGAACTTTGTTGCTACGCGGCTGGTCATTCTCGTACAATGTTGGGTTGAACCGTTAAGTGGCACCCTCTAGGCTGCTTGTATCTTTGTATTGGAAAGGAGACAAAAAGAGTTCCTCGATGAGACAGACAGGTATGTGATACATTGTTACTTTTTAGCCACTTTTAACTTTTAGTGTCGGGGTGTGAGATTGAGACTGTTCCACAATGATAAACCCTTCTTCTTGTTTAAAGATTTGTGTTGCATGCGTCAGTGCATGATAATAGGTTGATCGATGGTAACAGTTGGTGATCTGATTGATCCCTGCTGTAAAAGTGGCAAACACCCTACAGCCTATAGATACTTGTTTCTTTCCTCTTTTGTCTGGTCTTTCTATTGGCTTCTTTTCTGTTGCTATTCTTGTTGACCTTTTCCGCTTGAACCTGCAGCTTTGCACCTGCCAATTTTGTAGCAGATATTAAGGGCAAGGGCAATATCATCAACACTGACTGCTTCATACGTGCCCTCAGCAGTTGTGCAATGTTACTGTTCCCCAAAGCGCGACAGATTAGAAGGCCTTTCTTGATCATCCCAATTGTCTTGCTCATACTCGTAATCATACACTCAATCGATACCTACAATGTGGTGAGCCAAGTTACCTTTCGATTTAAAACGCCAGGCTTGCCCATTTCATCATACAGCAACAAACCATTAACCATATTGCCTTCCAATTTTGATTCAAGCTCAAGAGTCGACTACCACACAACCAACAGCGAAAATAGCGTTATCCAGTTTAATGGTAATCCAAATCCCGTGAATTATTATATTACAAATCAAACCTATATACCACATTCATTTAGATTATTTGCGTCTACGGGAGAGTCTAGCTCTGAGAATGATCGTCACTGGACAACTTCCGAAGTGTGCAAAAACTTGAAACTCGATAGAAACGCTTCAATTACTGAAAGCCATCTAAAATTTGAAGATGACTGGCGGCTCATTGTGAAAACCTTGATAAACCAAGTTGAGGAAGAGCAAGCATTCAGAGAATTGGGTGAGTTCTTCCAAGGTAAATTGCCAGCAATTCTAAAATCTGGGGAATTGAATGAGAAACATTTCTACAAATTCGCTGCTACTTCTGTTTGGTTAGCTAAACACGGTGTTCACTTGATGGTTAGCCGAATCATATTTTCTCAAACTGCAAAAAAGAATGATCCGCAAGTATCTTTACTATATGCACAAATATATGATGAAAATTGGCAAGAATTGAAAGCAGTTGATTTAATAGTACCCGTTGTGGATGAATTCGGTCAGCGAGAGTATGTTAATTTGCTGTTTCCTAGGTTTATGCCCATTCCGTTTTACCACAATGCCAAAAAGACAAAGAGAAGATGGTATGGACCTGAAGATACCAGATTGCTTTTATCCAGAAATGAATATGGCGACGAAGAACCTATTGTTGTGTTTAATGCGTTCCATAGACAAGTTATCGAAACCAAAAACAATGCAATGAATGACGATGTGGTCAACACCAAGTACAAGTTCTTTAGATCTATGTTTATGGGATATTTGTTTAGATTTCAACGGGGGAAACAAAATACCAACGGCATACAAGAACCCATATACGAAAACATTGTTTATAACAAAATAGTTGAGTTGAGAATTGGGAACCAACCAAGACACGAGACCGAGAAAAACTGGACTCCCTTTGTAGATCCACTGGAAAGATCACCAGCAACCAGGAATGGTGATAAGCACATCTATATTGTGTATCAATGGGACCACCTAAAAATCCTCCGATGTGAATTAGCTAACCCAGGAGTAGTTTCTCATTGTGAAGTTGTGTTTGAACAAGATACCACTGCCATAAAAGTTGGTCCTATAAGAGGAGGAACCGAGCTTGTATCAATTACCCCAGCAAAATCCAATAATTTGGAACAAGTATGGATTGGCTTCCTTAGGGCTCATTTGAACAAGTGTGGCTGTGGAAAAGCTATGTATCGACCGAACTTTGTGGTTTTGGTAAAACACAAGAATGGCAATTTCAAATTGTCCTACTTGTCATCTTCTATATCGATGAATATTGATGTTGACGGTTGGAACAATGGTCAAATGCAATGCGGTGAAGGTGATCCTAATGTCTTGATCCCCAACGGTATATCATTGTATGATCCAAAACAAGACTATTTAAGCTTAACATTATCCGTTGCAGATAAAAATGATAATTTAGTACATATCCAAGGTATACGCCAGATGGTTGACAAATTGGATTTGAATTGGAACGGTGCACCCGTGGATAGTCGTCAGGTTGATTGTGTCATTGACGAGAGCATTGACTTTTGTAAGAAATATGGTGAGTTACAAAAGGCACAACAAGTAGAGGTTGCAGGGGAAGGAAAGACTGGTGCTGACAAAGGTGAGTCCTTGCAACAGGATGAGCACCCTAATGAGGATAAGCAGGATATAATTCAGGAATCAAAAGGATAAAAAGGTTGAAATTGGATAAATCTAACCCTTATCATAGGATAGCACAATAAAGGATCGCGTGATGATTACAAAAGATTACCAAGTTAGTTTTGGTTGCGAAAAAGAATGAACAAAAATGAACAAAAATGAACACTTGAATTTTGACAAACATGTTTTAACATTGATAAATCAATATGATATGGTTGAGTCATTAACAAGCTACGGAAAAAGATCGAGGCTGTTTCTGATTCTAAACTTAATTATACCTAATTGCTTTCTTTTCTTTTTTTTTCTTTTTTTTGCTAGATGTGATAGATTTAGGTGATTCTAATGATGCAAAAGACGTTGAAACAAACGCTGGGAATGCTTAATAATATACATCAGATATTTGAAATTGACTCCATTGTTTTATGAAAAAACAACAACAAATGGAGACTAGATAGAAAGACTAGACTCGTTTCACTCGTCTAGTCGAAAGAGAAAGAGTGCGGTTTATAGAGAAAGAGAGCGGTCGAAAGAGAAAGAGAGCGGTTTATAGAGAAAGAGAGCGGTCGAAAGAGAAAGAGTAGATATATGGTATCTCGGTTTGCTTGATAGTGTAGAGGGTAGAGGTTGTTGGTAGTAATATTTAGAGAACTATTAAGTTTGAGTCAAAATGTTGCAAAAAAGAAGACTATACTGGGGACTACACGAGTGAAACGAGTCTAGTCGATAGAAAGAGTAGATCGAGAGTAGAGAGAGTAGATAGAAGAGGAGGGAGTAGATAGATAGAAGAGAGAGTAGATAGAGAGAGGAGAGAGTAGATAGAGAGAGTAGATAGAGAGTGATATATATACTATCAAGCTGTGCTCGTGGTATATAGAGAAAGTAGAGTAGTGTTGTTTTCCCGCCTTACTGGATAGTCCATAGAAGGAAAAGAGAGAAAGAGAGAGACTAGACGAGAGAAGCTAGTCTAGTTGATAGAGAGAGACTAGACGAGAGAAGCTAGTCTAGTTGATAGAGAGTGGGTAGTATACAGATCAATAGTCTATAGAGTAGTGTTGTGTGTTCGCCTTGTTGGAAAATATATAGAAAGAAGAGAGAAAAGAGTAGATATAGAGAGAGTAGCTATATATTATCGAGCCGTGCTCGTGGTTTATAGAGAGAGTAGATATAGACTATCGAGCAAAGCGAGATAGTCTATGACTTACTCTACCTCTTACTTTTACCTTGCGATTAAAATGAAACCCCAGTCTAAATTACAACCAACTACTCGTTATTCAATATTCATGTTCCCCTTCCCACTTTTTCCATAAAGAAAGAGTAAATACAGACTATCGAGCGAAGCGAGATAGTATACAGAGAGTAAATACAGATTATTTCACTTTGCTCGATAGTCTATAGAGACTCATCACTCACTATCGAGGAACGAGATAGTGAGTAGTCACCTAGTAGTCACCTAGCAGACTCATCACTCCCTAGAGAGAGTAAATACAGATTATTTCACTTTGCTTGATGGTCTATAGAGAGTAAATACAGACCATCTCGCTTTGCTTGATGGTCTATAGAGAGTAAATACAGATTATTTCACTTTGCTCGATAGTCTATAGAGACTCATCACTCACTATCTCGTTCCTCGATAGTGAGTGATGGTGAGTGATAGTGATGGTGATGGTGATGGTGATGGTGATGGTGATAGTACCAGCGCTACCACGATGTTACATCAAAATTTTTCATCGGTTGATTTATTTGGCGAGACGGGGCACGAGTAAAGTTCAATACCAAACAGGGCGTCCAGCGGGGACACAGTACAGGAGAGTAGCTGCTGTTTAGTTTTCAGATGTTGAAATGAAACATTCTATGAAATCGATGCTTCGGAGGGTTCTTTTGCTTGTGGCGTTGGCATTTTCGGTTATCTTTCCGATACATTTACTTTTCCAGTATAAAACAATTGGAGATAGTTTGCAAATTTTTGATAAAATCAAGCTTCAACCGTTTACACAAGAAAGCGTCCAACCGCAACAGGAGACATACTTGACCTCGTCCATTATCATATTTCCCAAAGGTTTCCAAATTGAGGGGTTATACCACAACAAACAGCTTGTTGACGGGAAGAAAGTGATCACGTATCAGGGGAACTCATCAGCATTGACTTATGAGCAACTCCAAATGCCTAGAAAACCTCACCAGATTCAATTATTTAACTCTATACATAAAGGTGCATGTCATGAATTGTTAGAGCTGCGAGAATTAGTCATCAGTGACAATCTTGTGTTTGACGACGATTTCAAAACCATGGCTGAAATATTAATTCACCAATTGAAAACTCAGGAGCCATTCAAGGAGTTGTTCAAATTTTTCAGCAATTTACCTCAAATAATTAAAGAAAGGACTTTGCGCAAGCATTTTTACAAGTTCTCAGGCACGTCCGTGTGGCTCAAAGATTACGGCGTTCATTTTATGGTTAGTCGTGTGATGTACTCTCCTCAAGGATTGAAATGGAAGTGTAACATTTCATTAATGTATGTTCAGATATATGATGTTAATTGGCAAGAGTTGACTAATGTTGAATTGATGATACCGGTAATGACCTCCAAGGGATACAGGGAAGATCAAAACTTGAGATTTCCTCAGTTTTCACCTATGCCATTTTATTTTAATCATCAAGAGACGAAGAAAAGGTGGTACGGTTTAGAAGACATTAGGATTATGTTGGTTGAAAACGAAATGAAACAAGAAGAACCGATGATCATTTTCAATTCCCAACATCGAAGCATAAAGAACCACACAATGGATGACAAGATGGATTTGCAAATGATTACAAATTTTGAAATCCACAGATCCATGTTTGTTGGATGGCCATTCAGATACCAGTTGGGGAAACTCAACTGCGATGGGATTCCTAACCTCAAGTTTGATCATATACACTATAATGCAGTTTCCGAGTTAAGAATTGCAAACCAAGAAAGGAAACCAATAGAGAAAAACTGGGCTCCGTTTATTGACCCCAGGGAAAGATTTTCTGATGGTCCAGGTGACAAGTTTATCTACTTTGTCTACAGGTGGGACAGTTTTGAAGTTTTAAAGTGTGAATTGAAGAGGATCTCTAATGGCGATATTAGCAACTGTTTATTTATCTACAAAGAACTGGAAGAACTGAAAGAACTGAAAGAACTGAAAGAACCGAGAGAACTGGAAGAACTGGAAGAACTGGAAGAACTGAAAGAACTGGAAGAACCGAAAGAACTGGAAGAACCGAAAGAACTGGAAGAACCGAAAGAACTGGAAGAACCGAAAGAACTGGAAGAACCGAAAGAACTGGAAGAACCGAAAGAACTGGAAGAACCGAAAGAACTGGAAGAACTGGAAATCGACACTAGTGCTAAAATTGGGCCCATTCGAGGCGGAACCGAAATAATTCCCGTTTCTTCACTTGATTCTTCGTATTCCGGGCAAGATGTATGGGTTGGATTTTTACGTGCACACATTGATCATTGCGGTTGTGGCAAAGCAATGTATCGTCCCAATTTTTTTATACTAAGCAGGGTAGAAAATGGCGATTTCAAGGTTCTTTATTTGTCCTCGTCAATATCTTTCAACATTTCAGTTCCAGGGTGGAGAGATCGTGATATACAGTGTGCTAAGAAAGACCCTAATGTGTTGATACCCAACGGCATATCACTGTGGCAAATTGATCCATACACCAAGCAGGACGTATTGAGCTTAACATTTAGTGTAGCCGATGAAAGTAATAGCATGATTCACATTTATGGAATAAAAAGAATAATTGATGAATTGGTTGAAATTGGTAGATCTAGAGATTTGGATGGTGAGGAAATGGGAACAAATAAAGCACTAATGGATTGTGTTTTGGAAGCAAGTATACAGTTTTGTAAGGAGTATGAAGCTGAGCAGACGAGGTTGGGAACTACTGAAGATGTGCTTCTAGCCAAACAGAATGATGGTAAGGAGAAGTAGTAAAAAAGACAATGCAAAGCAGCAACTACTAAGCAACTAATGCAAAGCAACAACTACTAAGCGACTAATGCAAAGCAACAACTACTAAGCGACTAATACAAAGCAACAACTACTGAGCAACTAATGCAAAGCTGGTTTCTGTAACACCCTTACAAGACATGTTGATGAGTTTGTGTTTTCAATTTGGAGGACTATTTTCCAATTCACTAGAGCATGCTCAAAATTATGGACCACCACCACTTACTTCACAATGCTATTACCCACTGAAATGGATTACTGAAACATTAACCTCGACATTCTTTTCATTTCTCTTTTGCAGGCAAAATCAATATATGATATGATAGTATTTTGTAATTCTTCCCCATCTAGGGCCATCTCTAAAATGGTGAAATATTTTTCACTTTTTTTTCTTTTTATTATGAGGAACAATAACTGACCAGATTGACGCTGACAATATGGTAAATAACAGGCTATCGTCGCTAAATGAGGATAAGTTGAGTGCGGTTAGTCATTATGGACCTGTTACGGCTATAAAGATCTTTCAAAATTGCATTTTTGTTGGATATGGACCTGTTTTGAAGATCTATCAACTACAGCTTCCGGGTTTAGATGCCTTTCTCATATTTGATAAACAGTTGTTTAAGAGAAATAAGATCCATTGTATATCAATCAATGAGAAGGGGCAGGTGGTGGTTAGTGGAGCTAAATCGTTTTTGACATTTACGTTCAATGTGGAGGAGGAAGAGAAGCAGGTGAAAGAGAAGCAGGAGTTTAAAGAATGGAAAATTGATGAGTGGATTGTATCGTCGAGGATCTTGGACGATGGTTTTGTGCTTCTACTCAGTGCATATAACGTGATCTATAAGCTTGACCCTAATGGACAAGTAATCGAGCAAGTAGATTGCGGAGAGAAATCGATATCGTATAGTGGTTCGATAAATGTCCTTCCCTCAGGAGACATTTATATCGCCACAGGAACAGTGATGAATGGTGTTATAATATGGAAATATCAAAGTAGAGATATTGTATACCGGTTGAATGACCACGATGGTTCGATTTTTAGTGTCAAGATAGATTCCAAGGGCATGTATATTGTGTCCTGTTCAGATGACCGAAGTATCAAATTATATGACTTTGCAACGGGCAATGTTTTAGCAACGGGGTGGGGTCATGGTTCCAGAATATGGAACCTAGAGTTTGGTAAACTGGAAGAAGGGTTAAAGATAATGAGTATTGGCGAGGACTGTACATTACGAATATGGGCTTATCATAACAATTCTGATCTACTTGAGCAAGTGCAAGTTATTGAAAACTGTCATAGCGGGAAAAATATCTGGTCGGGTGACATGGACGATTTGAACTTGAAAATATGTTGTACTGGTGGAGCCGACGGCCGTGTAAGAGTACATGATCTAGATGAGAAAAATCAAGTTACCACCAAGATTGCACATAATGAGTTTGCTTGTGCTTCAGGTAACATGACCCTAAAAACAAGTGGATCAATAATAGACTATTTCGAGTTGACAAATTTGGGGAAATTGGTCTGCTTAACTCTGGCTGGGTATATTGTTGCTTACAATTATGGTGATGAGAATTATGAGGATTTGGGATTTTACAAAGCATTGGGTGGGTTTGGAATTGTTTCTGGATTTAATGAGATCAACACAGTATTGATAACTAGTCGTACTGGAGATATAGTTTCTATCATATTTGGAAAGGAAGGAATCAAACAGGAGTGGCATGAAAAGATTTTGGTGCAGAAACTCACAAACGTACTTTGCTGTTCATCTCATGGCCGATATTTTATCCTTGTTGAGGAGACGGGTATCAGTTATCCTTTTCGTTTATGGGAGGTTACACTTGAAGGCAATACAGTCAATGTAACAAGCAAGTTCGTTATCTTCAAAAACCCTCAGCCTTTCCAGCTAACTGCAATGACCGTAGATGCAGAAAAAGGATGGGTAATAATAGCATCAAAAAAATCATCACTTATCATTTCTTCCATTGACTTCCCACTGTCTATGTCATCTTTCAACAAAGTTGGTCATGGTGATGCGATAAGCTCGGTGTCTGTTATAGGCTCAGAGGACAAGTATCGCTATATACTCATCACTACAAGAGATGGCCTATATATGATTGCACAAGTATATCGTGCATTCCATGAATTCCGGTTTAGGGTTTTGCACAAAAATAAATTGACCCGTATGTTTATTGAAGGAGGCTATATGAACAAACACAATGATTTAATATTGTATGGGTTTAAATCATCCTACTTCATTGTTTGGAACGAGAGTAAACAAATGGAGATAATGAGTCAATTTTGTGGTGGCAATGGCCATAGGCACTTTAAGTTCCACTTGAAGACACCTCGAGATTTCAGGTTCATTTACTCATTCAAGAGCAATATATACTATTGCCAGTATCATGAAAGGTTCACAAAAAATGAAAAAAATGGGCTCAATTGCAGGCTATTGCATAGTGGGACCCATGGGCGTGAAATCAGAGACTTGTCCATACTGAAACAAGAATTTCCAGATGGCTCTAGACTTTTAATAAGCTCAGCAGAAGACTCGACTATTTGTTTGAGCAGGATGTATCGCGATGGTAAACTTTGTAGTATATGGAGTATGAACAATCATATTTCAGGTATGCAGAAAGTGAGGTTTTTCAAGGACAAGTATGTGTTGAGCTCAGCTGCAAATGAAGAGTTTCTTATTTGGGAAATAAATTATGTCAATCTGATTCCAACATTGAACGAGATTGCAAGATTGAAATCACAAGAGAAGGTTCCGGATTTGAGAGTGATGGACTTTGATGCTGGGGATTTTTATTTTATTACGGGGATGCTTGTTGTAACTGTATTTTCCAATTCCTTAATCAAGTTGTGGAAATTTTCAAAGGAACCCTATGATTTGAAATTTTTCAATGAATGGAAATACTCAACTTGTTGCATTTTGAATTGTAGGTTGTTTCGATTATCGGAATACATCTATTTGTTGATTTCAACAACTGATGGATTTGTCACTATTTGGGATATCACCAATCCAAAAAGACCCAAACTACAAGTCTCGAAGAAATTGCATCAAAGCGGGGTGAAAGCAATTTGCTTGATACCAAAGCCTCGCGATTGTGGATACTACTTGGTCACTGGTGGAGATGACAACGCATTGACCATTAGTATTATTACTGTTTCTGACTCAAACGATCAATTACAATTTACATTGATCGATGCTGAAGAAACTGCTGCATCGGCTACAATAACGTCTATTTCAAAGGTGGATGAAAAGAGAGTGGTTGTAGTATCCGTTGATCAAATTATACGATTATGGTCGTTTGAAAATGACAAGTTGGTTTGTGAACTTGCAAAATTCACCACTGTTGCCGATACAGGATGCTGTGATGTAATTGATGATATGCTTGTGGTTGGTGGCGCCGGCATCTCCATTGAAAGGATTAAGTTGTGAGGGTTTAACACATTCCTGCTTCTTGTCAATCGTGACTAGCAATCTTCATATAGGATATTACATTTAATAGAAATCCACCCACTTCAAGAAACTTTGTTTCAAAATAAAAGACTAATCCACCCAAATCTATATTTTATTGCTAATAAACATACAAAACAACAAAATAGGAATAAAAAAACAACAACAACAACTTACTTACTCCATTTTAAATAACAGCAACTTGAATATGGTATCATTGATCTTTTGTTCCTCGGTTACAATTGCATCAGTGTCATTCTCTTGAACTTCTTTCAATGGGAATGTAGTTGTCTTGAGAATCAAATCTTCATTTGATTTCACAACATCCTTGAAATTCATCTTGTCATCAACTAGTTGATATCCAACAACGACATCATCAGTTGAGTTGAGACCAACTTTTTTTCTCAATCTTTGAATACGATTAAGAAGTTCCCTGGCCAATCCTTCGCTTTCCAATTCAGCATGCAAGTTTGTGTCCAACAACACTAATGTTTCTTGGAATGAACGACACTCTAATCCGTCGGCACCTTCGCCTAAACCTTTCAAGATTTGTAAATCTTCATGGACAAGATCAATGCCATCAACAGTGATTTTCCCTGAATTGGCAAACTTCTTAGCTTCCTCTGATGTCACATTAGGAAGTGCCGCTTTAACCTTTTTGGAATCTCCCTTCAACTTCTTACCAAGTACAGGCCAATCTGCAACAAGTGAGTACTTAACACCATATTTGGATTCATCTTCTGTTATAATAATGTCTCTGACATTCAACTCGCTGCTGATATAACCCTGTAACGATTCAACGTCCTTGCGGTAATTTGGATCAGCATTGATAATAACCAATGTTTGTAATGGTGTCTTGAGAGAAATGGTGTTCTTTTCCCTTATGTTTCTTCCCAAGTCAATCACTTTTTGCATTCTTGCAACAGCAATTTCAATATCTTCATCAAAATACTCTTCTCGGACTTTTGGATACATTAAGAAATGCACAGAACCAAAATCTTTAACCTCTGGATTAATGACAATATCCCCTAAAAGCTCTTCAGTAAAGTACTCCCTGATCCGTTGGTAAATACCATCAGCCAAGAACGGAGTAAATGGGGCCATTGCTCTTGATAAAATCAATAACGCTTCAACTAAAGTATTGAGCCCATTCTTTGTATCTTCAACGTCGTCTGAGGAGTATCCCTTGATTCTACGACGGTTGAATCTGATATACCAATTCGTCAAAGCATCGATAAATTGTAATAGTCTTGGAACAACAGTATACAATCTGTAGCTGTTCATTTCCTCGTGAATAAATTTAATCAACGATTGAATAGAAGCTAACAACCACCTGTCCATCACATTGTGTGACTTCAAATTTGGATTGTAAACAAACTTCTCACCGGTATTCTTTTCGTACAAATCTGTACTATCTTTAAAGAACTTGAAGGAATTGTACCATGGCAAAAGAACACTAGAAACAATTTCCCGAACACCTTCTTCTTTGAATTTCAAAGTTTCGGCTCTAAGAACGGGCGAGTTAATCAAGTACAATCTCAAGGCATCAGCACCATATTTTTCCAAAATCAATCCTGGATCTGGGTAATTTTTCAACCGTTTCGACATTTTTTTACCATCAGCTGCCAACACAATACCAGTAACAATAACATTTTTATATGGAGCAGTATTGAACAAATGTGTACCTAAAACAGTTAATGTGTAGAACCAACCTCTGGTTTGATCCAACCCTTCCGCAATAAAGTTGGCAGGGAACGCATCCAAGAATTTCTGCTTGTTTTCAAATGGATAATGTTTGGATGCATAGGGCATTGAACCAGATTCAAACCAACAGTCAAACACTTCTTCAATTCTCTTCAAGTTTCCTTTACCTTTCTTTGATGGAATGGTTATGGAGTCAATACTTTCACGATGTATATCTGTAATGTCGTCGCGGCCAGATAGTTTTTTTAATTCATCGATGGACCCAACGCAAACCATCTCTTCAAAGTCCTCGCTCACCCAAATTGGTATTGGAGTACCCCAGTATCTGTTTCTAGACACGTTCCAGTCTCTAGCATTAGCAATCCAGTTGGAAAATCTCTTCTCCTTCACGTTTGATGGGACCCAGCTTGTTTTTTCAACATTCTCCAACATTTCCGGAATCACTTCGCCAACTCTTACAAACCATGCAGGAACTGTTCTATACATCAAGGGTGTATCCGACCTCCAACAAAATGGGTACGAGTGCTTAGCCTGCGAGTTGACCAAAATCCTTCCCTCTTCCACCAACTTTTTGATGATAACCTTATCGGCATCTTTGAAATACATTCCGCTAACCAACTTTGCTTCGGATGTCATTTTACCGGCATCATCAACGACACTTGGAGGTGGTCTTTTTTCATTGATAACACCTGCTGCTGTAGCACAGGTGAAATCCTCCTCACCATATGAGGGAGCTTGGTGTACTATACCGGTACCAGAGTCGTTGGTAACATATGAACCAGCAATAACTTTGAAACCATAATCTTTAAATGTATCGTAAAAATAGTCAAAAAGAGGAACATATCTCAATCCAAGCAACTTTTCCGCAGGTACCCTTTCAACCACTTTAAATTTGGCTTGGGCTGGCTTCTTGTACAAAGTGGTCAACAATTCTTCCAATAAGATATAATTTTTTTTAGCTTTTTCGTCATAGATTTTCACATATGTGAACGTAGGATTGACGGCTAGTGCAATGTTTGCGGGCAAGGTCCAAGGAGTAGTGGTCCACGCAACCAATATGGTATCTGGATCATCGACTAATGGAAAGGCTATTGTAATAGCTGGATCATTAACCTCCTTATAATTTTGCTGGGCTTCAAAGTTGGACAAAGGGGTAGTACATCCTGTTGAATAGGGCATGACTCTCAATCCTCTGTAAACGGCATTCTTGTCAAACAACTGTTTGAAGGCCCACCAAACGGATTCCATAAACTCGGGGTACAAGGTCTTGTAGTCATTGTCCATATCAATCCATCTTCCGAGTCTCTTGATGGACCTCCTCCACTCGTCTGCATACCTCATCACAATAGCCCTACACTCGGCATTATACTTGTCAATACCCATAGCGTAAACGTCTTCTTTGGAGGTAATGCCCAATTTCTTGTCGATCTCATGCTCTACCGGTAAACCATGTGTATCCCAACCAAACCTCCTCTCAACATGAAACCCATTCATAGTAGCATATCGCGGAATAATGTCCTTCACCGTCGAAGTTAAAATGTGCCCGTAATGAGGCGTACCCGTGGCAAAAGGTGGTCCATCGAAAAAGGCAAATGGCGGCAAGTCTTTAGTAAGCTCTAGTGTGCGTTGAAAAGCATCGAGTTGATCCCATTTCTTAAGCACTTGGTTCTCCTCTTGGGGGAAACTAAACGCACCTTGGGGAAGATTGTCTTGCCCTTGTGCTCCTTCTTGGTCTCCCATTGTTCGTATACTTACAACAATCCTCTTTCCAAAGCAAAATCAAAACCCTCTACAATGAAAAAACCCTTCTAGTAAACAACTTCTTCACCACAAGTTATAAAGGGTGGATGGGGGGTTGGTTTTTTTTTCACTTTATTTTTTTTAAGCGCTGGTAAAAATTTTTCACAATTTTCCAAAAAAAAATCGATGAGGTTGAAGAGATGATTGGGCGTTGGAAGTAAGGGATAAGGAAGCTAGGAAATGCCAGAGGAGTGTATATGACATGACGATTAAAAAGGAAGTTTTCAAGGAGGTGCTTGGGAATTTATTTGGGTCGTTTTCAAATGTTCCGCGGAGAGTTGGTATTGGTCTTTCTGGTGGTCCTGATTCGATGCTTTTGACATGGTTATTGAAACTGTTGAATGATAAACTTGTTAAAGAGCAGCAGTTTGAGATTCATGCAATGACAGTTGACCATAATTATCGTAAAGAATCCTCAAAGGAAGTAGGAGACTTGGCAGAAATTATGAGTCGATGGGGTATTAAGCACTCGGTGAGGAAACTATACTATGGTGATATTGACCCTAGGCATATCACCAATTTTGAAGAAGTTGCTCGAGCCAAAAGATTTGATGCGCTAAACTCAATTTGCAACGAATATGACATTCCTGTTATATTCTTGGGTCATCACAATGACGACCAAGTTGAAACTTTTGTTCAGAGATTACAAGGAAACTCGTCGATTTTTGGCCTTGCTGGAACGCGAGCAATCTCCTCTTTACCTATGAATAGGGACCTTTCGCCACTCGAATTGCTCAAATACAAGCGTGTCAATTTAGTGCGGCCTCTTTTAAACTTTACCAAGGACGATATTACAAACAGTTGTAGGGATTTTGCTGTGCCGTATTTTACTGATCCTACAAATAGCAACACGAGTCTTACTCGGAGAAACTACTTGAGAAGCTTATTTGGCAAGAAACTTCCTCAATTGTTGAAGGATTTCAAAGAAAATGGTTTTTCACAAAATGATGAGTTTTTCTATACCACCATTATGAAGCAAAGCTTACTGGCGAGCCATCGTGAATGCACCAAATTAGTTGAATTGTTTGAAGCGAAAGCACACGCATTGCACAAGAACTTATTAGAGGATAATAAGCTAGTCAAAGACGACTCACTTGCAAAGTTAACCATAGAAATGCCGAAAAGATGTTTTACAAGTGCCAACACGCTTGTTACAAGTAGATTCCTTTACCAAATCTTGTACCCATACTGCACATTGAACCATTACCATTGGGCCTATGCCAAACTAGAAAGACAAGTGGTACCGAAAATTGCAAGTATTGCAAAGACAAATGCACTGGGAACCTCAAAAGTAACAATGATGAATTTGATTTTCCAAGTGACAAATAACGCATCTGCATCTACAATAAACTTGGAAATTACACGAGCACCTCTTTCTCGAAGAGAACTTGAAGAGACAAAGTTGAGTCTTTGTCTTGGCCAAGAATGGTCAGACTGGGTTTTATTCGATAAACGATTTTGGCTCTGTTTCCAATCAGAAAAGTATTTAGGCTGTGAAATTGAGATTTTGCCTTATAAGCATAAGGAGATGTCAAAGAAGGTGAATGAAAAATTGTACAACTCCGGCTCGATAAGAATAGGAGTTCATTTGGATACCCTTCCTGTTGTACTTTTAGATAGTAGCATCGTTGCTTTCCCAACAATAGGTCTTGGAGTTGAAGATATCGCAATGAGATGGCTGTTGAAAGCAAACAAATTTAATTACAAACCAACCATTGACACTATCGACTATCACTATCGAGCGAAGCGAGATAGTGGAGAGAGACTAGACGAGTGAAACGAGTCTAGTCGATAGTAGAT